AACCCAGCAGGCACCTGCACGACGCCCGCGCCGCCCTCCCTCGGCACGCTCCGCAGCCCAATGACGTTCAGCGGCGTCTTGCGCTCGACGCCCCGTCCGCGGAAGCTCCGCGCGTCGTCGAGACCGCCGCGCCCGCCGCGGGCCCCCGACGACGCCGATGTGCCGCGAAGGAGGCTGCTGATCTCGCTCGCCGCGGCCCTCGACCGCGAGCGGCCGTCCACGGGCTTGTTGACGTTGTTGTTGTTGTTGTTCTGCTGCTGCTGCTGCGGCTTGCTGCCGCTGCCGTTCTCCTCGGCGAAGAAGCCCGACGCGGAAAAGTGTCGAATGCAGCTCGCCACTGCGTCGCGTGTGCGCTGCGCCTCAAGGCGCGTGCGGCCCGTGGCGGATCGGAGAGTCGAGTGCATCGTGCCCTGGCTGTACTCCTCGTTCGTCTGCGTGTGTTCCGTTCGTCTCGTTTGTTTTCCTTTCGGATCTGCTTCGTCCCTCCGGTGTCCCGCTGCCCCCCTTTTTCAGCAGGATCAATTGACAAGGCAGGATGGGGTCGGGCTAGACGGGGGTGGATTGTCGTGCGTGCCTCGTTAGCTGGATCAGGAGACAAGGAGGAAGAACGTGGAGCTCAACGTTGTCGAGGTTCGAGTCGGGAGAGAGCGAGTGTGCAAATTGTTCCGATCAGGTGATTAGGTAAGCGGGTGTCACGATATCGATCCTTATCGGCATGGCCCAACATGAGAGATCATCAACGCGACCAGTGGAGCTGACGGTGCAACGGCCCAGAATCCAGTCGACCTTGATCAAGTATAACTTGACCACAGGTTCTCCACTGAGGAGGAGGTGTTCATGGAACGTCCATCACGCAACCGCGGTGCATGGCTCAAGACCCTTGTTTGGTTGGTTGCCCCCTTCACTGTAAAGTGGAAAGAGACAGGCGAACACCATTCAAGTGGCATAACACCAGCCAGTAAGTAGCCAAGTGACTTCCATCATGATCGTCTGTATCGTGTTCTCTAGCGACCTAGGTATTATGCTCCAAATTATCCAAAACGCCGAGACCAAATTGGTCCTCCCCGCGCCGCCGCTCTGCCCGGTCCATCAGGCCTATGCTATCGCGAACCGCGCAAACTAAAGGCCTTGCCATGGCCTAGTCTCCCACTGGTTTTGATCTCGATCCCGTAATTTCAAGTCCTCTCTGGGAACACTCCCCATGAAACCGATGCCTGTTCGCAACGACCAAAAAAAAAAAAAAAAAAAGTGGACATAAAACACCCAAACGCCACTCTGAGCAGCCTGCCAGCCCCATACAAACGGAGAGCGAGCAAAAGGACAGAGGCAAACACGCAACCAGACCTCCAACGTCGCAAGAGAGTGCGAAATAATACCTCAACCGTCAACACCTCGCTTAGTTGCGCCAAATCTAGCACCTCGGCCGCAAATCTACCTTGTCGCCAGAGATAGAGGGATGAGAAAGTCCAATCAGTTGTTCACGGTTAGCTTGCTGTACTTGGAAACAAGCTCGTTCATCTTGGCCGTCAGGTCCGGTATCCTGAACGGTTTTGATATCACATCGTCCTAGTGCACTTGTTAATACAAAGTCAAGAGTCAAGAGTGGGAAGTTGAGTCAAAACGTACAATGCCCGCAGCCTTTGCATCCTCGATCTGCTCAGGCCGAGCGTATGCCGTCACAGCAATAATGGGGATGTGGTCGATGAGCACGCCTTCTCGCTCCAGCTCACGGATCCGCCTGGCACACGTCATGCCGTCCATGACGGGCATTTCGAGGTCCATCAGGATGACGCTCAGATGGTAGCCCTCGCTCTCCTTGCCTGTCCAGAAGCGGCACTTTTTCAAGGCGTCCAGAGCTTCACCGCCGTGGTTGGCCACATGCGTGACGTTGCCGCAATTCTTCAGCTGCCGTTGTAAGACCTTTTGGTTGACAATGTTGTCTTCGACGATGAGCACATCATGGCCTGTCTTAGAGGGTGTTGGGCCCGGCGATTGCGAAGCGTCCGCTGCCGGACGGTGAGACGGACGGCGGATCATTTTTGTCGGCGGTGGAGGGGTCGTGGGCGTCGAGACCCTGCCTGGCCGGGCTACGCGATTCGCCGCCACGCTCGACTCCTCCGCGGGCATGGCTGTTTTGCGACACTTGATGAAGAATGAAAAGGTGCTACCGAGACCCTCTTTTGAAACCACACCAATCTGGCCGCCTTGCAGCTCGGTGAGCATGCGAGAGATGAAGAGCCCGAGCCCGGAGCCGCCATACTGCACGTGTGTGCGTGGTGACGCTTGGGAGAACCTTTGGAACAGAATCTTCTTCTCCTCTTCCCGCAACCCGGGGCCTGTATCTTGGACAGAGAAGTGCAGGTTCATCTCGTCGCCATCGCCCCAGTCCTTGTCGCTAGTCAGGTTGCGAAGATCACTCCTGCGGCTGGGGAAGTACAACGAGTTTTCCTTAACCTCGGAAAGGTCTCGAGACGCCGTCAAGGTTATGGAAATGCGGCGCTCTTGGCGGTTTTGTGTGAATTTTATAGCATTAGTCATTAAGTTGATCAGTACTTGTCGTAGTCGTGAAGGGTCAAGCCTGACCCAATCAATGCCGTAGTCGGTGTAGGCGGACAGCGTACTGAACTGGAGCTCAATGTCGTGCGCCTGAACCTCGGCCTCAAACATTTTGAGGACGTTCTCGACGATATTGACAGGGTGCGCGTCGACCGGCGTAACGAGAAGAAGCTGCGAATCTAATTTGGAAAGTGTCAGGATGTCGTCGACGATGCGGTGCTGGTGACTGGCGCAGAGATTGATCGTGTTCGCCGCTTCAGTGCAGACATCGAGGAGCGTCTGTACAGGTTGAGCATCTGGATGCTCACGATAGCGGGCCGTCGTGTTTGCAATCTCATCAGCACATTGCAAGATGGCACTAAGAGGGTTGCGCATCTCGTGGCTCGTGATATCAATGAAGTTCTCCTGTTGGCGCTTGAGCTCGACGGCTTCTTCTCTGCGCTGCATCTGGAAGGCCTCGGCCCACTTCTGCGACGAGATGTCTGTGATGCAGCCGAAAATGCTCTTGAGGTTGCCTTCTTCGTCTCGTTCGGGGAAGGCACTCATCAACACCCACGTGTCGATGGTGTTGTCGCCGTTTTGGCGGCTACACTTGAATCTGAATTCATGCGTAATGGCGACCTTGTCTGTGAGAAGCGCCTGCCACACCATTTCTACGCCGGCACGGTCCTCATCTCGAATGCTCTGCATCCAGGTGTCCGTACTGTCTTCTCCACGGGGGTGTCGTGAAATCTGCCACCACGTGTCGTTGGCGAAATTGAACTGGCCCGCGCCGTTGGCGATGAACATGCCGACAGGGGCAAACTCGGCCATCCGCGTGAATTTGTACTCGCTCTCGACAGCTTCTTGCGTTCGCAGGATGAGCTCAGTGCGTAGCTCCTCGCGGTCAAGCGCGGCGAGTCTGGCAGCGCGCTGCCCTCGCTTAATCTCTTCTTCGAAAAGGACAACAGAGGCCAGCGAGGTTGCAAGCTGTCGGGAGAGCAGGTGGATGAAAAGCTGATAGTCGTCGTCGTAGGGGCGGCGGGGGTTGGTGCCCATCACAATGAAGCCCACCACCGAGTCACCTGCCGTTGTTGGGTGTACAGGCAGGACGACTACCGTCCTCGACGCGTCCCCGAATCCTCGCCACGAGATACCGTCAATGAGGTCAAGCGGCAGGGTACCTGCCTCCGCTGAGAGAACGACGGGCGTGCCGTGCATCGACATCGATTGTCGCATATAGGGAGCGAAACCTTCGTCCGAGGCTCTCAGGTTGAGATCGGGAATGGCGGCAGGGTGGTCCTCGTTGACGCCAATGGCACCCTCCAATTGAAGTAGCGGGGGATGCGCGACACTGCCCGAATGCATCGAAGACATTTCGCTTTCGCTGTCGTCCTTGACTGAGTAAATCAAGGCAAACGGGATGTCAATGTCGTTGTATTCGAGGCCTTCACGTACACGTGGCCAGAAGCTTCGAACGTCACGGGCTGCTGCCGTCTTCTCGCCTACCTCGCGCAGCGTGAGCATGCGGCGTTCATTCACCTTGCGCCTGGTGTTCTCAAAGGCCGGGTTGTAGATTCCGACGACCTCACCATCGCTGCCGACAAGGGGCACGAGCGACCATGAAAAGAAGGCCTCTTCGGTGAAGCCATGACGATCGATGAAGAGTTGATTGTCATTCTTGAGAGTGGACTGGCCGGAATCCCACGCGCTCTGCATGATGGGTTGCAGGTCATCCCAAATTTCGCTCCACGCATCGGCATAGCGCATGCCCATAAGAGAGGGGTGCTTCTGGCCGGCGAGCTCAATGTAGGCCTCGTTGTAAATAGTGACGAATTCAGGACCCCAATATAGGGCCGCTGGATGCGGGCTACCCATGACCATGTTGGCCATGGCCCTGAGATCGGCGCTCCAATACTCTATCGGACCGAGCGACGTGGCGCCCCAGTCGGTATTGCGGGCAAAGAGAATATGTTCACTGATTTCCGGTGTTATAGTGATTCGCGTCCAGTCAAACGAGGGTCGAAGGAGACCTGCTTTGAAGACGTGCTGCGTAAATTCGTCGCTATGGTGCCTCTCCTCAAGGCACTCGTCGACACCGTTTTGCATGGCGCTGTCGCCGGTCGGAACCAACTCCATGGGCATCTCTGGTTGCAACTCGACACCGAAATAGTCGGGTTCATTGGCTAGCGGTGTGTCAGAGGCGGTCGAGGTGGGCGTCGGGCCTCTGGTGCGCTCTTCGAGCACTTGCGCCTCCTTGGCCGTGCCAGGCGAGGAGGGCATCAGCGACACGGCACTAGTGTTGCCACTGACGAAACGAAACCTCTTGCGCAACGTCGAACATGTCCAGTTTATATTACCATATAGATGTGAGGAAAGGCAGACGTCCATGCCTTCGTTGTTTTTCGTGTGGCTCATCACCCATGCCTTGAAATTGGTGTAGTTCTGATCCTTTTCAGCCTTCTCGCCGTCGAGAGAGAGAAGCTCAAGGACGCCGCTGGAGGCTCGGAGAGAGGCATTGGCGTAGATTAAGTGCAGCGAGAGATTGTTGCCATTGACAGGGTTGGCGAGGTCGATGATAAAAGTCGGCCGCTCGTCTTGTTCGAGCAGCTCTATGACGCCGCAGCCATTGAGCAGCTGCAGGCCGGGGGGTAGATACTGGCTGCTGGGGCTTCTCGAAGAACTGCCTCCGGGCTCGATGGAGGACCAGCTGCCGCTTCCAGATGTACTCCCGGAGCGGGCCGGGCTCGCGGAGCTGACATGGCCACGGGGCAGCCTGACGGTGCGGACATCATTCTCCTCGCGGAGGCGAGCCAGGAGCGCCGCGGCCGCGTCTGTGGGCGGAAGAAACGGGGCACGGCTCGACATGGGTTTGGGCGAGTTTGAGAAGAACAAGGGTGAAGTGACGCCCTCGCTCTTCAGCAGTGCAAGAGCTGCGGCGGCTGTCGGTGTCCTGGGGACTCCGGAGAGATCGATGGCGCGCGGCGGCAGCAGACGAGTGCGGGGTTTCTTCAGTGGTGACGACTTTGCGCCAGACCGTGCTGTATCCTCTTCGGACGGCCGCTTTACTGGCAGCGGGTTGGGTCTTCGGGAGGGCTGCTGAGGCTTCGTATGCGTCGACCAGGCGGTTGTCGGCGGCCACGTCGTGGACGCGTGGGGGAAGGTGGAGAAAAGAGTGTCGCGAGGTGTCGGCGTTGTGGTCAAACCATACCGACCGACTGCAGAAGACCAGTCGTCTCCGGCCAGGTGGTGAGAGCGTCTGTTCTGCCTCTTGCTGCTGATGTCGTCGTTGCGAACGTGGGTGTTTACAGCAAAATCGGATCGGCAGACGTTATCGTGTGGGTGATCGAGGGCGAAAGAGTGGATGCGGACGTCGGTGCGAGGCGAGGAAGCAGGCGGGCCAGAGGATGGCGGTAATGAGGCGGAGAGGTGGTGCTTGTCTGGCAGGGGAGATGTTGGCCAAGCGGACGAGTGCGCCGTAATTGGCGAAGAGGGAAACCCAGGAGCACCAGGGCCTGTGGCAAAGGTAGCAGAAAGAGGCGACAACAACAACGACGACGACGATGCAGGCTCGACAGAAGAGAAGAAGGAGCGGCGAGTGCCACCGCAGAGGGAAGTGGGAGAGGCTGTGGGCGAGATCGGTCGAGTTGTGTCGTGGTGATGGTCGTTGGCCAACGGCATGAATGCGCCGCTTGGATGGTGCTGGTAGTGCTGGCTGGGTGAGGACGTATGTGGAGAGGCGGCCAAAACAGCAAGCAGCGCCTACCTAGAGGTACGGGCGGGGCGTGGGGAGGGGGGCCGGCCGAAGACCGAAGGGCCTGGACGTGTGACAGGACAGGCGGCGGTGCCAGTCTCGATGGCGATGGAGGCGATGGCGACAGGGGAATCGAAAGAGGGGTACGGAGAGAAAAATCAGACGGCCAAGCATCCAATCCAGTGCTCCAACGGACTCTTTCCCGAATAATCGAAGCAAAGAGAAAGGAAGGAGGAGCTTGCTGTTGTTGCCTCCACTCTCTGCCCTTGTCGGGGATGGTGCGGTGATGACTTCCCGCGAGTACCTTAGTTCGTAGTAGAATCTTTCGAAGACAGGCAGGTACTGTCTGCGTGGGAATTGGGGTAAGACCCAGGAGCACAGCACTTCACTTCAGTTCAGGGGGAAGGTGCGGGGGAGGTGCCCACAGGACGATGAGGTGGAAGTCCTGTCGGTGCTGTGGGAGGAAGCCTGGGGGCCTGGTCAGCGCGGGCACAGGCGAGAAAAGCGACAACGGTGGTGGCGGCAACTGGACGCACGAGGCAGCGCTGGCCATTGACGAGGGGGGCCCCTGGTCAAGCCCGAGTCGTAGAGGTGATGGGACGGACAGCAGGCGAGGTAAGAACGGCGGGCGGCGATACAGGCACGGCTCGCTCAGGACAATGCCACATGCACTGGGGCACGGGTGGAAAGCGCACTGCTGGTGGTACTACTGGCGGCCGAGTGTTGTAGGAGTTCTGGATGGAAAGTAATAGGCTCGATTGTCCCCGGGGCCAGGGGGGGGTCAAGTGCTCATCGAGAGAACGTATGGGCAATCGAGATTCCAGTGGGCGGGCGATGCAAGGTCTCAATCGGGGCGGGCAGACAGGAGGAGACAGAGAGGGTCGATGGTAGAGGGCCGTCGCTAATAAAAGGATGGGTCGGTCGGCGGCGGGCGGTCGGTGGCCGATGGGCGATGGTAGGTAGGCTCGTTGATTGTTGGCTCGGGAGTGATTCAGGAGCAATTCGAATGAGGAGAGATGGAGGGTAGGAAAGAGATGGGAAACTATCAGCTCAGCCAAATGGGCATGGAAGCTCAGATGGAAGGCCCGGGAATGGAAAGGAGAAATGTGCCTTGTCTCTTCTTGCTTTGCGTGGTTGCCAGCACGTCTTTCCTTCATCAGTCAGTCAGTCAGTCCCCTTAGGGCGAGCTCGTTTCTCAGCCAGCCTGCGTAACGAAGACGGGATGCGGGATGGAGCATGGAGTACCTATGGAGCCCAAGCCAACCCAGAGACGGTACAGATCAGCAGCCGCGGCGTGCGGTCAGCGCCAGCCCCTCGGCCGCCTAATGACTCCCCCCCCCTCCTATGGGGCTGGCAGTTCCAATAAAGCCCGCCGGATAAGAGGGCCAAGAGGGCCCTTTGAGCGTCCCTGAGACGTGCCGTGGGGAATTTGGCGGTTCTAAACGCGGTCCAGACCTGCCTGTATGTGATACTTCCAAGGGATGATACCTCGTCTTGGTCGACATACGGTGGCCCTTCGGTAGCGGGCCATCCGCCGGCCGGTGAACCATTCGACGTCCCAGCCTAATACCGTCTCGATACTGCGCTTCGAATTGCAGCGCATGCCTAGAGGCATCTCTCACTAAGATACTTGGGCTCTCCTGCGTCTATGGCCAGACAATAGCAGATACTTGGGAGGCCGTCTGATGATCCACCGCAGTCAAGACGTTCGTTCAATGTGATGTGCCTGGACAAACATCGCCGGCACCAGCACCCGTCATCGTCACCGTCACTGTCACTGTCTGCTCCATCCGCCACGTTGGTTGCGCCCACCCACCAGCCCACACGCCATCATGTCTTGGCATCCTGCTGAGGCCCCAGAAGCAGGTGCCATGCTCCTTGCCTCAACTCTGGACGCTGAGAAGGCTAGAAAGGTGCAACGCGACTGCCCTAGTCGTTCCACGTTGAGCTTGCGTCGGGATTCCGGCAGGCACATGTTCTGGCAGGCGGTCACGACGGCGATGCTCTCGCCTGCTCCACTGCTCGGCGAGCCAACTTGCTTTGATGTGAACCCGACCCTCGGAAGAAAGCTCGTCAAGAATGTACCAGATCGAGAGACGACCAGAACAGCTCCAATCGATCTGTCACGGATGCTATGCCCGTGCCACCCCCATCCAACCAGCGACCTGACCAAGAGCAATGGCCCCAACGGCGCCAGCACAAAAAGCATTTCCCATCGTCCCATGCCCTTTTCTGAATCCCTTTTTGCCTTTCTCGGCACTCCAGCCAGGGCCATCCCCGCCGTCTACGGTCCAGACCGCAATCTGCCCCACTTGCCATCGCCGATCGTATTTTCCTCACTGAGGGCGACTCACACACACACACACACACACACACACACACATCATGCCTCACATGTTGCCTAGTGGGCCGCTCGCCTTACCGTTTGGTGGCAGACCGCCGGTCAAAGAACCCGCCAACCTCGAAGAAGCCCACCGGATCCGCATCACCGGGTGCCAACCTCGGGGAGAAAAAAAGGAATGCGCTGTGGTAAGCAGACGTTCGGGTCCTCGGAACACACAGCTGCCAAGCAAACGCCTTGTCTCGCCTCGATTCGTCCCGCCAAAGACATCCAACCGTCTGGCACCGAAACACGGGAAACGACAAAGTCGTTGAAACTCGTTCGTCCTTGAGACGACGAAGTGAGGATTCTATCATCTGAACGTAAAAGCCGAAGCAATGACGCCACGCCCCTATGACGACGTCCTTCTCTCGCCAGTCGCAGTAGCGCGGGACCTGTCAAGGTCCACCCGCTTTGCCGAGACGCCCACAGCCCTTTCCCCCCGTCTCTCCCCGTTCGCGGTCGTGTTCATCCCAAACAGAGTTTACGCTTGGTCGCCAGGCCAGTCCGGTGAAGCATACTCTCCTGAAGCGCTATGGAGGGCGGGACTGGGAAGCCGCCGACAGGAGAAGGGTCGCGGGATCGACGGCAGGTAATAGACATCACTAGACGCACGGAGTATATTCCGCGCCCCGAAGATCTTCGCACGTGGAATGTGCGCACGATGGCAGGCGCCCCGCCAGACTGGGAGCGTAGAAGCCCACTGCTGCGTCGATCACGAATCTTCTACGCAGGCTCACTAGCTACGGCCGCACGTGCTTCAGATGCTATCAAGGTGCTGTCCGGGTTGTCGGGGACAGACTGCCTGATAGCCGGGGGGCTGCTTGCTCGATTGGAAGAGCAGCAGGCCGAGTGTCTCTTTTGAGCTAGAGGATCGTGATGAACGCCAGCGATGAAAGAGTGAGAGGTTCGTTTTTGGAGTCAGTAGCAAGAATGACGAGATACAAGCAGATTTTTGTGTGGGTCAAATCAACAGACCAGCGTTGGTATAGTTGTTGAGGGGAGATGTCTGCCTTCATTGACACCAATCTACCTCGCCATCTAATCCTCTATGGGATGCAGCCAAATTTGACGTCTGCCAACCCATCGTGCTCACTCGGATTCAAGAAGCAATCATTTTCGTTTTGTTTAAAGTAAAAAAAAAAAAACACAGAATAACACATGCTCCGAATTGAAACAGCAATCGGTCCCATATGTTGGTGTCATCTGCCATAGACATGTTCAGATACGTGAGGCTCAGCATTCAGCCAGCAATATCAACCTCCTGTTCCCTCCTCCTCATTCAAGAGCCTGTGTTCGTCGTGGTAGTGGCATCTCCCTGTGAGAACGAAGCATGGCCCGCCATCACATTTTTGTCTTAGGTGATATCCTTGGACCTTCGAGCTCGGAACTTGCTATGTTCCGCGTTCCTGATTTGCGGGAGCAAGTCAGGATGGAACTTCGAGCTTGCCAAATGAGCTTGCCAAATGGCTGGCAACACGAGTTGGTATCGACCTCGTAGCGTCCGGTGTGAGCCATCGCAGGAGGCAAATAAGCTGATCTGGACGGACTATCGCTAGGTCTGTTACGCTACAGAATGGAAGGGCAGTTCAAATATGCAATCCAGCGATATGGCCTGGCATTTCTCCGCCCTCAAAGGCATACTTCGGCGAGCCGCAACTTGATGGGTAGGCAACACAAGACTTCCAATGTTCTTCCACATATATAGCTCTTTGTGATGCGCCACGTCATCCCCGTCGAGGCACAACATGCACCAGTGAGACTAAGCCTCGTTGTTCTCGCCATGGCTACAAAAGACACAAGGACATCGAGATGGGGTCGTCTCTCGTTACTCGTGGGATCCTGGAGTGCACCGTGATCCGGAGTTGAAGCCCTAGAGAGAGCTCCTGATATGAACCGCGATGTTTGCTGTTATACATGTACATTTGTATAAGCTGACAAGATTTTTCTCCCCTGAAATTTCCTTGGAGGTGCTGTCAGACTTCTCAACAAAGCGAGTGCAAACCGCAGAGTTTGCTGGTTAGTAGAATGTCAAGGGAAATAGATAGTCAAGAAGTTAACTTCCTCGAACTAAGGAACTTGTCACAGAGACGATGGCATGCCTATACTTCTGATGAGGTCGAACCATCTCACCAGGACCTCCCCAGCTGTCGGGTGAGACGCGTATCCATGTTTCCTTGCTGGTTCAGGGCGATGGGGTATGGGGGATGATCGAGCCTGGAAGGGCCAACCGTACGCGCTGTCTGTATCTATAGTGACCAGACCTTGTACGGTTAGGAAACATTGGGCATTCAAAATGATAGAATTCCTTCCAGCATGAAGTAGGTTGCCTGAGGTACCGCCATTATCCTCAATCAAGGGGCAAATGTTGTTCCCAAGGGTATCGAACAAGACACGCAGGGTCGATATAGATTTCACCTCCCGCAACGGGGTCGTGTTTCGGATCTCAGGAGATAGTTGAATATGGTGTAGAGCTACAGCGTATTGATCCAGGGCCCCAGGCATGCCGGGTTGAGCCTCGATCCTGTGACGGAGAAAGAGTCGATGGGCTATGTGATACCTCCCTCTTCTACCCCGCATTCGGAGGCGCCCTAAAATAGGCAAAATGTAGGCGGTTGACGATGCGAATTGAATTCAATCGAATACAGGAGTTCACTAGAATGATGCAAGTGTAAGTCATGGCCGTAGCTATCCATGGTCAGCGGCTTTGTCTGCAACGTCGACATGTCGTCGTGAAGTGAGGGTGGAGCTCCGGCGAGCTCTCACGAAGCTTGGGCTACTACTCCCCCCCAAGCCCCCCACCGGGCTAGCGGGCAGTGGGCGGCAATGGAAGGGGCCACGGACCCATGATCTGCAGGTGCACCCTGAGTGCCTACTCGCGGGTGCTCATTGGCCAGGCCCCAGCCCCCAACCGCCAAATCACGACCCTCGCCCCTCATCACGGCGCTTACATCTCACCCCTCCCGGTGACAACCTGCCCCCATTGGCCATGGTCGCTGTGATTGCTCTCGCATGCCCGGCAAGACTGGCAGCCATCCCAGTACGACCACCCCAAATGCTGCAGAAACCAACGAACGGCGGGTGGCATGCCGTGAGGCCCATGGCCCTTAAACCTGCCACCGCCCACGGGGACCGGCGCGGCTCTTCTCTTTTCCCCCCTCCTTGAGAAGACGACGACGACGACGACGACGACGAAGACGACGAACAGACGACTTGCATCGATCCATCGGTGGCACAACACGGTCCGTGAAGCTGGCATCTGGACCAATGTGAAAGACGACCTCTCTGGCGACGATTGCGCCTCGAGCGGTACAAAGAACTCCGCCACCCGACGTGAACATAGACAAAGCGGGGGAAAGACGCAGGCGTAGACGACGACAACCCCTCGACTGAGCTCAACCTCGAAGACTGACATTTCATTTTCTTTCACAACATACCACCTGAAAATCCGAAACCCTCACACACGAGAAGATGAACTACCGCATCTTCCACCGCAAGTGGCCCTCGGCCAAGCGCTACATGTGGTTCAACATGCTCGCCGAGCTCATCTGCATGGTCCCCCTCCTTGTCCTCTTCGGCATCGCCCAGCCCAACACCTGGCGCACCAAGATGTGGCAGATTGGCTACGAGAATGGCTGGAACTCGGATCCTCGCATGATTCTCTACGCCCACGCAAACTATCGCCCTCTGCCCAAGATCCCCTTTGTCTGGTCACAATCGTGCGTGTTCCTCCGAATAACTGTCTCTCATTGAGTTGCTTCATACTGACCAACACCAACAGCCTGACCGACTTCAACGTCGCCCTGACACTCGTGTCCCTCTTCAGCCTCATCGTCCGCATGGTGCTCTTCATTATGAAGGTCTACTACCCGCTCGTTGCGCTCATCTTCAACATCATCCTCACGGCCCTCTGGACAACCTCCATGTACGGCCAGATGGGGCCCGATCACGCCGACCCCGAGCGCCCCTCCAACATTGCCTGGTACATCACCCGCTCCTGCGCCCCCGCCGGCGGCCGCCACAATGCCGAAAAGTCCTGCCGCCTCGCCAAGGCTTCCTTCGCCGTCACCGTCCTCATGCTCGCCGTGGTCCTCGTCAACCTTGGCATGGCCGTCTGGGGCATGTGGCCCACCGAGGCCGACAAACACCCGCACCGCAAGAACTCGCGCTGGGGCGACGACAGCGACGACGAGGACGAGGACGACGACAATGTCGAGTCGGACAGGAGCAGCCCCGTCAAGACGGGCGGCCAGTGGGAGATGGCCAGCATGGCCGGCGGCAAGGGCCCCGCCAGCCCGAGAGTCATGGTCCAGCCGTACACGCCCAGGACCATGGCCTTCCAGACGCTGGATCGCAAGCTGCCACTGAGGCAGCAGTACGGTTGAGCGGGAGCCCATGCCGAGAGTGGTGTCTTTTCTTTGTTTTGTTTCCTATCGTTAGAAGAAATGGCCGTGACGGGCAGGTGTGAAGCAATCTGTCTCTTCTGCTTGGAGTTTGGGACGTCAGAATTCTTTTGCTACAAGACTTACTACTCATTACTGTCTGTGGAGCGTGGAAATGAAACCATCCATGGCCAGTGTATAGGCCGGCCGCTCTCAAGACGGGACAGTTTCCCTCGTGCACACTACATAGCCCACACTATCTGAGCTGCAACAAATGCATGACATTGTCAGACAGGGTTTGAATTCAGCCTTTCTTTCGTGATATGCAAACTGCACATAGGCCCGTGCTACGAACCGTGCCGTCGTAGTAGTCAAGTTTTCCGGGAGCAAGATGCCTTCATTGCGTGGCATTGCCCCTTTGTGTCAAAATTCATACAGTATCGAAACACTGGCCCCTCCCTCATTCTTCCCCGGCCTCTCCGAAACTCACGAGGACAGCCTGACTTGCCAGCACCTCCACCTCCACCACACCCTCCCGTACCTCGACCCTCTCTCCGACCGTGACATTGCGCAGCCTCACGGGCCTCCCCTCTGCCAGCTCCTGATTATAGCTCCAGCCGTCCCACGTGATACCGGAGATGGCGTCACTGCCGTTTGCAAAAAGTCTCTGCACCCGTGCCGACCCGTCCAACCCCGGCACGGCAAAGGCATAGCGAAACAAGGGGCGGGCCCGGGCCATGGGGTCGGAAATCTCGCCGGTGCCGTTGACGGTTGAGTTGTGAGCCTCAAGGTTGAGGACGAGGAGGCGGGCTAGTGTTGAGTTGTGGTACGCGGCATAGGCGGCGGCGCGTGGGGTGGGAAGCGAGATGTGGGCAATGGAGATGCGGGGTGGCGGCACAGCGTGACCGGGCGAGAGCATGGCGGCCACGGCGACGTTGCCGTAGTAGGGGGGCTTGGTGCCGGCTACCGTCGTGGATGTGGTGATGGGCTGCCAGCTGCCGTACTACCAAGGCGTTAGTACAGAGATAAGGTAACGAGGGGCAGAAAGAACGAGTCATTTGCGAAACTTACACGGTAGTCGGTGCCCATGTGCATGTGCACACGTTTGATGCCGACAGAGGCCGCGTATAGGTTGAAATCGATGCCCCAGAGGGCTGCTCCGAAAGAGTTGGACAGGCCCGGTTTGCCCTGATGGTAGAGTGAGTTGTGCTCCCCTAGGATATGAGGCGGGACGTCATCGTGGTGGGCCGTCAAGTCGCGATATGTCCTCACATGGGCATCGATGGACTGCGCTGTCTTATGATGGTTCATCAACGTGTCTTGGAGAGTGACGCCGGGACTTTCGGCTCCACTGATGTAGTTGTGCGTCGAGAAGAGCTTGACGTTACCATCGCGGTTGAGACCCTCGGACCACTGTTCACCGGCCTGGAGAGGGTTGTAGACACCGCCGTTTGATGGGGCGACGTAGCGATAGAGATCATCCTCTAGCATGTCACGGCATGACTTGTCCAGAGCGTCCCTGATTTCCCTGGTACCGTTCAACCACTCCTTGATGTATTCTTTGGCGTTCCAGGTCAGAGGCCGCACTGGACCCTGAGCAGAGATGGAGAATAGGTCAGGCTCATTGCCGTACTCCCACAGGTCCAGGTTGGCTTTGCCAATGGCCTTGCAGGCTAGAGGCACGGTAGCCAGCAAAGCAGCACGGCCTTCAGGTTTGATTCCGCCGATGCCGAGGTTGAAGCCATGCGTGAACTTGGTGTTGTTGAACGTGCTATAGGATTCGAAGAAGGATGGGCCAATATCAATGGTCGTGGGGTAATCCTTCGACCTCTTCAGGTCATAGGTGCCGTTGACGGCATAAGGGAGAGACTCATCGTACAAAGCATAGTCTTGCGTGTTGCCGCCAACGCGAACATAGGGTCGTACGCCCTGGAGCTGGCCCAGGTTTTCAAGCAGATTATCGGAGAACCGATTTGGGTGAGATTTATTACCAGCAAAGTCGGGCCAGAAGACAAACTCGATGGAAAAGCTCATAAAGGCATCGAAAATGGGGCTCGTACTCTCGACCCCAGGCACGACATGAATGCCATCAGCCGGAGAAGTAAGGGAGGCTACGACGAGTAGCAATGAGTACAGCATGTCGACAGAGGCTCGCAACTGCGGAAATTGTCTCAAAATGATACCGGCTCGTGAATGAAGCCATGGTGCCAGTGCGGTAACAGCGTCGCGGGCTCTCTCGGCCACAGCAACGAGAGGGTCCAAGACGTCATGTTGGTATGGGGCCATTACGTTGGTGCCGCGAGTTCTTTGGACATGACACTTGGCTTAAGTGCCCCCTGGCGAGTTTTCAACAGCAGGCGATCCTGTGGAGGATGACAATTGCGTTTCGCGGGTAAGATGGCACAGGTCGTCGCTGGCCGCCGCGTGAAACTCCAAATTGATGATGAAGGAGAGACATTCACGCTCAGAGGTAAGGGGTGACATCTCTCATGGACGCTGCATCGGGGCAAGAGGTCTTGCCCGCTTCTTGGCATTGCTTATGCGATGAGAATCAGATGAAGACTCTGCCTTCCCTTACAGGTGGGTAGGTCTGTCGGTCCTCCTCTTGTCGAGCCAGATGTGGCACGGCTGTCGGCGCAACCAACGAATGGCATGGTCATAGCTCCTACCTACTTCTCCTCCGCGCTTACCTAGCAGCAATCATGACGGCCTGGAACCCCACTTCCCCCATCGCACCTGCCTGTAACTCGGTGACCAAAGCCGGGTGGGCGCTGATACCTGGTAGCCCCTCCCCTCGTTGTCCCGGCCCGGTGCTCAACGCCGAATGAACGTCATAACGTGATCAGCGAGACTGGCTGCATTCCGAGTAATTGAACACACATCATCTTCAACCTACCCCTTCGCAGGTCTTGGTTGCACGCCTGAACCACCTGAACCAGTGATCGAGGCCAAACAACAACCCGTCTATTCCACAGTTCCTGCAAGCCCACCTGCCCACCAATGCGGCCCTGAGGTCCTCCTCCATCACCCTAATTAAGCCCTGCGTCTGCACCCTGGCCTTTACGTTGCCGTGCCTCGGCTCACCATCATGCTCAGCATCCTGCCGCGCCCCGGCAACCCTCAGAGGCTATTAAAGCTTTCGTCTCAGGTCACAGCCAGGAGGCCAGTTCGAAACTCTTTCGTGCCCTTTACCCTTCGAACCGCTTCAACCATGGTCCCCAAGGCACGCCCTTTTCCCAGACCCAGCCCCCGGCACCTTGCTAACACTGAAACCTCAGCTCAACGACCCTTCTCTCCTCAAGCAGGATGTATGCTACGTCAACGGCCAATGGGTCAAGGCCAAGTCTGGCAAGACGTTCGAGGTCCACGATCCCGCCACCGGCAAGCTCATCGGTACCTGTCCCGAGTTTGACGGCGCCGATACCGAGAAGGCGATTGCCGCCGCCGCCGAGGCGTTTAAGGACTTCCGTCACAAGACGGGCCGCGAGCGCTCTAAGCTGCTTCGCAAGTGGTACGATCTCATGATGCAGAACGCCGAAGATTTGACCACCCTCATCACCTGGGAGAACGGTAAGCCCCTGGCCGATGCCAAAGGAGAGGTCACCTACGCCGCCAACTTCTTCGAGTGGTTCAGCGAGGAAGCCCCGCGCATTTACGGCAACACCATCCCTTCATCTGTGCCCGGCAACAGGGTCTGGACCATCAAGGAGCCCGTTGGTGTCTGTGGCTTGATCACCCCGTGAGTTCGCCGTCAGTCCCGACCCCCGCTGAATGCCGCCTGCTAAACCTTGGCAGTTGGAACTTCCCTGCCGCCATGGTCACTCGCAAAATCGGCCCTGCCCTCGCCACAGGCTGTACCGTGGTAGCCAAGGCGCCTGCTGAGACGCCCTTCACCTCTCTCGCCCTCGCCGAGCTTGCTCATCGTGCTGGCATACCCGCGGGCGTCGTCAACGTCGTGACCTCTCATCAGAACACTCCCGAGGTCGGCGAAACCTTGACCAGCTCCCCAACCATTCGAAAGGTTTCCTTCACCGGGTCCACCAACGTCGGCAAGCTCCTGATGCGCCAGAGCTCCGACACGTTGAAGAAGCTCTCTCTCGAACTCGGCGGCAACGCTCCCTTTATCGTTTTCGATGATGCCGATCTCGACGCTGCTGTTGCTGGAGCTGTTGCTTCCAAATTCCGTTCCAGTGGCCAGACATGCGTCTGTGCGAACCGCATCTACGTTCAGCGCGGTCTGTACGATGCATTTGCTGCTCGCCTCGCAGACCAGGTCAAGGGTTTCCGCGTCGGAAACGGGTTCGAGAAAGGCACGACCCACGGACCTCTCATTCACGATCGCGCCGTCGATAAGGCTGATGCTCACGTTCGCGATGCTACAGCCAAGGGCGCCAAGGTCCTGGTTGGTGGCAACAAGATGGAGGGGAGCTTCTTCGAGCCAACTGTCCTGACGGGCATGACGCGCGACATGGCCATGGCCGAGGAGGAGACGTTTGGCCCCGTGGCGGGCATCTTCCCCTTTGATACCGAGGCCGAGGTTGTTGCGATGGCAAACAGCACAACCTTTGGTTTGGCCGGCTACTTCTTCTCGAAGGACTTGCAGCGCGTGCACCGTGTCGCCGAGGCCCTGGAGGTGGGCATGGTCGGCGTCAATACGGGACTCATTTCCGACCCTGCCGCACCTTTCGGTGGTGTCAAGGAAAGTGGGTTTGGAAGGGAGGGCTCGCTTTACGGTGTCTCGGAATATCAAATTACCAAAATGGTCACATATGGAGGCATGGGTCAGCCTCTGCAGGCATAGTTCAGAACTGCTCTTTAGTCTTCAAGCGAATCTAGGTAGATGCACAAAGCCCATTTCCTGACCACTCTGTGACCTCGATCTGAGGTAAGCTGACAGCAGCGAAAGAGCTTTGCATGTGCCGGTATAGTCCCAAGCATCTACGTTGAGAAGACCACAATTAAAGAAACCTACTTCCCAAGTAGATTTCGTGGTTCGGGTAACATGCACCGCCCAGAGCGATGGCCCACATATGATCCGGTCGTGATGGCAAAAGTTGTCTATGCCAGGGCTCGAACCTGGGGCCTTTTGTGTTGCATACGGGATGTAAGACAAACGTGATAAACCACTACACTACACAGACAGCTGGTGATTTGCCAAAAAATTACGGTTTATAAAGGGCTGCAAATTAAGATCATGGCACTGTCTTCAACAGAAGCGCAGAGGAAGGGCGCCTTGAGTCGGTGGTCCGATACTTTGGGATGTCGCAGAGTCTTGCTTGTATTTTCTCTGTGACAACCAGGCATTGTTGTCTTCTTGAATTTCTGATGGAAAATTGTCATGTTCCAGTATCATGTGGTTGACGAAGGTTTACGGCGGAGAATAGCCCGTGTGTGCCTTCATGACTCCGCTTGAGGGCCTGACTTCCTCTTGTTTGACATCAGCCTCACCCCTTCAAGCTGAGTTTGGAGACCATGCGGATTGAATGGTGATTCTTGAACCTGCTCACCCCTTGAATTTCTATTCGATAGCCTCTTGCGCAAACGCATATTCTTAGGCGCCGCAATCAGCAGAGGTCCGAGCGTACTCTAGCGTACACATGGTACCTATGGTACCTATGGTACCTAGATACTAGGTACATAGACACTGTAGCTTCTGCATCAGATCCCTGAACCAATGGGAGGTCAGCCGTCCCGCCTTGCCTCTTTCCCTGTCGCGACTCCACGCGACGTCAATCGGCTGTCGCAACCTCTCCACGACTTGTGTGGTTGACCGATATTCCTCTCACGATCACCCACCGCCCATCATGGAGATCGAGACGGACGAGGAAGTCTTGCGGCAGCTTGCTGCAGGGGGCGCCATGGACTAGTAAGTGGCTTGCCTTCCAGTGCTCTAACATCTCTGACCAGGACCTAATCATCGCCAGCGCTCAATGGCCCAACCTGCTCCAAAGCATTCTCTCGAGACTTGACAAGGTGGGCAGACTTACCTATCTTGTTGTTGGCTTCAATGCTGACCATACTCCTCTTTCTGTAGATCGCACATGACGAATTCCCTATCCCGGCCCTACCACCCCCTCCCCAGCAGGCCAACGCACCAGGCCAACAAAGAACCCTTCCGCCCCTCCTTTCCTCGTCGCTCGAGACGCCCACCAGCCGGCCCTCCTCCCAGGATGCCGACAAGGAGAACAACCAACCCCAGAACTCCGCTGCCACCACCGAACCCACCGTCACAGATGATCCAGAAGAGGCGCCGGCGCCGGCGCTGCCAGTAACCCTGCCGCCAGGCGTGCTCCCGCCCCAACTGGACGGCATGCTCACCGAGATTAACAATGTCCTGACCAAGAACTTCACCAAATTCCCACCGCACACAATTCAGCGTGTCTCCGAGCTACTCCTTGAGCCGCGTCAGCACTACCGCCACCTCGCTTCCTACCTCCACGCGCTCGACCGCGTCGTCCATGTCACTTCCACCAACAATATCTACCCTCTGCCGCCCGCCATCCCCGACATGTCGACCATGACGCTCCTCTCCAACGGCGTGACTGACCCCGTCACCGGCGCCATCACATCAACAACGAGGACACCCGAACCGAAAGACCCGGCCGCCAATGTGTCCTGGGGCAACCCCACGACCGCAGCGCCACCAGCCTCCGGCGTCGGCTCCGACGAAGCCCTCGGCGGCGCTTTACTAACCCCCATCCCCTGGCTAACGCGACGTCCCAGCCCCCGAGGCGACTCTGCCTCATCCAGCCCGACCTCAACGCACTCCGGTAGCGGACCCTCGCCCGGCAACGGCCAGCAGTCCCAGGGCCAGCACGAGATCCGCACCGAGTCGACCGAGACGATCGAGGGCCCCAACGGCATGGGCCACATTGAGACGGTCACCATCAGCGTCAACGGCATCTCTTCCGCCGCCAATGCCGCCGCCACGGGCCCCCGTCCCATCACCCAAGGTGAGTTACTACGACAAGAGCAGCAGCGCGGCGTCGTCCCAGTCAGCCAACTCGCGCGCCAAGCAGAAGAAGCCGCCGCCCAGCACATCCACGCCGCCGCCGCCCAGCTCGCCGCCGCTCAGGCCGCCGCCGCCGCCGCCCGCGCCGGGTCGTCCGACGTCGACCCCGATGCTGACCCCGACGCTGACGACGACGACGACATGGCAGCCGATGCATCGACCGCCCCCGCCACCACAGACACGTCCGCCGACGCAGCTGACGGCGACGAGGCGACGACAACGTCCCCCGCCGCCGCGGCAGCCGCCGACCCAGACGAGGTGCCCCACGCCCGCGGCCCGGCCGAGATCGGCGCCGATGACCTCGGCCCCCAGAGTGCGGCCAGGACCACGTACGGCGGCCCCGGCGTCGATATGCAGGGCATCGACGTCGAGGCCGCCGTGGGCCGCAAGCCTGACGAGGAGCCGACGACTAGCGCCAACGAAGACGACGCCGCCTCGGACGCCGAGAGCGAGGCGTCGCAGAAGAGGGAGGCGGACGCCGAGGTTGGGGAGGGTCCCGCGCCCAAGAAGCGCAAGGACGGAGACGGAGACGAGGACATGAGCGATGATGGCACCGAAGACAAGACGGAGCAAGTCGACAGCGCGAAGGAGGGTTGAAGGAATGTCTGTTTGGGAGGGACGAGGAGGGGGGGGGGGGGCTTCACTCGAGGGGCACCATCGGATCCAGAACGGAAGACGAAAGATACCAGGATCAGCAGGGCCTTGACAATGCGAGACTTGGGAACGATCAACATGAAACGGCTCGCCCATGAAGAGCGGCACAGGCAGAACTACACGAACGCAGCAAGTCAAGAGAAACAGGAAACTCTGTCAAGAACTGGTTGTCTTCACTTTCACCATGTATTCGTGAGCGGCACTCCGGACCGCATGCTAAATTATCATGTCCACCGAAACGCCATGCTGTAGAGTTACATCTCGACAATCTTACACGATCTGCACACACATGCATTTACAGCACCCTCGTAATGCTCTCTCGCGAAATAACGCTGCATTGCTTGTCGTCACGCTTCACGCGGAAGAAACTGTCGCAGAACTCGCTGCACCGCATGTGTCGGAGAAACTCCTCGTCGTGGGTGATGACGATGAGCTGGAAGTTGCTCTGCGCCTGGCGTGACTTGATGATGTGATGCAAGCTCTCGGCGAGAGACTTGATGTTGTCCTTGTCGAGGTTGGTGGTCGGCTCGTCTAGTGCGATGAGGCCGCAGTTGACGCCGAAAGACTCCGCCAGCGCGAGGCGGATGATGATGCTGGCGAGCACCTTCTGGCCAGCTGAGCAGCGCCCGCGCATGTCCATCTCGGTGTCCTGCTTGACCATGCACACGCGGTAGTTGTACGAGCGCCGGCCTGTGGCACCTTCGTTGTCGGACCGAATGAGAATCGTATCAATGTCGGTACCTTGGTATGTGCTCTGCCACAGCTCGCCAGCGATGCGGTTGACTTCTTCCATCTTGAGGCCGTGGTACTGCATGATGGCCTTGTCGAGCGCGGCGCCGTAGCGACCGAGATCCTCGATCGCCGCCTTGGTCGTCTCGACCTTGATGTGGGACTCTCGATACTTCTTGGAAGCGTCCCGGTAGTCCATTTCCCACTCGCCAAGAAGTCGCGCAAGCTCCTCGTCCTTGGTCTTCATCTGGCCCATGAGGGAGCCGCGTTCGGCTACTAGCATGTTGTGACGGTTCTCTAGTTGGACTGCCTCGTCATTGAGCCGGTCGTAGTCGTCATCGGCGTCGCAGGATTGGAGATCGTCAATCTCAGCGCGAAGCACATCGAGTTGACGCCTGTTCTGGCGGAACTTCAGGTTGTTGCTGATGTTTTGCTTCTTCCGGTCGCCATTATCGATGTCTTGCTTCAACTTATTCGTCCGGACCGTGAGATCGGATATTTCCTGTTCCGTGGCCGCAATCGTCTTTTCAAGGCCATCAATGGCGCGCTGGTTCGCGGCGAGATTCGAAGGCCCCCCACGGTCCATGTAGTCCTGAATGTCGCTCTCGACCATCTTGAGTTCAGTAACCGAGTTGGCAACCAAATCGCGCTCCTCTACGATGGCCTTTTCTTTCGCGCGGCCGCGCTGGAGCGTATCATCCCGCACTGCGCGAGCCTCTGCGATTGAAGGCTCGATGACCTCCAGATCTTGGTCAGCCTTCTGAATGAGCTCCCGTTGATTGGCCTGATCCTCTTTCAAAGTTTGGATCTGGTTCTGGAAGTCCTTCTTGCGCTCCAATTGACTCTGCACCCTACTGAGCTTGTTTTTCAACTCGCTCTTTTCTAGTTCTAGGCTGTTGAGCTGGTCTCGCATTCTCTGCCGGTCAGTTGTAATCTTGGTGAGTCGAGCTTTCGTCGAACGCATCTGCTCTTTGCAGGTTGCCTGCAGCTCATGTATTTCATCTGCAGTTCGCGTAGCCATGCCAGATGACTGTTGCGACATGATCCGCTCAACCTGGGCCTCGGAATCCTTCATGTCTTTGAGAGTCTGAGAGATGTTCATGACTGTCTTATTCAAGGTCTCAACGTCGGCCTGTTTCGCCTCTTCGGCATTGACATTCTCATCATGCTCTTCAAGCTGCCTCTCGTGGGTCTCGAGCTCGGCCTCAAGAGTTTTGCACGCTTCTTTCAGACCCGGTAGCTCGCCTAGTGACCGCTCGTACGTTTCGTGATGAACTCTGACTTGCCGTAACTTATCGAGCGTCGCCTTGGACTTGTCGAGATCCTCACTGGCCTTCTCTTTCTTCGAAGGGTCAAGATACTTGATAAGCTTGTCCGAGAAACGCGACTTGTTGACGCTCTGTTTGTCGTCGAAACCTCTGTCACATAGCTTGCACTTGTTCTTCTTGGTCAATGTCTCCTGACATTGCTTGTAGTAATCAGACAACGCCTCCAGAAGGCTGATGTCCGTCGAGTAGGCCTCGACATCCTCCTCAAGAAGTTTGACCTCCTCAGCATAGTCGTCGATGGTGGCCTCATCCCTGACCTGTTTTAAGACGTCGAGGACCTTGTCGTGACAGCGAGAAATCTCGTCTGACTTCTTTTGTTGCGCGTCCCGCGCTGATTTCAGGCTGAAGTCAATTTTTTGTTGCTTCTCGCGTGCCATGTCCCGTTTTTGCCGCGTCTGTGCAACAAGCTGCGACTGCTTTTTGAGCACTGATTGGAACTGTGGTTCAATTGTCTCCGCCTGCCACTCACTGCCGATCTGTGCGTCAAGCTTCTCCTTCCACGTGCTTGTGAGAGTCTCCAGCTTTCTCTTGCGGTCAATCAGCTCCTTTTTCCGGTATTCCAGCTGGGCTCGCTCGGAAGCTAGACGCGTGGCCTCCATCAGCTCTCGGCCCAGTTTGTCGTTTTCACTCTCCAATTGATAGAGCTTCTCGTTTTCCTGCTCGATTTGACTATCGAACCCGGCGCTTTCGATTGACTCAGTCGTCTTCGCCAGCCGGCCCTCAATATCTTCAAATTGACTGTCCAATATAGCCTTGGCACTTTCATCGACATCTAATGTGTTGATATCATTTTGGATGACGGCGGTCCGCTTCTCGATGGCACCCATGCGCTGCTTCGCGAACACGCGATTCTGAGTCATGGTAGATTTGCGGCCCTCGAGGTCAGTTATGATGCCAGTGGCCTTGTCAAGCTCCTGAGCGTTTTCCTTCTGGACGCGCTCGAGATCCCGTTTTTTGTCGCCTAGAAGCTTTTGAATCCTGTCGTTGAACGACTTGATCTGCGTGTCTTTCAGGTCTCCGTCAAAACCTCGAAAGCCGTGCAGCTCTGCAGCTTCGTGAATCAGGTCGACACGCGAGGCAAGCTGACGTTCGTACTTGTCCTTGTCCGACTCATGCTTGCCCTTCTCGGAAAGTTTGGCCGACAAGTCATTCCTTGATCTGCCTAGATCGTTCTGGAGTTGTGTGTACTGCGATCTGTTCTGGCGCTCTTCAGTCTGGAAGCGTGCCATGCGCTCCTCATACTGTGATAAATTGGTTTGCAGAGTCTCATCGTCTTCTTCGAGCTCCTCCAGAGTTGTCTGAAGATCCGAGATGGCGCCCTGTCGGAATTTGAACTGCTCCTTTTTGTATTTGAGGTCATTAACAATGTTCAAGAACTTGTTGGCCTCGAGCCGCTTCTGCTTGATCTGCGCCGAGAGCTCGGCCATCTCATCATTCATGCCGTTGCATGCTTCCCTTGATCCCTCAATCTCGGCTTGAAGCTCCATGGATCTCTTCTCGGCGCGGTCGCCTTTCTCCTTGTTGATCTTGTCCTGGCTCTCGTGTATCTTGAGGCGTGCAAGCTCCTCGCCTTGCTTCTTCCGGAGGACCTTGAGGTTGTCAATGGCTTTTGTGTACCGCATGGCTTCAAAGATTTGGTCAAACTGTTTCTTCAAGGCGCCGGGCTCGCTCATGGGCCACAGAGACTCGTCCTGATGGCAGAATATGACGTAGTCCAGAATGGCGGTCGAAACGCCGAGGAGAGCGGGGACGGCCTCGTCCATCTGCGCCACTCGCGTCGAGAGAACGGACCGTTCGCCATTGTTGTTCGTCGCTAGCGACCCCTCGAGGGTCTTGAGGGAGCGGGTGGTTTTCTTGATTGTCAACTGAAGACTTCGCGTAACGACATGCTTAACGCCGGTGGTCGAGGTGAATGCCAGCTTGACCTGCGCCAGGACCTCCTTCTCGCCGATGAGCTGGAAATGCGAGGATCAGCAGAGAAAGCTTGGTGGTACGAGGTGGTTCGCCGAACCGAAAACGCGGGGTAGGACGTACTTTAGGGTCGTGGACGAACGCACCGCCCTTGCTGTTGGGGGGCTGCTCGCCAGTGGTGGCGTATTTGAGGCATTCAATGATGGTCGTCTTGCCCGAACCGTTGTAACCGACAATGAGGGTTAGGGGCGTGAAGAATTGCATGGTCTCACGGCCACTGCCGGTCCCGAAGGACCGGATGCCTTGGACGGACAGCTTTTCGATCTTGGACATGGTCGACTACCACTGTGGTGTAGGGTAGAGATCCATAGAGGAGTAAGGGATGATGCGGTCTCCACAGAGGCGAGTGCAAATGCTGGGAGTCCAGCAAGGGGGGTCTGTGGGGGTCGAAGAAACCGCGTGATAGTAGTAAAAAGCCTAAGTGAAGGGTCTGGGAATAGAGGCAGGCCGCACTTTGAGCATCAGACGCGGTGACATTCGACCGGCACGCGTTTGAGTGGGTTAGGCAGGGGTCAGTGGGGAGCGTCAACCCGTGACCTGGAGCTGCCTAGAGGTATCTGGAGTGGGGGCTTTGTCGACGCTTAAGGTACCTTACCTAATGTGCCTACCTAGGTAGGCCTAGCTATATGTGGATAGGTAGGTAACTGTAACTGACGCCTTTCCAGTTCAGTTCAGCCCATCTTTCACGGGCACTGAGAGCACCAGTCACATCGGCACCACCGGATTTACGTTTAGAGTCCCGGACTTACAGCGCAGGAGACCCTGGGAAATCGCAAGGAGGCCGTTCGAGGTCGTGCGGTATCGCATTTCAGCTAACGCTGCGGGCAGTGCGGCAAGACGCGATCATTGCACACGAGATAGTTGTATGACGACAGATGACTCGAAATTGCCCCCGGCAAGCTGGGCCTCCTGCGTTGCAGTATTTTCCCCATCGATGTCCATGACCAGCACGAGACACGGCGTTGCACCTGACATCCTTTCCTGGGTGGTACAGCAGAGACTCCGCAAAAAAAAGCCATGATATCTTCAACGCAGGGTGCCGAAGAGGTTCGACAAGGCTTTTGATGACGGACGGCGGTTCATAAACAGCACACCGTGATACGGATCAGGGAAACACCGCGTCGTCGTCGTGCAAAGTCGAATGCCTCGAGACCAGACACCGGGAAGACGCGACAGGCATGCCCGCAGGGACATGTCTCGTTTGAGTTACCTCAAGAGAAGCAGGTATTTAGGCCGAGCGTTGTGCTTTCTTTGCCGCACAATTTATTTTCTCCAATACCTCACGCCATACTTCCTTCTTTCCTCCTAGCTTTTTCTCCTTCCGTTTGTTTCTTTCGTAGCAGATTGGGACTATCAGGTCCACGACAGTGTAGGTGTTGGACGCCCCCCCCCCCGGTCTGGACGGGGCGAAGGACTGTTTGCTCCGGACGCATCGCAGGGTCCTGTCGCAAAGAGGACATGATCGACATTCTCCACGGTCTCGTGGCATGCCATTCGCACAACCGTGTCGCTGGAGTTGGGTCCAGAGGGGTCTGTGAAGAGGGGTTTTCTTTCGCTGGGATTCCAAGAGGAGGGAGCACGCCAGCACCGCCAGCGAGTGCAGTACTGCTAGCAAGTACAGTACTAAGTACTACTGCCAGGCGGTGCCAAAACTGACGTCTCCACATGTGCTCAGCTCCACTCAAGAGCGGGCTAGTCGACCCAAGACCGAACGGCGCAGAGCGAGGAGGGGGATGGAGAGTCCCGGTGTCGAAGAACGTCCCGTGTCCAGGGCCCAAGTCGGGGGCCAAGACCCAGATTGCCATGTTTGCAGTATTCCCATTTCCAAATTTCCCATCCTCTTCGCCTGCCTGTGGGTACCCTCCCTTACAGCGCACTGTTTCCCTTCATCACCAGCAGGACACAACTCACGACCCGACAGCACCAGCCGCAGACGCAGTCGACTTGATTGCATCACGCACCGAGGGGTCACGTAGGTACAGGCGAGTTCGTGTAGCCTGCCAGCTTGCCAGCTTGCCTTTCAAGATACCTACCTGGGCACCCATCTCACCACCCAGCAAGCCAAGCAGACAAGCGAGCCAGACCAAACGGTGAGTCGCAGGCGCATTCACTTTCACCTTCCCATCCCACAAAAGGAGGGGAGGACAACGGGCAGCTCTACGTTTCCTCACCTGCCTTCGTCCCAAGCACCTCCCCAACCCCGAGAGACTGGCATGGGTACCTTTGGAAGGTCCTACCCAACGAGGCAGGCACCTCGTCAGCATCGTCGAGCAGGAGCGGCAGGCGCCCTCCTCTTTCTCTCTTGTTCCCAGCATTGCTTTTACTGATACGTACCTTTCTTGCGCAGACCTGACCGACAGATTCCCGCCCCGTACCTGTCCGTACCTTACCTTATTACTTCCCTCACTTACCCACCACCCTACCTTGCCTCAGGTGCCATAATTCCACCAGCGTTTCCCCCTTCCACCCCTTCTCGAGAGAACACGCTGCTCTCTTCAAATCCTCGTCTCGCCCGTAAAAACCACTCCATGCCGCATGCCGCATGGCCACGGTGGTTCGCGCCAGGTTGTGCATACCGTTTCTTCCCTTCAGACCCTGCTTGGTAGACACCCTAAAAAATAAAAGTAGGAGGGGCCTGTGTCTATCCAGCCCCAGGTAAGCGCCAACCTGATCCGACATCTGTCCAGGCCCGACACCATCGCACCAGGTGCTCGTTGTCGTCTCCCTTGTCCCGATCCAGTCCTATCGCGCCCGAAAGCTGGAGTTTTAATTTTTTTTTCCCTCTCTCCTACTTCCCAGGCGTTCTTTTCGGGCAAGTCAGACCTGATCGATTCAAATCTTCACATTTCGCGTTTGTCATTCTGTGCTCTGTTGCCAGCGACAGCGACAAAAAGACGAGAGCGACGTACGAACACCCTCGAAACGGAACCAGCCATCGGACACCCCCGGCACCTTGACTGACGGTTGACTTGACGTGCAACCGCAACGGACGGTCACCACGACCTGGGCCCTCGGAGTGCACGCCTTCTCCGCGACCTAAGACAAACGAATAGCCGGCCAGAGCCAGCAGAAAGCCATCACCTACCTCATCAGATTGTGGCAGCGGGAAGAAGACGGCACCCTCAACAGCCTGCATGCCCCAGGGCGCACTGATGCGCTGAGCCCCGAGCGTTGAGCCGTCCGTAAGGATCCAGACCCTGGGTTCCTTCATTCGACCCGACGCTGGACCCAGGTCTAGCCAGGGCCGACGCCCGATTGTTCACCATGTCTCGTGGGCCACCACCGCCGGCTGGCGCCAATGCCTACACCTTTGGCGACTTCGACTTCAACTCGCTCGTCACGGATGCTGTACGTTTGACCCCTCCACTTCTACCGTCACCTCTCACCGTCCCGCCCGTCGTTTCACTCTTCAACCTTGGTCGGCTTTCCCAGGCACCGAACCGAACCCCCCCCCCCTTGCCTGAGTCTCCCATTCAACCTCTCCCATCTCTTCTTTAGCTTGCCGTTCATCCCTCCAAACCCACATGCACAGCGCACCCCACGGTCCATTGCGACCGCACACTGCTACACTGACCCTGCGCGCGCCGCGACGCTGATCCTCACCCTTTGGTGGTACAGAGCCGTCTGACTCTGTTCTCTGCACCCCGCCCCAGAAAACGTCGCTGACCCGCCCCTCTCCAATGGAACAGATGGCAGATGACCCCAGCATGATGGCCATGCTGGGCGACAGCTCCATGTATGACAATTTCGACTCGATGGGCATGAATCTCGACAACCCACCCGACGACACATCCCTCGCCCAATTCAGCGTCCAGATGAACAATAACCAGGTCGCCGCCGCCGCCGCCATTGGACAGGCCATGCGCGACGGCAGCCCTATGTCACCACAGCAGAAGAATGGCTCCAACTTCTTTTCCTTATCAGCAGAGGATCACCAAGGCTCTGGCCCCGGCGCCGGCCCCGCGCCAGCCGCCGGCTTCAGCTCCCAGGCTAACATGCCGGGCGGCAATACCCTGACCGAATTCACGAAGCGCCGGAACTGGCCCGCCAAGGTCGTCGAGGAGCTCAAGGACTTTCTGCAGATTCTCGACGCCAATGGTCGCATTCGCTTTGTATCCCCGAGCATCCTCAGTGTTACCGGCTACACCTCGGAGGAGATTGCCGACAAGTTTCTCAAAGACTTTATTCACGATGACGACGTTGGTGTTTTCGTCGCCGAGCTCAATGAGTCCATCGCCTCTGGCAACCCGCTGCGCATGTTTTACCGTTTCAAGAAGAAGGACGACACGTATGCCATCTTTGAGGCTGTCGGCCACGCTCACATTGCCGCCGCGAAATTTGCGCCGAACCCCCACAACCAGTCGCCATTCTGTCAAGCCGTGTTCATGATGGCGCGACCCTACCCAACGAAGAACGCTGGGCTGCTCGACTCATTTCTCGAGCACAAGATCGAGAATGAGCGCCTGAGGCGACGCATCGCCGAGCTGAGGCGCGAGGAGGAGGCGGAGAATGACGAATCGCAGAGGCAATGGGCGAGCCAGGACGGACGGTCGGATGCGACACCTTCGGAGACGACCATGAAGTCCTCATCCGTGGGCAGGCCGGCGCTCTATCACCAAAACACCAGCGGCAGCAGCACATCCATGGGCCCGCCGCCGGACAGGACACCGCTCAGCGTGGCATTAACACGCGAGGCGCTGGAAGGCGTGGCCAACAGCCGGCCGGACTCGCTCAAGGAGAAGATGGCGCGGTACGAAGGCTCTCACGCCGAGCAGATTGAGATGCTGACGGGACTAAACTACGTCGATGGCGAGCGGAGCAAGGGCATCACGACGGGCAACGCGAGCCCGACGCTCATCAAGGGCGATGCGGGAATCGCGATACCGATGGACCGGGATCCGCGCACAGGTGATAAGAAGAAGAAGCTCAAGACTTCGGAGGAATACGTGTGTACTGATTGTGGTGAGTTCTCTCGGGCGCCGAACGGCCGTCCACGCTGGTTGAGCGCGGTCTTCCGACACGAAACATGCACGCTAACGCCTGCGGGTGACAGGCACGCTCGACTCGCCCGAGTGGCGGAAGGGTCCCAGTGGGCCCAAGACGCTATGCAACGCGTGCGGCCTGCGGTGGGCGAAGAAGGAAAAGAAGGTCAAGAACAGTCCGAGGATAGGAGGAGGCGGCATGGCGGAGTAGAGGGAAAGGGCTTCCTGACGGAGAAACGATTTTACAGTGCCATGGTCATGGCCTGTGCCTATGGCCCGTTACTGCGCTGATGGTAGCATAGGAACGAACTACACGCGCAGAAAGCAGCGCATGGCCAACGAAAACGGGGCAACCTGTGAAGCAGCAAAGCCTATGCCAGGGGCAGAGGACAAGGTGCGGGGGAGAGCAGCAGAAGCTGAAGAAGCCAGACGCTGACAACGACAACGACAACGACAAGGTTTCATCTGTACAACATGATGGGAGGCACAAAGGGAGCACGACATAGTCTGACAGGCGGGAAACGACCTGGATGCTTGGAAAACTTGGGTCGTTCCACCGCCAAGCGGAGGAGAGCAGCAAGTGAGGGGGTGTCAAGAAAGAAATCCTGGATGTGCTGCTTCTGGAGCTGAATCCGTGCAGCTTGGCTCAGGCCATTGAACACGTCGGTCAAAAACACAATTGGCCCAGCAGGACGCTGATCCGATAGTTTATCCCCTAGAGGGGCCGCGGTCCCCTGTTGCGCGGGCGGGTTACAGGTGATGGTGGGCTTGGAGCGGCAGCGGTAGTGGGGTAGCTTCGTGGTATGTGCAGCCGCTGTCGATGGACGACCCCGCAGCGCGTCATGGAGCTGTCAGTGCCGGCGGGAGCTCAAGTGGGGTGGAAGGCATCTGGTAGTAGCTGCCGATTTACATGTTGCCCAGAGGTATCTGAGGGGAAGGTATGGCAACGTGACAGCCTTCCCTACCTTACTTATCTATGGTACCTACCTAGTGCCTGCCTTGCATGGTGTGACTTTTGCCTCTGTTCCATGTCCTCAAGCTACCTGAGAAATATCAGTTTATTGGCAACAGCTTCATATTCACCCTACTACAACACTTCCTCTTCATCCACACATCTTGCACCTACATCTCCATCATGGACAAACTCATCAGTATTGGAAAGGACCTCCTCGATGATAGCGGAAACAAGAAGCAGCAGAACCAGCAGAACCAGCAGGCTGGCGGATTCCAGAGCCAGCAAGAGCACGTCCAGCAGGGCCTCGCCGGTCAGTACCAGGGCCAGAGCCAGAGCTCCGGCCAGCCTCTTCCCGGAGGCAACAGTACGTCTCCCTGCCCTCCTTTCATCGGCCCCAGCATCTGAACGCGGAGCCCTGTCAACACAAAACCTGCCTGCTTGTTTGGCCCCCCCTTTCCTCTCTTCCTCCTCAGGGATCTGACGCACCAGCAGAAGCAGCAGGCGGCGCCTACGGCCTCCCCGGCGGCGACGACGACGACCTCCGGTCGGCCGCCGACCAGGCCGCCCAGCACGCCGGCAGCCACGGCGACAAGGACCTCTTCAGCGGCATCGTCGGGTCCCTGACGCAGAACAAGTCGTCGGTGCAGCAGCAGGGCGTCGACGAGGACGACGTGCTGTCCAAGTACAAAAAGTTCTTCGGCGGCGAGGACCAGCGCGACGAAAAGGCCGACGACAAGGGCCTCGGCGCCGCGGCCGCGCTGCAGGCGCTCAAGCTCTTCAACAGCGGCGAGACCAAGGGCCAGAAGGACACGCAGGGCGGCTTCCTCGCGCTCGCCATGGCCGAGGCCAGCAAGCTCTTTGACGACAAGGCGGGCAGGGGCGAGGTTGAGCAGGGCACGAGCAAGCAGAGTGTCGTGCAGCAGGCGGGCGAGGTGGCCATGAAGCTGTACTTTAAGAACCAGGCTGAGCAGCAGGGCGGGCTCGTGGGCATGGCGAGCAAGTTTTTGAAGTAGCAAGGCCAGGCGTGGATGATGTGACGAGATGCGACAATGGACAAGAAAACGTTCCCCATCAAAAAGTGAGATCAAGTTCAAGAGACTGGCAGGGCAGGCTAGAATAAATCACGACTATACTGAATCCCATTCGACAAACTTTTTCACACACTCTGTTTCCCCTTGGCCTTGGCCTCCTTGGCCAGCTTCAGCACGTCCACCCACGCCTCGGGCCGCACCCTGCCGCCCTCGACCTTGTCGCTGAGGTATCGCTCGCTCTCGCCCGCCCACGCGAGCAGCTGCTCCTCGGCACCCCACTCACCGAGCGCCATGAGTCCGACGGGCAGCCTGCCGCCCTCACCCTCGCCCTCGGCGGGCGCGGCGTAGCCCACAGGCACGGTCACGGCGGGACAGCCGGTGAGGTTGGCGAGGAAGACGTACGACATGGCGGCAATGGTCTTGTTGGCATCGCTCATGCCGCGGGCGTCGTCGCCGGCGCCGCGGCGCCAGCCGTTGAGCGGCGATGTCGGGGTGACGAGCAGCAGGCCCGGGTGGGCCTCGAACAGCGAGGCGAGGTGCTGCATGATGAGCTGGCGCAGGCGGCCGGCGCCGAGGTAGTCGGCGGCCGGGGTCTGCGAGGCGATGGACAGCAGCAGGCGGTTCGGCGCGTTGATGACGGAGCGGTACTCGGGCAGCCGGGCGCTGACGTCGGCGTGCATCTCGGCGATGCAGAGCAGCGAGTGCACGAGCTGGGCGGCGCGCAGGTGCGGCAGCGCCGTGTCGAGCACGGCGTAGCCCTGCGCTTTGTAGTGCGCGAGGGCGTCGTCGCAGGCGGCGCGCACGGCCGGGTCGGCGCGCGCCCACCACGCCTTGTCGACGGCGATGACCTTTTTGTGGGTGGCTGGCGGCGGCGGCAGCGATGGCGCGAGCTGAGCCTGACCCGGGTCGTCGGAGCGCGGGCGGGCCATGACGCGGTAGGCGAGCGTCAGGTCGGTGACGGTGGCGGCGAGGGGTCCCATGACGCAGCACGAGTGGCGCATGGTCATGGTGCGGTGGTGCGTGGGCTTGAGGCCGTAGACGCCGTTGGCGGAGGCCGGCACGCGGATGCTGCCGCCGGCGTCGGTGCCGATGGCAATGGGCACGAGGCCGGCGCCCAGGGCCGAGCCGCCGCCCGACGACGAGCCGCCCGGGTAGTAGGCCGGGTTGTGGAAGTTGGTGGGCGTGCCCCAGGTCGGGTTGCAGCCCGACGTGTCGGAACCGAGCTCGTGCATGGCGTTCTTGGCCACGACGATGGCGCCGGCCTCCTCGAGCGCCCGGATCGGCCCGGCCGTCTCCTTGGCCGCCGCGAAGAAGGGCAGCTTCGGGTAGTACCGCAGCCCCATGTGCGACACGTAGCCCTCGACGTCAACGTCGTCCTTGACCGACACGGGCACGCCGTCGAGCGGGCCGAGGGGCTTACCCTCAGCCCAGCGCTTCGTCGACGCCTCGGCCGCCTCGCGGGCGCGCCACTCGTTGTCGTAGCTGTCGACCCAGGCGTTCTGGTATTTGTTCTCCGGCGTCTGGTTGCGGCGCGTCAGCGGCAGCAGGGCCGAGACGACGTCGAGGGGCGTGAGGGTGCCGTCGCGGTAGCGGGTCTGATAGTCGACGCTCGAGAGGTAACGGCCCTTGGACTCGGGGGCCGGGGTCTTGAGGTCGAGGCCAAAGTCGAGGTCGAGCTCGGTGTTTTCTTCGCCTCTGATCGGCAGGGGGACAACATCTGGCTGGGAGGAGGAAAGAAGAAGATGAAAGTCAGCTGGTTGTGATGAATGGAGCGGGAGGGTTCAACAGGTCAACCTACGTGAAGGCGGTAATCATAGTCGCCAAGCTCAGGCATGTCGCGCGTGACGCCGAACTTTGCGTTGTTCCAGAAGAACCTCTGCAGCGTGGGGACGTTGTTGACCCTACATTGTCAGCCAGGGCGAGTTCAACGGGCACCTCCCGGAGGTGCCCAGCTCGAGGCAAGACGTACAGGCTCGCCGCGGCGACGAGTGGGAGTCCATTGAGGATGGGGTTCTTGTCGTCCTCAGCAGCGTCTGCCGGGGTGGCGCTGAGCTTGACAGCTTTGGCTCCGGGATAGTTGGCGAACGGTCTGTTGGGCGCCATGATGGGCGGGTCGAGATGTGGTCGTGCTGTGGAAGTCGGGAGAAGACGTAGATAGGCAATCGTGGCAATTGGTATCCGTGTGCGACGAGGAGATGAATTCAAGGGCGTCAGAGGGCAGCGACGTCCCGAATATGATACAAAGACGTTCCTTCCTGGATGAGGTCAGACGGGGGACGGGGACGGGCAGAAACGAGGCGGACCCCGCGGAGGGTCGGTGCAACGATGGAGATCCCGACCTGCTCTCGTCTTGAGCTACCTACCTGCTACAGCACCCTGACCAGCTTGAGTACCTCCCTATCTACCTACCTAGGTAGGTACCTCGACAGTACTTCCAGGCAGTGCGTAGCTCCCGCTAGCGCAAAGCTTCAGGGTGGAGCTCGGCCTCCTCTCCTGGCATGTGATGCGGCTCACCCCAGATTTGTGTCTTGCTTCCCTGCAGCCTGCCTATCTAGTTCCGCCAGTACGCGGATACTAAGGTATGCAAACGTACTGGCCAAACGGATCTATCGGACTGCCTCTGAAGTGTCGTATGTCAACGACTCCGGTTCCTCGTATGCTAGCGCTGCAACGCCACCTCCAGACACCTCAGGCAGTGAAGAAACTGTTTCAAATGGAGCAGGTAAACCCGAAGTATGTGCTAGATTTTCCGCTATCCTACAGAAGCCTCCTCAACGTCCCCATCACTGAGCCCATCCCTTGCCCTCGCCCGCAATCGTGCTCTCCCGTGCGTCCTGGTACTTCCACCGGCTGGGCTCAAAGATGATCTCAAAGCTGTTGTGGTTAAACGTTCCAATGGCGCAGCTCAGATCGTGGTAGCCCTCGAGACCCGTGACCGGCAGGTCCTCCTCGGCATCGGCCTCCTCGTGCAAGTTCCAGCTGCCCATAATATTGCCCTCGCGTGTGAAGAAGATGTCGACGTTGATGCTGCCGTCGCCACGAGGCGACAGTGACATGCCGATACCCACCGTCTCGCCAACACGGAATGGCTCCGTAAATGAGTGACCGCCGGCCCAGTCGTTGACGTACTTGTGGCCGTCATCGCCGTGGACGGCCAGCGACCCGCGGTGCCAACCAGGCATGCGGAAGTTGGGATACGGCAGCGCCGTGAAGCCCAGCGCGAGGTCGACTTCGTCGGGCCGGCTGTCGGGACGGATGTGCACCTCATAGTAGATGCGGACGGGGCGGCCTGTGACCAGTGGCGAGTGTGCGTGCGCCGAGTACAGCGGGGGGTAGCCAATGATGCAGCTGTCCTTGGCCGAGACATCGGTGCGGCCTTCCCACGTGCCCGGGACCGTGGCCGAGGGCGCGAGCGTGCCTCGAAAGTTCTGCGGCTGCATGAGGTTGATGTTGTGCGTACGGAGCGCCTCATGCGCTTGTGGTGGCAGCGGCACAGGCTGGATGAGAGGGTACTGGTCGCACCATGCGGCGCCGGCATGGGCCTCCTGCTCGGAAGCATTGTTCGCCGGCGAGCGCTCAAAGCCGGTGAAGAAGGAGGGAGGGGGAGGGAAGAGCGACGTGTCGGGCACGGCATGCTGCCAGTTGTGCTGGCTCTTGGAGTCGGTAGGGGGAGGACCGGGAGGCGGCGCGTAGTCTCCGCTGGGAGGAGGACCGGGAGGCGGGCCGTAGTTGTCACCTCCTGGGGGCGGGCCGGCCGGAGGACCATAGTTATCGACACCGGGTGGCGGGCCCGGCGGCGGGGCAAAGTCACCGCCAGCAGCAGGTGGTCCTCCGGCGGGCGGTCCTCCGACCGGTAGCGCAAACTGGCCGTGGCCAGGAGGGGGTCCTGCAGGAGGGGCATACGTCTCGTGTGTTCGCGACTCGGGAGGAGCGTAGCTTCCGTCGGGAAGCAGACGTACAGGGCGCTCCGGAGCATCGTGCGTCTCATGACCAGGAGGGGGCCCGGGAGGGGCAGAGAAGCCCGGAGGGGGGCCAGCCGGTGCATCGTAGTCTTGACCCTGAGGAGGACCCGGAGGCGCTGCGTAGCCGCCATTCACATTGTGGCTCGGAGGAGGCCCGCTCGGGGGCGCGAACTGCTCGTTGTGATCATGGTGAGGCGGCGGAGAGCTCGGCGCGGCATATTGCGCGGGCGGAGGTCCCGAAGGAGGAGCATAGCCGGTACTGCTGGAGGCCTGAGGAGGAGGAGGGCCGGCAGGCGGTGCGTATTCGCCATGGCCAGGAGGCGGCCCCGAGGGAGCGGCATAGTGGTCGTGATTGGAGGCCGACGATTCGCCTTGTTGCGGCTGTTGCTGGTTCTGGCTCTCCTTCTCTTGGCGCTTCTTCTCGCTCGACTTGCTGCGGATGCTCGCGGGCCGAGCAATGCGCTGTGAGCCGGCTTGGGAGGCGCGGGGCGAGGAAGCCTGCGCAGGCCGCGCCGCAGGCGTATCGTCTTTTTCGTCCTTGCCGAAGCACATGGTGGGTGATCGGAGACAGGGAACGAGGTGAGGTATGTATGTCGGGAAGATGGCGTGCGGCTGGGTGTTCGTGTTGGAAGACGTGAGGACGTTGGCTTTCGAATTGAGGCCCGCCACTGAAGGTTGAGCACGTTGAGATGGGGCGGCGATCGCACTGGACCAGCTTCAAGACGATTGTGTTCGGGTGGGAAGCAGGGGAGGAAAGAAGCGACAGAGAGGAGATGTCGCCAGAGTGGTGGCACTTTTGAACTGGGGGGCGGTGCCGGTGACTATTGTCTATTGTCTGGGCGGGCAGGCGTGGGTGTGTGATGAGGTCGTCGGGAAAGAGCAGCCCACCGAGCGAGGCAAGAGCTCTCTTGGCGATTACCCTGTTGAGCACAAGCTCCTTCCTACATGCTGCTCCCTCCCACCTGCTGCCCCGCACCACTTGCCGTTTTACCCTCCAACCTGCGAGCCTGCCATTGCGCCATTCCATTCGCTCTATCATGTCTTGCTAGGTCTCGACCTGTGAGGCCAAACATGACGCTGCCTGTTGAACACTGTTTGCCCGCGCTTCATGGCAAACAACCCAGGCCTGGCCATTGCATGTCACTGTCGACCCATGCCAGGCACCACCTGCGGTTGGGGACGCCACGGGGGTGGGAGGCCGCCTGGCCATTGGTCTGAGGAGCCCCGCCGCCACGAGTTGCCTGCCTGGCCCGTGCTCAAGCTTACGCGTGGGCCAAGACATGGTTGAGCAGCTCCTGCTCGGCCAATTACCGCGACCTACCTACCTTCCGCAATATCGCCACGGTTGAGTTCCGTTTTCTACTCGACCGTCACAGCATGGCCGTTACGCTGTACCACACTGTGTTGGATCACACAGAGGCATCACGTTCGAGGGAGACGACGCCTGGCTTCCACAGCCTGCAGAGGCTTCAATACCCCTGTAGCAGAGCGAACAGGGCAAAGCAAGCCAGTTCCCATTCCGAGTGTTACAACAGCTTCCATCGTACATGAACGTGCCCTTCCACCCTCTACCACGCGGCGACCTCGCCCGCCTTGGGCTTCTGCATCCGAACCACCTTGTCGCAGTTGAGCAGGCAGAGCGGGTCGAACGCCTTCTTGATCTGTCTTGTGTCAGTGGGGGTCTCCAGGAGAGGCTGTATGGATGGAAGAGGCGTCTCTATGCGGAGGCTCCTGTACGTACCTGTCGCATGGCGTCCACGGTCGTCTCGCCGAGCTCGTGCGGGAGGTAATCCCTCTTGACGAGGCCCACGCCGTGCTCGCCCTGCTGCCGTCAGTCTGAATACCCACAAAGTCCTGACGGGATGCACATACCGTGACGGTGCCCTCCATCTCGACGGCGCGCTTGACCATGTTGTGCACGAGCGTCTCGGCCCTCTTGCGCTCCTTGTCGTTGTACAGCAGGATGACTGCCTCGTTAGATGTGTGTGCCCAGTGACGAGGAGTGACAAGACGAGGGGGGAAAAAGAGAACTCACTGTGAAAGTTGCCGTCGCCGACGTGGCCCACAATGGTGCCGAACAGCCCGCTCTTGCCCATGGCGTCCTTGGTCTCCTCGATGATGTCCGGCAGCCGGCTCATGGGCACGGCGACGTCGCCGGTCCAGACGTGGTCGCCGTCGCGCTTGACGGCCATGGTGCTCCAGAGGGCCTCCTTGCGGGCGCTCCACAGGTCGTGCTGCTCCTCCTCGTTGCGGGCAAACTCGAACGACTTGCCGCCGGCCTGGCCCGCGAAGCCCTGGACGAGGGCGACCTGCTCCTTGACGCCGCGCGCCGTGCCGGCAAACTTGAAGAAGAGCGTCGGCGCCTCCTGCCAGGCGCGGCCCGTCGTGCCCGACTCGTTGATGCAGCGCATCTGCAGGTCGTCGAGGATCTCGACGGCGGCGACGGGCACGCCGGCGCCCACGACGCGGGCGACGCAGTTGGCGGCGTGGCGGATCGAGGGGAACGTGGCGACGGCGACCGACGTCGACGCCGGCTTGACCGTCACCTTGAGGGTCGCCTCGGTGACGAGGCCCAGCGTGCCCTCGGACCCGATGAAGAGCTTGGTGAGGTCGTAGCCGGCGGAGCTCTTGCGCGGCCGCTGCCGCGTCTTGATGACGGTGCCGTCGGCCAGCACGACCGTCAGCGAGAGCACCCACTCGCGCATGGTGCCGTAGCGGTACGCGTTGGTGCCGCTGCAGCCCGTGCCGACCATGCCGCCGATCATGGCACCGGGGCCCGGGTCGGGCGGGAAGAAGAGGCCCGACGCGCCGAGCTGGTCGTTGAGCGCCTCCCAGCCGACGGCCGGCTGCACGACGACGTCGAGGTCGGCCTCGTGCAGCGCCAGCACCTTGTTCATGCGGCCAAAGTCGACGCAGACGCCGCCGCGCGTCGGCACAAAGTGGCCCTCGAGCGACGTGCCGCCGCTGTAGCCGACGACGGGGATGCGGCGCCGGTGGCACACCTTCATGATGGCCGCCACGTCCTCGGTCGACGAGGGGAAGACGACGCAAAAGGGCCGCTCCGACGCCTGGGCCGGGTGCGACGACCACTCGGACGAGGCGTGGTGGTCGAGGTCGTTGGGCGCCGTGCTGACGTGCTCCTTGCCGAGAATGTGCACAAAGTCGGCCCACGCCGCCTGCATGTTCTCCATGTTGGTCTTGTGCGCGGGCGCAATCGTCTTGTCGAGCGGCAGCGTCGAGTCCTCGCTGGGCTTGGGCGGGTAGAGCGTGCCGAGGTAGTAGGACGAGCCCATGGTGAAGAGCAGGACTGCGGGCAGGAGGTGGTCAGCTTGGGGGGCGACACTCATGAGGAGGCCGAACAATGGTTGCACATACCAAAGGTCAGGGCATAGCTCCGGCTTGACGCCGACTTTTCACGCTCGTTGGCGAATCTCTCGCGATCCGCCCTCTCCCGCGCCAGACGCTGCGTGATGCTGCCCGTCACCTGGCCCTGGAACGACCGGCCCGCCTTGTCCTCGTTCGATACGCGCTCGGGGGGCTTGCTGTCGGAGGCCAGGTGTCGCAGGGCGTAGGCGGTGCCGCGGGGTGTCGTGCGGAAACGCCGCAGGGCGCTCTGGGAGGCCTGGGCTGGGAGGCGGGCCATGATGATGATCTGATGTGTGGTTTGCTCGAGGTTGTGTACTGGGGATGGTCGTCGACTGGCTCAGGCCATGCGGCAGGGAACGCGACGCATGCGTTGATGGGCGATGGAAATGTCGCTTCGATTGAGGAGATGGCAGGCGAAGGCTCGTGTGTATGCTGGTGGCAAGTCGGGAGACAGCAGCTCCTCGGTCGTGGGTTGACTGATGTTCTTGGTGCTGGGCATGGGCTGGAGCTACTGCCAACTGCAGATGCAATGCAAAAATCGGGGTAGCTTCGGGCGGTGGAAGGGATCGGCGCCTTGGATCGGTCAGCTCCAGTCCACTCTTCCGACCCACTGCTCCGGCCCGGTGCGCATGTCTGCCCCTCTGACCCCTTAGTTGTGATGGCTACCGTGTCAGTGCTTGGTTGAATCGAATGTCACGCCATTTATACATTCGTGGTATCATTGTATTCATGAAGGTACTCCTCGCTTTTCTTGCTGTCCAGGCGCATGGCCTCCGATTATCGGATGCACAGTTGTGATCATCCAGAGTCCCACCCCCAAACCCTCCGAATTTCGACCATGATTGCCGGGTGGAAGGCCCAGCATGGCCTCGACACTCAAATCTCATGATCGTATGACCAGCTGCATGGCTAGTCGCAGTCTATACTCCGTTGTTCTCATCCTGCCTGCCTGCCTCCCAGCCGCTCTCGAGCACGATCAAGCGGGCCGCCACCCAGGCACGAGTTGCACAGAAAACGTCGGCGTCGCCCCATTCAGATGCGTCAAGTAGGCCTCGAGCTCGGTATCGCCGTCAATCAGCAGCGGCATCTCGCCGCCTTTGCCGTCCTTCAGAATGCCTTCGACACGCAGGCAGGCGGCATTGGGAAACTTCTCGACCGCCACGTGCCGTAGCTCCCGCACCGAGTGGGCGCTCATCGTCGCGATCCAGAGAGAGGTGCTCGTCTCGTAGGTCGAGAGGGGGCTCAGCCGTAGGAAGATGGCCGTGCTCGTGGACGGCGGCCCTGGCGCCGCTTGCTGCTGAGGTGACATGTGCTGCTGCTGCTGCTGCTGCTGGTAGGCCGCCGACTCGCTGTTCACCGCCATCAGCAACGACGATCCCAGTGTCGAATCCAGGACCACCCGCTGTGGATTGTGTGGGGATGCGTACGGCTGCTGCGCGCTGACTTGAGGATCGGGGTAGTTCGACTGGTACATGTGGTCCTGCCCGTTCCCTGCCGTGCCATCCCCGTCCTGCTCCTCGGCGTGAGGATTGTCGCCCATCGGCGCATCCGCAACCACGAAGCGGGGTTCGAGTCCTGGGCGGCTTGCCTGTTGCTGCTGGGTCTGGGTCTGGGTCTGGGTCTGCTTGGCAGCCTTGCCAGCTGTCTCTGCACTTGGTGTTGCCGAGGCCTTCTTGCCAGCCTGTGCCTTCTTCGCGCGTCCGGCATCGTCCCATCGCCTCTTCATGACATCACGGGCCAGCAGCTCGAGAGCCCGCAGCTTGTCCTCGTGCGTCGACTGCGTGTTGCCGGCCGTCAGCACGCGCTGCACAATCGGACACCGCTGGCCCCACTGGTTCTTCAGGTCATTCCACTGCTTGACGCCGGCCTGCGTCTTGCTGTGCACGCCGTTCTCCTCGACGAGCTTGTACCACGACGCGCGGAGCTGTCTCGTCTCCTCGGGGTTGATGCCCAGCACGACCCGCGCGTCGGGCAGCGTGAGGTTGCGGTTCTTGACGCGCAGGCGCTTGGTGCAGTCGGTGCAGATGACGTCGAGCGCCAGCTTCTTGCCGTCGTGGTTGTCTCGGCTCTGCCACATCTCGGCCTCGAGGGGCGGGAACTGGCGGATGAGCGCGTCCTTGAGGCCTTCCCACCTGTCCGGCCCGGCAATCGTCTTCTTGATGACGCCTGCCTCCTCGCAAAGGCGCGTGAAAATGGCGCGCATGCCGACGTACGAGTCCTCGTCCAAGCCCAAGATGGCTTTCGCCTCGTCAAGCGTCAGCTCGGACGGGAACCTCGGGGGGCCCGCCGCATCCCTCGACCGCAGGCCGAACACCTTGGTCAGGCGACGCGGCTTGTTGTGCCCTTTCCCGGCAGGCGACGTCTTCACCGGCGCCGGGAACAGCTCGACGACTGGTTGCTGCTGCTGTTGTCCCTCGCCAGCAGAAGCAGCAGCAGCAGCAGCAGCAGCACCCGATGGCGCCTGTTCCTGATCCTGATTCTGGTCCTGATGCTGGCCGGGACTCACCGGCGTGCCGTCCTCGGCCATGGATTCGTCGTCGTCGTCGGGCCCCTCGGTCGAAGGACGATCGCCGTTGCGGCCGCGCAGCATGAGGTTGTGCTCCTGACGAAGCCGCAGCAGCTCGCGCGAGCTAATCTCGTAGCCCTCCTCCTCGTTGACGATGCGGTGCATCTCGCGCTGGCTGACATTCTGCTCCCACAGCTCGCGCACCTTGGCGACGAGGTGGTCGTCCTTGCGCACGCGCTTGTAGCGGCTCGGGAACCCCCAGCGGCGGAATTGGCATTGCAGAGCGCGTTCGCTGCGAGGGCTCGATGTTAGTGAGGCCGCGTCTCGTAGTGGGGGTGGATAACATGATCCATAGTGAACCCGTGTATATGCGTGTGTGTGTGTGTATGAAGGATACGGCGGGCGTCTTTTGTTGCGCCGAGTCCGGTGGGCGAGATGGAGGATGGAAACGTACCTGGCGCCAAAGTTGTGGTGCTCCTTCATGTAAGCGGCGATGACGCGAAACGACTTCTTCTCCTCAATGTAGAGGCGCTCGCATATCTCCTTGTGTGCCTCCCACTTGTAGACCATGATGGCAACGGCTGTGGTCGGGACAGAGCGGCCTGCCCGTTTTGTGTTGAGATGTCAATAGCTGCTGTGTGTGATTGTGCTGGGGTTGTAAGAGGGGGGCGACGTAGGACGAACGGCAGGAGAAGAAGTTTCTGCCTTGATGGTCCGATGAGCCAGCCGCAGTCGGGTGCGAAGTATGTGACGGACACACTGTGCGGCCGTTGGCGGGCTGGTGGGGCATCCACTCAACAACACCTGGAGCGTGCTGGACAGGGACGTGCATCTTCACAGAGACCGCGTCTTCGCACTCGTGTCATCTCGCCTGATGCACGGGGAAGAATCCGATGGAGAGGAGCTTCAGGTTGGAGAACAATCCATGTTCTGCTTCGAACGAGGGCCAAACGTCTGGTGCGAGTGCTGCCAACAAGACGATCACGCCGACGGGAGACTGAACCTCGGCTGCCCGGGTGACCCCTCCTCCTCTGAACTTGGGACATGATCATAATTAACCAGCCGCACCCAGCTGTGTCCGTTCTTCATCCAGCATCACCACCATGCAAACAGGCGCATTGTCTTGCGCGTGAAACCACCTCTCCGTGTCTCGTATCTGCCCTGTTGTTCCAACCCGTCACTGTACAACCGAACACCTGCCTGCCTGCATTGGCTCTCGATACACAATGGCCGCTCTTACACCCCCCGACACCTACACCAATTTCACCCTCCCTGACGTCAAGTTCGCCCACCATCCGGCCTCTTCACCCACTGTCACGTCCGTTGTGCTCGTCATCCTGAATCGCCCAGCTGCCCGCAATGCCTTCACCGACTCCATGGCCGACTCGCTGGAAGCGACCTTCACCCTGCTGTCCGCCGACCCCCGGGTCAAGTGCATAGTCCTCACTGACTCCGACCAGTCCAATCAGTACTACTGCGTCGGCATGGACCTCGCCATTGCCGGCTCGCGCAAGGTCAACACGGAGATTCCCCGCGACGAGTACCGCGACGGCGGCGGCCGCGTCACCCTCTCCATGCACAGGTGCGCCAAGCCCATCGTCGCCGCCATCAATGGCAGCGCTGTGGGCGTCGGTATCACCATGACCCTGCCGGCCAGCATCCGCGTCGTCTCCAACAAGGCCAAGGTCGGCTTCGTCTTCGGCCGACGTGGTTTCAACATGGAGGCGTGCAGCAGCTTCTTCCTGCCGCGCCTCGTCGGGACAAGCCGGGCCATGCACCTCGTCACCACGGGCGGCGTGTACCCGGCCACGAGCCCGCTGTTCGGAGACCTCTTCAGCGAGATTGTGGAGCCTGGGGAGGTCCTGCCGCGGGCGCTTGCCATTGCGGAGGAGGTGGCGGAGAACGTCAGCGCCGTCTCGACCAAGGTGAACAAGGAGCTGATCTACCGGAACCCTGGGACACCCGAGGAGGCGCACCTGCTCGAGAGTTCCCTCTTCTGGGATCTGATCCGTGGGCGGGATAGCAAGGAGGGGATGCAGAGCTTCTTGGACAAGCGCGCACCCGAATTTGCGGCGAGCATCGATAAGGACGCCCCGACTGCGTATCCATGGTGGGAGGAGAAGCAGACCAAGCCCAAGCTGTAGTGGACGTAGGACTACCTGAAGAGGCGTCCATCTACCACTGGTAGGGCTGCAGCAACCAGGCACATGAAAATGGCGCTATCCTCGGAGCCGTGACCGTATGGGTCGGGGGTCTGCGGGACCCGGGATCATTGATCGACATGTGCTGGCGGGCCGGGTGTTGGGTTGCTTCGATGGCAAACGCCCAAGGGCAGTGCGCGGTGCCCTGGTTGGCTCGGGTCTTCCCACCTGGATGCATTTGTAGGCGACGGCAGCCTCGGGCTGGGCAGAGATTTTGGCCAGTGGCTCCATAGCACGGTCGGGATACAGCTGTCTAGTGCGCGTGTCCGAGGTTCACATGCCAAAGGAGAGTGTTTGCGGAGGGGCTAGAGTCTGTAATTGATAAGAATTTGCATGGGAAACTGCCAAAGAAAAAAAAAGAAAAAAGGAGACCAAAGCAAAATTGTGCTGTGCCTGCTTGGAGGTGTGCTAGACGTCAGAGCCGTGCGGCGTGCCCAGCATAGGTTATGCGGCAATGGTGAGGAGCGCACGAGTCACTGTTCCGTCTGTTCCAAGGTTTGACCAGCTTGGCTTTCGTCGTTGAGACTTGTCTGCCTGCTCCATGTGATGAGTGGCTGTCGGAGGACCTCGACCGGGCCATCCCAGGCTCCAGAGCAACAGGAGACACAGACCGGCTCGACAGGTGGCATCGCAGCCAGAGATGGCCACGGATTGGAGACAGTGGCCAAATGAGGTTGAGACGCGGGCTGGCTGAGGCGAACAAGAGGAGTGAATGGGATTGCATGCAGGCACCCGCCAGGCGGAAGAAGAAAACAGTGAGGCAGACGCTAGAGCAAGCCAGTCCATCCCGGCATCAGTGAGAAGACGGCAAACGGGAGGGTGAGCGACTACTGCGTCTCTCTTGCCTCTGTGGACCGTCTGACACCTCTTTTCGGCCGGGCAAGTCCGATCTGACTGCACTGTAGAGGTACAGGGGGCGGCAGGTACCATCCGATGCGTGCTCAGGTGATGATACAGTGCGATGTGAGGCGCTCCTTCCAGTCCCCTGCTGCACCTGCCAGAAGTGCGTGCGCTTGCCCGTGCCGGGCCTGGCTTCCCCATTCGTTTCGTCATTCATCCCCCCCCCCGACACTCCACTTGCGCTCCGAATAGGTCACGGCTGGTCGCCGTGGTACATATTCTGGGCCTGGTCTCCGTCTCAACGACTTGTCACGAGGCTCCTGACGCTTTTGTTCCGAGGTCTTCTGCTCCGTCTGCTCTTTTTCTTCGCCGTCCTTTCTTCTCAGCCTGGCTATCTTCACCCTCGTATACACAGCGACCGGCCTTGCGCCTACATTCTCCCCCCCTTTTTTCGACGGAACCTTGCCCCATTCCAACTGCGACGCCCACGTTCCCTTGCTCAACTACCGCGAACTATCCAGGTTCGGTCCAGACAAGGGTCTTGCACATCAGATATACAGCTTCCCCAACAATCGCCTCCGCACCCAGCGCTCCTGTTCAACAACTCCCAAAGTCGTCAGCCCATCTTGCGCAGCAGCCTAGTTTTTGGACCTCCTTTGACGACTGCGCCAAGAAAACACTTCGACCACCTTCCGAAACATCTGCTCCCTTCGCATCGCGCTGCCTCTACATCTTGGTGTCCCTGGTTGCCCCGGCTTCCTTGGTCTCCTCGCTCCCTCGCCTTCGAGTAGCGCCCCCCTCCCCCTCCAATCGTCACAAACGACACCTACAAAATGCAGTACGTCAGGAGCTCACTGAGTTCCGTGTCCTCGGCATGGAACTCCATCAACCCTGCTACCCTCAGCGGTGCCATCGACGTCATTGTCGTCGAGCAGGATGATGGCTCCCTCGTTTGCTCTCCTTTCCATGTGCGCTTTGGCAAATTCTCCCTCCTTCGTCCCTACGAGAAGAAGGTCGAGTTCAAAGTCAATGGCGAAAAGCAACCCTACTCCATGAAGCTCGGCGAAGAAGGCGAGGCTTTCTTCGTCTTTGAGACCAAAGAAACTATTCCCAAGGACATGCAGACCTCGCCGCTTGTCTCGCCCGCCTCCAGCCCGCCCATGGACCCGCAGCACTCGCCCGAGGCTGGACTCCAGGAGCCTGATCTGCTCGATCTCGACGAGCTCAACAGGAAGCCCCGCCGTCCTCCTCCTGCTGTAGTGTACTCCTCGCGCGACCACAGTAAGAAGATGACCGACTCGGTGCCACAGATGGACGTGTTCGAGCGCTGACCCTTTGAACTAGCTCTCATCTCCTCGTCTACATCCCCCGAACTGTCGAACGGACGGCCAGCGTCTGGCGACTGGTCAAGCATGATGCGCCCTCACAGTGACGATATCTTGCGCAAATCAGCCCGCTCAACCGACCGCGACCTGACCGATGAGCCTTCCGACGGGCAGAGCCAAGAATTGTCAGAACGCTCGCACAGTCCACCTCCGCTGGCGCCCCGAGAGGCGCTCGAGCGCGCCATCGCCCTGTCGCGGAACCTTGAGGCAGCCAATATTCCTAGCCAGGTTACCGAGACTGGCGATCTCAAACTCGACATGACGGGTTTCAAGAGCAGCGAAGAGGAAATCTTCCGCGCCGAGATTGTTGCTCGTAAGATCCTCTCTCAGGAACTTGACGGCAACTATGACATTGGCTCCCTCTTCGGCATGGACGAGCACGGCAATATCTGGATCTACAGCAGTGAAGAAGCCAAAGAAGCTGCGCGCAAGAAGACCATGGCGGCTGGCATTGGCCACGGCCCCACGCCTGCTGCTGATGCCGTCTCCGACCCTGGCTATCAGAGCGACGCTAGCGACGAGACGACGACGGGGCCAGCTCACTCGCACAGGAGGTCTGAATCGGATGGGGGCCTCCAGACGCCCCTGAGCACCCCGCCAGGTTCGACCGCCGGAGACCCCAACCTCAATTACGCCAAGACGCTCCGGTTGACTAGCGATCAGCTGAAGGCTCTGGGTCTGAAGCCCGGCGAGAACAGCATGAGCTTCACTGTCAACCGTGCGACCTGCCAGGCCAACATGTACCTCTGGAGGCATGAGACGCCAGTTGTCATTTCCGACATTGATGGCACCATCACCAAGTCGGACGCCCTCGGCCACGTCCTCAACATGATCGGACGTGACTGGACGCACGCTGGTGTGGCGAAATTGTACAGCGATATCGCTGCGAATGGTTACAACATCATGTACCTGACCAGTCGGTCCGTGGGACAGTCGGACACGACGAGAGCGTACCTCGCGGGCATTCAGCAGGAAAACTACAAGGTCCCGCGGGGCCCGACCATTCTGTCCCCTGACCGGACAATGGCCGCCCTTCGACGGGAAGTGTATCTTCGCAAGCCCCATGTGTTCAAGATGGCTACACTTCGAGACATTCGTCACCTGTACGGGCCGGACCAGACTCCCTTCTATGCCGGATTCGGCAACCGTCTCACGGACCAGATATCGTACCGAACGGTCGATGTTCCGAGGAACCGCATCTTTACCATCAACTCCAATGCTGAGGTGTCGCTTGATCTCCTCAGTCTTAACAAGCTGAAACTAAGCTACATCAACATCAACGAGGTCGTGGACCACTTCTTCCCCCCTGTCAGTACCCTCATCACTGGTGGTGGTGAGGAATACACCGATTTCAAGTTCTGGAGGAACACGCCCCTCGAACTCGACGAGTTCTCCGCCAGCGATACGGATGACGAGGACGACGATGAGGAGGAGGACGATGAAGATGATGATGAAGAAGACGATGACGAGGAGGCCGGCGACGGCATGGCTGACAGTTACATCTCGCGTGATTCTATTGACGAGTACGCAGACGGACGCGAAAGCATCCTCAGCGACAGCGTCACCGGCGACGACTCCATGATGAAATCTCTGGTGCTCGACGACGAGGATGGCGATGACGAAGACTCGTTCGAAGACGCCGAAGATGACGGTGACAATGACGATGACGACGCACCCGCGAGCCCCGCGCGAACGGAGCGTGAGCGTACTGTCATGGCTGACGAGCCAATCAACGGTGCCAAGCTGAGCCCGACCTCTGACAAGCCAGTGGTCGAGGACATTGGCGCCGAGATGATCACAGGGGTAAAGCATCTCACCCAGGAGAAGCCGGCGTGGAAGTGAAAGAACCCAGTGCGCTAAATCTAGTTTTGCTCTTACCAGGCTGGTGACGTTTATGATCCCGAGACCGAAAAGACCAAGCAAATTTAATGGCAACGTTTTGTTGCGAGCGACGGTGCGGCTTTCTTTGGCGTGCGTTCCTTCTTTTCTGCGGATTTATTACCTCGAAAGGAGGTCTGGGACGAGATGTGTACTGGATGAGGCAGGACGAGAGGTGCATAGCGACAGGCGTTGGATTGGTGTTTCTCGACGAGGTAGATCGAGCGAGCGGTTGCTGTTTTTTCATGTACAACGGATCCGATAAAAGTCTTGCACAGCGATCAATACACGATACAAAGACATGAAGAGATGAAACTCATTATTAACCGGCTCCGTTCGATTTGTTTGTGGGCTCATGGCCCTGGGTATATATGGTACACTTTCTCTACACACGCGGATCCCATGCTCTGCTTTTCTTTTTCGTTGGCAGTGACGCGCCCACTCTCAATACGGGCCCCAAGTCCTATCCATTGGCACAAAGTAAGCCCCAGTATTGCCTGAAGAAGAGCCCGGCATGTGCATCTGCTCAACATGATATGAGCCGTCGTCGTTCAGGACCCCGTCTGTCCCTAATTCCATGTCGGCCGTAACAGATGTGGCCCTCGCAGTGTGACCCCCAAAATCGAAGGCGTAATTCGCGTTGACTCCCATGACGTGGCCATTGAGCGGAACCCCGGTCATGTATGCGTCGCCAGTGGGAAGAGCAAAGGTGCCACGCGCAACAAAAGCCGGCCCGTGGGCAGCTGCAGTCGGCTGGATGTATATCGGCCCGTCGCCCTCTGGGTGCAGGTTCCGGCTCATGATGTGGCCCATGACGCGATTGAGAAGCACAGGGCGCAAGCCAGGCGGCTGCACCAGGGGATCGTGTCCGAAGTGCCCGACGTGCGCGGTCGCAGCTGCAGCTGCGGCGGTGGAAGAGCCGTCCTTCTAGCCCGACCCTTCCATCTTGAGGTCCTTGTCCTCGTCCATCTCGTTGCCGAAGACGTCCTCCATGGTGCCGCCCTCGACGCCCTCGCCGCCGACGTCCTCGTCATCGTCGTCCTTGATCGCAGTGTTGGCACCGGCGCCCGTCTGCTCGACACCTTCCATGGCGCCACTGCCGCCGCCGGGCGCCGCCACCACGGGCACGTCGTCGTCCGAGTCCTCGTCCATGCCGGCCTCCTCCCACATGTCCTTGAGCCCCCAGCTCGTGCCGCTGAGGACGAAGCGCTCGCTGGGCAGGCGGACGCCCCACTCGTTGGGCGCGACCTTGGGTAGGGCGACGCGGTTGTGCTCCTTGGCGAGGTCCTGGAGCCAGTCCTTGCTCATGCCGCCGGCGCCGGCGCCGCCGCGGAACTGGTAGCTGAGGCGCGCGGCGATGGCGAGCTTGACGGCGTTGGCCGACACGGTGGCGTCGCCGCCCGTGCCGGGGATCGAGGCGGCGCCGGCGCCCGCCGAGGCCGAGGGCTTGGAGCCGGCGTGCGTCGTGTAGGGGTCGGCCGAGAGGTGGAGGGCGTCGTTGAGGATCGACGACGTGTGGCGGTAGGCAAAGTCGAGGAGCAGGAGCGGCACGCGCGACTCGTACGCCGTCACGCCCTGCGAGGTGAGGAGGAGCTCGATCATGCGCGCGTCGCGGGGGCGCGGGGCCGAGGTTGTGGGGGACGCGGGCGCCTGCTGGCCTTGCTGCTGCTGTTGTTGCTGTTGCTGGTTCTGCTGAGTCGACTGCGATTGTGACGCGTTTGTGGCGGTTTGTGACTGAGATGCTGGCGGTTGCGAGTGGGATGCTGTCGCCTGTGTCGCAGGGTTGCTCTGGCTGCCGTTCGAGGAGGCAGGCAGGCCGTTGGTCTGGGGTGCTGTCTGGGAGGCCATGGTGGCTGGAGTGGAAGGCGCTGAGAAGACGTGTGATTCGGAGGAGTTTGAGAGGGTTTTTGCAGGAAGCTCTTCTTGTATGAGGCGTTGCTCGAGACGATCGAAAATGAAGAGTGCTGGGTGTGTGATTCGCGTCGAGCACGGCGGGATGCGACGCGATCGAGGGCGCAGGTCTTCGTTTGTGTGCTGATGGGTATTTTGTGGATAGATTTCTAGCAGGAGATCCACAGCGTTTCTCTTATTGAGCAATGTTGGTCGAATTGGTCGCTTTCGAGAGGTTGGCAGCCACAGGCTTAGGATTGAGCTTGAAGGTGCTTGACCGCAGGAGCGAAGCTGTAGCTGCCTTCGCTGAACCAACGGCTCTGGCAAGGCCTCGCTGCTTTAGCCGAGTGGGAGCCTTCCTTACCTCAGCAGATGCATAACATCGATCCACGACCCAAGCATTCAACCCAACAATCTCAATGCCCGTTCGTGTTATTCCATGAGCCATTGGTCTTTACCTGTCTTTTATTTTCAAGTGTGCTGGAAATCGCCACCGTGATTTTTCTGTGGGTGAGCTCGATATCATGGCGATACTTCCACATTATTATCAATGTCCAGCAACGGAGCAGTAGAAACTGGAGATGGAGAGAGGCATATGCCCTTCACTCACAAGGAACCCTCTCATCTGACTTCATTTTTTTTTTGATGCTCCGATGTGGCAGGAAGTCAAGCCTGCTATTTGATCATGCATGCCAGTGATCAACCAAACCTTCATGGCCAGGTGGACGGGAATCTTGCCAAACCGACCATCGGAGGAAAGAAGTCTGCATTGAAGCCAAGTCTTCTGGCAGACGCTTTCAAATGTCGAGTCCTTCTCGCTCAATACTGAGTGACCAACCTAATCCAACTACACTGTCACAGTCTTTCGAGCGCAGACAACAGAGCAATAGCGGCAAGGACACTAACCCGTCCACGGCCGGAGTGATCGGTCGTCAAATAATCCGCTCCGCGTCATGCACTGACCACACCTTATTTCCCTGCGCCAGGGTGTGTCGATTGGGCCTTGGCAAATGGAGGGGCAAAAGACTGCGAAAATGCCCCGCCAAATCGAGTGGACTGTCCAGGTCCGATGCAGGACACTGTGACGCTCACAGTCAACGGCGTCACGCTAAATATTTTCCTCTATTGACTCACCAACTGCCTGCTTGGATCTCACGATATATACCCGGACACTGGTTGACTCGGACACCCGTATTCCTCGTCATCCCACTCTCACATCACATCATTGGCTCATCGCCAATCATCCAGACAGCCATGGAGACGACACTGCCCTTCCCGTTCGTCATCAGTGTCGGAACCTCTTCTGAGGGCCTCACTCGCGAACAGGTCTCGGTCCTGGGCGCCCCTTTCTTCGATGCCGATGATAAGACGCTTGCCAGCAACACCGACTTCCAGGCTTACTTTGACGTCAGTGCTGTTCAATCATACGAGGACATTGTGTCCCTCCTCGACCGCGGTGCGAGGAGAGTCTTTGTCGACACTGAGCGACTTCCTGAGTATGCCGACTTCAGAGATCGCGTAGCCCCCACAGTTTCAACCCTCGACCTCTCAGCCGCCACACCCAATGGTCTTCTCGTCAAAGACTTTGATCCTTCAAGTTCCGGTGTCGACGAGTTCGTCAAGCAGGCCAGCGAGAAGAAGCTGTCCAACCTGTTCGTCAAGCCCGTATCTAGCGCCAACCTCGAAAGCTTCATCGAGATTGCCCAGAAGGCTCACGCCATCCCTATCATTCCCTCTGACGCCCTGACTGTCAATAAAGATGACTCGAGCCGCCTCTCACTAGCCAAGGTTATCGCCTCCCTGTGGAAGACCGACAGGACTGACGGTCTCCTCCCTACCGTTGTCTGCGACGAGTCGAGCACCGCGCTCGGCCTTGCCTACAGCAGCCAGGAGAGCATTTCCGAAGCCATTCGAACACAGACAGGTGTCTACCAGAGCCGTAAGCGCGGACTTTGGTACAAGGGCGCCACGTCTGGCGACACCCAGGAGCTGCTCCAGGTCTCCCTGGACTGCGACAACGACGCCATCAAGTTCGTCGTCAGGCAAAAGGGACGCTTCTGCCACCTCGAGCAAGATGGCTGCTTTGGCAACTTGACGGGCATCGCCCGTCTTGAGAAGACCCTCAAGGCTAGGAAAGAGTCTGCTCCCGAGGGCTCCTACACGGCACGCCTTTTCAACGACGAGAAGCTCCTGCGGGCCAAGATCATGGAGGAGGCCGAGGAGCTGTGTGACGCCAAAACGAAGGAGGATGTTGCTTTCGAGGCCGCAGACCTGATTTACTTTGCCCTCACCAAGGCTGTCAGTGCTGGTGTCAGCGTGGCTGATATCGAGAAGAGCCTTGATGCCAAGGGCTGGAAGGTCAAGAGGAGAAAGGGTGATGCGAAGGGCAAGTGGGCCGAGAAGGAGGGCATCAAGACCGATGCGCCAGCGCCTGCCAAGGCCGCCCCGGCACCTGCTCCCCAGAGCAACGGTGCCAAGTCAGACAAGATCCTCATGCGCCGTTACGATGCGTCCAAGGTCTCGGCTGCCGAGGTCACCGAGGTCCTGAAGAGGCCATCACAGAAGTCTCCTGAGGCTATTCTCAACATCGTCAAGCCTATCATTGACGAGGTCCGTTCCGGCGGCGACAAGGCCGTGCTCTCCTACACTCACAAGTTTGAGAAGGCCACGTCACTCACCTCGCCTGTCTTGAGGGCACCCTTCCCGGAGGAGGCCATGAAGCTTTCTGAGGAGTCCATCAAGGCCATTGACATCTCTTTCGAGAACATCCGAAAGTTCCACGCCGCCCAGAAGGAGGACAAGCCCCTCCACGTCGAGACGATGCCTGGTGTTGTGTGCAGCCGCATGTCCAGGCCGATCGAGCGCGTCGGTCTCTACATCCCTGGTGGCACAGCCGTCCTGCCCAGCACTGCTCTCATGCTCGGTGTCCCCGCCATGGTCGCCGGCTGCAAGAAGATTGTCTTCGCGTCGCCGCCCCGCGCCGACGGCAGCCTGACGCCCGAGATTGTCTACGTCGCCCACAAGGTCGGCGCCGAAAGCATCGTCCTCGCCGGCGGCGCTCAGGCCGTCGCCGCCCTGGCCTACGGCACCGAGTCGGTTCCCAAGGTCGACAAGATCCTCGGCCCCGGCAACCAGTTCGTGACGGCAGCCAAGATGTTCGTCAGCAACGACACCAACGCTGGCGTCAGCATCGACATGCCCGCCGGTCCCTCCGAGGTCCTCGTCATCGCCGATGCCGACGCCAACCCGGCCTTCGTCGCCTCCGACCTCCTCTCCCAGGCCGAGCACGGCGTCGACAGCCAGGTCGTCCTGCTCGCCGTCGACCTGTCCGAGGACAAGCTCCGCGCCATCGAGGACGCCCTCCACGAGCAGGCCATCGCCCTGCCGCGCGTCGACATTGTCCGCGGCGCCATTGCCCACTCGGTCACCATCCAGGTCCGCGACATGGACGAGGCCATGCGCATCAGCAACGACTACGCCCCCGAGCACCTCATCCTCCAGCTCAAGAACGCCCCCGAGGTCGCCCAGATGGTCATGAACGCCGGCAGCATCTTCATCGGCGAGTGGACCCCCGAGAGCGTCGGCGACTACTCGGCCGGCGTGAACCACTCTCTTCGTATGTCCCCCCCCCACTTCTGCACCTAGTGAACCCCGCCCCAGCCTAACGTTGTTCCAGCCACCTACGGTTTCGCCAAGCAGTACTCGGGCGTCAACCTCGGCTCCTTCGTCAAGCACATCACGAGCTCGAACCTGACGGCCGAGGGCCTGCGCAATGTCGGCTCGGCCGTCATGCAGCTGGCCAAGGTCGAGGAGCTCGAGGCTCACAGGCGCGCGGTCGAGATTCGTCTCAACTACCTCGACAAGAAATGATAGATGATGGGCAGTATGAAACATGTAGAGGGGTGGGGGTAGATTACCGGAGTTTTACTGGGGGATCGTCGTTGTCAGACGATGGCATTGAACTAGAGTGGCAATTAAAACCTTTTCGTACCTGTCACGCTGTTGATGTTTCGTTTTGTGATGGTAACACAGATGCCCACGTCGCATATTCGATGTCTTTCATTCACCAGTCACCATAAACGCACGCCACGGCAGAGATGAGCACTGAAACATCAAGGCGCAAAGGCCCTGCGATTACCAAACAGCTAACACCCCGCATGTCGCCATCTGTGAACACAAGAGAAGTCTTTATGATACACTAGGCCTGTAAACGGTATCTCATACACTCTATTCCTTGGATCGCCTCCGGCCCCGGTATCGCTCGCTTGCACTGCACGCTTAGAACTTGGGCTTCATGGTGTTCCTCAACCTCTGGTAGTCGAAGAGACCCTCGATGCTTCCTACCGCGCTGACGGCGATGTCCTGGTCCCAGAGCTTCCTGTTGGCAAAGTCCATGACGTCCTTCTCGGTGATGGCGTCGATGATGCGCTCAATCTCGCCGGGGCTGGCGCGGCGGCCGGTGGTGATAAGCTGGCGGCCAATGTCCTCGGCAATGGCGGTGGTGCCGTCGAGGGACAGGAGGATCGAAGCCTTGAGCTGGGCCTTGGCGCGCTCCGTCTCGGCCTCGCTGACGTTGGAGGCGAGACGCATCCACTCGCGGATGGCGAAGTGGACGAGATCGTCGACGCGCTCCTTCTGGTCGGTGACGAGGTAGATACCCCAAAGACTGGTTCCGTTGTTAGCCATCTTGTCCATTCATCACGCAAGAACTTCCCAACACTCACCCGGTGTCGCTGTAGCTGGTGGAGAAGCTCATGAAGCTGTTGGCCAGGTTGTTGCGGTGGACGAAGCCGCTGAGCTTGCTGCCCTGGTGGGGAGCGTTGCCCATGGCCTTGTCGTAGTTGCCGACGATGGCCTGAGCGACGAGAGCCGTGTAGTAGTCGTCGTCGTTCCAGCTGACACCCTCAACAGCAATGGCGATGTTGGCAGTGGGGATCTGGTCGTCACGAACACGGACATCAGAGCCGATGAAGTCGGCCTTCTGCTTGGACAGAAGGTAGGCCTGGTTGTGGGCGCTCTGGGCGGGCAGGTTGGAGAAGTTCTTCTCGGCAAGCTCGACGAGCTTCTCGTGGGGGACACCACCGGAGCCAACGAGAACCATGCGGTCAGCGGTGTAGTTGTTCTTGATGTAGTTGGTGAGCTCGGTGCGGGTGATGTCGCGGATGTTCTGGCGAGGGCCGAGGATGGTGCGGCCGAGGGGCTGGTGCTGGAAGGCGGTGGCGTGCAGATGGTCAAAGACGACCTCTTCGAGCTGCTTCTCGACCTCCTCAGACTCGCGGAGGATGACGTCGCGCTCACGCTCAATGGCAGACTCCTCGAGCTTGGAGTTCTGGAGAATGTCGGAGAGAATGTCGACGCACTGGGGAACATCGGAGTTGAAGGCCTTGGCGAAGTAGACGGTGTTCTCGCGCTGTGGTTGATGGTCAGCATATTTCGCTCAGGAATTTAGCGTCGTGACGAACCGAGGTGTAGGCGTTCAGGTGACCACCCATGTTCTCAATCTCGAGCTCGAGCTGCTGCTGCGTCCTGTTGGAGGTGCCCTATATCGAATATCAGACATTGTTCATCGGTATCGGCGTTTTGTTTTGATGCGGTTGTACCTTGAAGGCAAGGTGCTCGAGGAAGTGAGCAGTGCCGTTGTTCTCGTCAGTCTCGGCCCTGGAACCGGCGTCGATCCACATGCCGACAGTCGAGGTCTGGGACCATGGCGAGTAATCAGTAGCGACCTGTTGGGTATCAAGTCAGAAAAGAGCGTCCAAAGCGATGTCGTTGTCGGCGTTCCCCAATGGAGCCGGAGAAAAGGGAGGCGTACTGTCAGGCCATTCTTGAGGGTGGTCGTCTGGGTCTTGCCAGGCGCAGGCGAGGCAAAACCTCTCGTCAGAGGAGCGGTCCTGGTGAGCGCCGCCCTGTTGCGCAGGCCCTGCGAGAGGTTCAAAGCTAGTCTCCGGGACGCCATGGCGGAGTTGTGGAGGATCTAGGAGGGAATGAGTGGTTTGACGAAATCTTTCGATGAGGTTTCGGCTCGCGGCTCGAAGCTTTCCAATTCTCGCTCTCGCAGTGCTGGAGATTGTTTCTGCCTGGGTTGCGAGGCCACAGTTTGTCCGAATTGTTCCGGCAAAGGCCGGTTAGGCCATTGGCCAATCGCACGTGGCGAGTTTGCAACTGCGGGTCTGCCTCTCCCGATCGTGTGAGTCAGCAGCCCCAGGCTGTGTCGTCACTATTTTCCGGGCAGCATTTTGCTGGGTTAGGCCAGGTGCTGCCTGACCAGGCCACCTGGGTGCGATGTGAGTAAGTACACTACCTGCTCAATAGGGGGCCATGCTCGCTTGAAAGGGGCAACGAGCCTGGCATGAGGGCTTGTCACTGGCGATGGGCATCTTGATAAGTCTCGACAGATGATGACGCCAGCTTTCCCCGTCTTTTGCCCTTGAAGATGTTTCATCACTCACTGTACGCTCTCTTCGTGTGCCCAAACATACATACGGACACCTTGCTTTGATACGTGCGTGGCACTGTATGTCCTGCAGCAACTGTCATGCATGGTGCCCAGGCAAGTCCTACATCGGCCGTACCTGACCGCTGTCTTCGGATGTCCAGCAACTCCTCACATCCCTGTGGCACCTCACCTATGAACAAATCTCAGGTCGTACATCCCGTGCACAAACCAATCGTCATCAGCATCCTCCCCACCGGCGGTCAAATCATCTTGACTACCACCTTGCTCATCTCACGTGAAGAAGGCCCTCCTACCCGCCCTTGCTGTCAGCCAACGGGATATCCGGACAAGCCTTGCGCCAGCACATTGACTTATCACATCCTGCACATCAAAGGCCAAAATGACCGCGGAAGGCTGGAAGGTGACTGATGCCTTCAAGACTCTTCACGTCTTCCAACAAAAACCCGCGCCTGACCCCTTCGCCTACGGCATGGAAGCCATTATCCAAAGCTATCCGCCCCTTGGCCAAGTCACTCAAGTCCAACGGGGTCTCATATCATTCTCTGTAATCCTCGAGGTGCCACAAGCTCGACAAGAGGAACCGTGGCAGGTGTCACTATGGGGATCGAGTGACGCCGCCGACTGGGTTGAGACCCCAACCTCGCTGCTGCCTCCTGAGACTGCACCCACGGCACTTGGGTCATCAACAGAAGGGGTTGCTCGGCTATTCTTCAACGCCGTCATTGATGCCCAGGCATCGCTTCAGTTCACCTTGAAGTTTCGCCATGGCGAGGATGAACCCTGGAGATGGACCCGTGACGAGTTGGGTCTCAACGATGGTCATGTCATCGTCAACACGTCGTCAGTCCGGAGTTTGCCTGGGAATCTCGAAGACCATATCAAAGGGTTGAATCCGGCTTGGCAAGTTGAATTCTTGACAAGTCAAGCTCCCAGAACACGACTTTGGTCACTTCAGGCTCCAGTGCCTGCTTCGAAGGACGATCGTTCTTCGGTTCTTGACCTCTCCATTGGAATCCCTTGGGGCCAACCTCTTAGATGGTTTGCCCTGGTACGGACCTGGAAACCCTGGCTTGCACCGAGACATGGTAAATCCAGATTCCATCTGGATAAAGACGCTATGTTGTGTTCTTTCCTTGGTCCACAGGGAAAACACTTGGTGTTATTGGCCATCAGCGGACTGAATAATGTGGCGGCCATGTTCCAAAGCAGAGATGACGAGGGCCTCGTCCATGTTCAGGTGTGTTAACCCAAGACCTGATGGGCGTGAGACCAGAAACACTAACTTCGAGCTACAGGCCCGCAACGATGACATCCATGAGCAGCAGGCTATCATTCTTGCTGCAATCGGTGACAACTTCGAAAGTGCCAATGCTTCCGTCATGTACCAGGCGCGAAGTGTGCTGAATGTTAGAGCTACCAGAGACGACCAGGAAGCGGAGATCAAAGCACTCGAGAAAAGCATCAAGCCAGAATGGAGGGAAAATTGGTATGACGGTCTCGGCTACTGTGGGTTCCCCCGCTCCTTACTTACGTGTTCTCCTTTCTAAACAAATGACAGGCACCTGGAATGGAATAGGCCAGAATCTCACAGAGCACAAGATCCTAGAGGCTCTGGATCACCTTGCCTCTGTGAATGTCAATATAACGAGCCTCATCATTGACGACAACTGGCAGTCCATCGATCGTCAAGGGAATGGCCAGTTTCAATACTCTTGGCTTGAATTTGAAGCTGATTCGGAAGGCTTTCCCAACGGATTGAAATCTACTATTTCCCAGATTCGAGAAAAGCACCCCCGTATCCAGCATATCGCCGTATGGCACGCGTTGCTTGGTGGGAAACTCCGCATCTTCCTGGGCAGGCGACTCGTTAGCTGACATTTGCTCAGGGTACTGGGCCGGCATATCCCCAAACGGCAAAATTGCCAAAGACTACAAAACCTTGCAAGTTCTCAGGGAAGAGAGCGAGCGACGCGAACTTCCACTTGGGGGAAGCATGACCGTCATTGCAAAAGACGATGTCAACCGTTTCTACAACGATTTCTATGCGTTCCTTGTCTCGTGTGGAATCGACGGCGTGAAAACCGATGCCCAATTCATGATGGACACCTGGAAATCGTCCGAGGCTCGTCGTGACCTCATCGAGGAGTACCTCGATGCTTGGACCATATCGACACTGAGGCACTTCAGCATCAAGGCCATCTCTTGCATGTCCCAAGTACCACAGATCATGTTCCATTCCTATCTCCAACGCAACAAGCCGCCAATTCTCTGCCGAACCTCAGACGATTTCTTCCCGCATGTCCCCTCGTCGCACGCTTGGCATGTATGGACGAATGCTCACAACGCACTGCTGACGCAGCACCTCAATGTTCTGCCTGATTGGGACATGTTCCAAACGATGGGCGACTATTCTCGTTTTCACGCAATGGCAAGGTGTGTTAGCGGTGGGCCCATCTACATTACGGATGTACCTGGACAGCATGATCGTGCGTTGATTGAGCAGCTCACTGGGCCTACACCACGAAATAAGACAGTCATTTTCCGTCCAAGTGTAGTCGGAAAGACCATCGATGCATATAACGACTACCACGATGACGTCCTCCTCAAGATCGGCAGCTATCATGGTATGAATCCCAATCGCCCTTTGGCTGTGTCACTTATTTAACTTCTACAAGGCTCTGCTGTGACTGGCACCTCGATCGTTGGTGTCTTTAATATTTCATCTAGACGGTTGGCGGAGATCATTCCTCTCAGCTGTTTCCCCGGTGTTCTCTCATCAATGAAGTACATCGTCCGGAGCCACGCAGGCTTGGGCATCTCGTCTCCCGTCTCACCGAATTCACCCTCATCTAACGTGACGATCTCCCTGCCCCATGGGCCGGAAGGTTCCGACATACTGTGCGCCTATCCTCTAACTGACTTCGCGAGTGAGAATAACGGCACCGTCTATACCGCCAATCTTGGTCTTGTGAGGAAATTTAGTGGTGCTGCCGCCATTGTGAACAGTGACTTTGAGCTGGACCACACTGGAAAAGTGCAGTTGCAAACCAGACTGAAGGCCCTCGGAACACTAGGTAAGCCTATGCTTTTGGCCGCGAGGATGCCTGCTGGCTAACCTGGGTACGCAGGAATTTACATCTCGAATCTGCCGAAGCTGACTATCGATGACGACTTCATCGCCACTATACAGGGACACATCATCAAAACGGAGGCCGTATCCTTCAGCAAAGATCATCCTCAGCTGTTGGAAATTGATGTTGAGGGCGCATGGCATGATCTGCAGTTGAAACCAGGTTGGAGCAATGAGGTAGAGATTAAGATGACCTTTCGCATCGACCACTACGAAGAGTAGATGAAATGAATCTTGAAAGGGGGAATAATAACCTGCGCGCCTGAGCATATGAATTTCTTGTGCGTCTTATTCAGTGTGTCGATACCTGAAGCAAGTCGTCTGGTACAGCGATAAGCCAAGTCTCGACATGCGCGCCGTCTCTGGGCCCTGGTGACGCGCATTCTTTCTCGTTGATGATTTGATCGTGTTCATCATCAGAATCTAACACGTCAAACCACTCATGGGCTCGCATGTGCTTCTCGCTCTGAGGCCATCCATCCTGGCGCAGCCACTGAAAAAAACTACGAGTAGCATTTTCAGATACATGATCTCCTAGTTCGTCAAGCCCGTCGTATAAAATGAGAGCTTAGCATGAATACCGATTTCCCTCTGAAGATGAATGACTTTTTGTTAAGCGCCTTTCAGCCAAAAGAATCAGAAGCAGATTGAAACAGCGACTCGTCATCGACACAGTCCCAGGCGAAACCTCGATATTGCGGCTAGTGGCTCTCACAGTCTTCATGAACGCGGACTTCCAAGTCGATGTCTTCGAGACGCGTAACCCCAAAAGGCCTCCACTGGCAAATCGGCATCCTGGCGTGCCCGTCAGTCTGACACAGAAACAATAACCTCTCCTCATCCGCGTGCGAGATGGGTCCGTCTGTGACGAGAGGTTGAGAGGTAGGATGCTGGATGAACGTTTGAGATGTACCCGACCACACGGCCGATGATAGATCCGTCCGTATCTGTCCCCTTCGAACTTCCTGGAGAAGAGACGTCTGTAAGCTGAGGACGGCGGCGCCGGCCCAGAGGAATGCTGCTGCTGGCTCCCGCTCCGCGAACATGCGGGTAAGGACAAGAGGATCATCTTTGGCAACCAGAGTCTATTGCGGCGACAGTACCCTGTAACCACGGGGTCGCAAGATTGCATTCGACCCCAGGTTCATAGAACACGCTAGCAAGTATGGAATTTGTGCCTCTGGGGTTGCAGCTCAAGGCGAGCAGTCGGTCAATGTGCTGGTCTCGATGAACCCAGCTATCTGGTAACTGAAAGGCAAGACCTTGACTGGATGCTGATGTTTCGCCCAGTTGTACTTTGGCGCGGAAATGCATATGCGAAACCTTGAGTGCCTTTTTCCTTCCGAAGCTTGGGAGTAGCAGGACAGCAGCAAGCTCTCATCCATGGTATCTTGGCGGACACAAAATCGGCCGAGAATTGCCACGGCATCAGAAAATGACGCCGCCGAACCGGGAAACGAGGAGCAAGTAGACTTGTTTGCCTCACAGACAATCGTCAAATTGGACTCTTGCAGGGAGACGGACCAGGGAGAGACGCATTGTCCATCAGACTCAGCAGCCAGCCAGCCTTGTCCCGGAGCGAGAACAACAGCCCACCAGCGCGTTTCCTCTGCGTTTTGAGCTCCGATATTGAGGTAAGTAGATGTGCCGTCATGCGCCGGCTCTGATGAGCCATGCCGAATCTGTGCCTTGCAGTCGATGTATCGCATCAAACAACCTTCGCCGAACAGCTCGACCCAGCGAACGGAGAGGAGATACGCCCATGCCAGTACGAGAACAGGCACATAGTCAGGCTGTTGCAGGGGCTCTCCGTTGCCACCGGGATTTTGCCCGGCCGAATCAGCAAGGAAGAGGGTGACAGGGCCGTTTGCCGACACCTCGACTTCCAGAGACTGTTGAAACGGTGGAAGACTTCGGTGAGCCCTAGGTCGAACGACCGGTTTCTCGCAGACACCGGGACCCCATACGCTGAACGTAGGATTAATTACTCAGTCGAAGCCGCTGATGAAAATAGGGGTGCCCGTTGAACGAATGGGAAACAGAAAGGCAAGAGGCTGGTAGAGCGGGATCATTAGCCACGCGATGGCGGAGGTACGCCCATGAGCAGAAGGCGGCCTCGTAGGCCTGGCGAAACTCCGTCGTCGTCCGTCGGACCAAATTAGCCATTTGGGTGGGAAAGGTTATACGAGTTCAGATTCCTCGTCATTCAAAAGGCAAAAGCGCAAAAGCCAATGCGTATGGTCGATTCTCTGTTGTGCATAACATGCATAATCTGGTGCATCATCACTCGGACTAATACTTGACGAGTCCACTCTTACATGCAGTGGTAGATCAAGAACCAGCTCCCCCTTTTATTCCTATTCCAATTCCAACGCCGCTACCCGACTTCGTAACCTTCGTAAACATGTACTCTACTCGCGCTCAAATACGGCTGGCGCAACAATCTCCTTGCCCTTGACGTACTCGAGGCCCTCGCCACCCTGCGGAACATTAGTACTACCGTCAATTTCCGGTTTTCTTGATAGGTTGACTTACGTAGGAGATCAGCGGCGACACCTCAATACCGTCAGAAGCCTTGTCGCCGGTGACAGTAGCGCCGGCAGCCTCGACCCAGCGCTTGCCCTGGGCCATGATATCCGCCTTGCTCGTGTCGGGGTCATCCTCACCGGTGCCGCGCGCATTCTTGAGCGGGGAGAACTCCTCCTCGCGCTTCACCTCGAGGCAAGCAAACTTATCAAGAGGCAGCATGGGGAAGACGTCGAAGACAAACTGCTCGAGCTTGATGCCGTTGGGCTTCTCGGGCTTAACTGTCTCGCCAGAGGACAGGTCAGCAGCGGGAATCTTCTTGCGGGCGACGTGGTGCGGCAGCTTGTGAGCCCACTGAGGGATGGACTCGAGGAAGCGAGCCGAGTAGTAGTGGTTGACGATGTTGGCGGCGCGGAACTTCAGAAGGCCCTTCTGGCGAGGATCTTCTGCCTCGGCAGTGGCGGCGTCAATCTCAGAGTACTCGACCACGTCGGGCTTGCCGTTCTTCTGGAGGATGAGTCCAACAGACTCGTTGGCGGCGCGCTTGCGGACGACCTTTGTGGCAATGTCAACGTTCTTAGCGGCCGAGAAGCCAATGAAGACGGGATCGGCGACCTTGACAAGGCAGTTGTCGACACAGTAGGCGTGAATGTGCTCAATACCGCGGGAGCCCATGTCGGACAGAACGTTGGAGACGACGAGGGCCTGGTAGAGGCCACCGTTACCGTCAGGGGCCACAGCAACACGGCCCTTGCTCTCGAGGAGGATCTTGCCCTCGTTAGAGATGCAGGGTAGGACGCCTTGCTCAAAGATGACGACATTGGCCTTGTCAAGACCGAAGTAGCTGTTTTTCTCGAAGAACTCCTGGGTCGGACCTCGCGTAGGGCCCGAGGTCATGACATACCAAGGGACAACGGCGGGTGTGCTAGCGCCAGCCTTGGCGGCGGCAAGCTCCTGGACCTTGCGGATGCGCTCAGCCTGAATCTGGAAGAGGGATTTGTTGCTGGGCAGGTCAATGTTGAAGCAGCCCTTGGGAGCAGAGCTGCCGAGACGGGTGCCCTGGCCGCCAGCCATGAGGACGACGGCGACCTTGTTCTGAGCAATGAGATCAAGGCCAGACTGGTACCACTTTTCCAGATCTTCAGGCTGAGAATCGAGGATACTGGCGGTAGCAGACTCGGGAAGAGGCTCGAGGCCAGATTGTGTGGAGGAAGAGTCGGCATCGTCGGTCTTGGGAGGGTTCAGGGCGCGGTTGGTAATGTCGTTGATGTGGGCTGGGTCGAAGCCAGAGAGCTGCTGGTAGAGGGCAGCCTGCTCATCCTTGGAGAGGGAGTCGTAGAAGGTGAAGACGTGGTCCTGCTCGGCCTTGGCGTACTTCTCCTTGAGCTCAGAAATTTGCTCAGAAGTAGGCTGGGGAGCAGCGGCGGGCTTGCTGCCGATGTTGAGGGCCGACTTGATGGCTTCCATAGTGGCGGGGTATCAGCTCGCCGAAGGGTGTGAGGGGCAATTGGGTAATGTGCTTGTATCGAGGTACGAACAAGTCTGAAGAGGAATTGAGCCAAGGAGGAAAACGGGGGTAGGAAAGAAGATTCAGAATCGAAATGGGAAAAGAGATCAATCAAGCGTTGACGACCAACATTGAGGGATCGTGCCAAATATAGGCAGGTACGGTAGCTGAGCTGCTTTCTCGCCCAGCAGGTTCGACCCAGAGCTTCAACACTTGGTACTAAGTACAGAAGCGGTCGCGGTTGGACGTCAGCTCAGGTGCCCCGCCAACTGAGCCACAGCCCACCAAGCCCACCCAAAGTCCGTGTGAGCCCACTGAAAGTGCATCTCTAGTGGGGGACACTAGCGCCGGCACGGCCTACGAGCGGCGCCTCCTATTCGTTGTGCAGTGGCCGTGGCCGGGTTCAGTATTCTCGTGTTCCAGGGCGGATCTGGGTATTCTGGGACGGGCTGGTGGGCAAACCCCTGGCGAGTCTGAGGCGGTGACGTTTATTGATGATCGACCCAGATACACCTTATGTGAGACTCGTGTTTTGGGGGTGGGAGACAGAGAGGCCGTTGTGGGAGTTCAGCTCGTGGCGCCTGCAGCACTAGGGACGGCTCGGATAGCAGGTTCAGGATCAGGTCCATAGCATATAAGGACTACGCCATTGATTTTTTTGGTTTCCCTTTTTTCCTTTCTCGCCTTGTTTGTTTCTCGCTAGCTTCAGGGGTGAATGACTTGTCTCTTGGTGATCAGCCATGCTCAAGTCATTTGGGGAATGTTCTGCCAACTGCTGCGACTGGGCTACCAGGAGGCTTCCAGCACCTGAGCACAGCATTGGCTCGTGTTGGACACAGACGTGTGATTTGCCCACAGGTCCCCCTTGCAACCCCCCCACTCGATATTTTGCATGGCATCATCCTTGGCAGGGTCTTACCAGTGACCATCTGTTGACACCTGCCCTCACTATATTCTTGCTCTGCTGGCGACTGCCATTGCGACTGCCGCTGCGACCACGGCGTGACCTCAAGCTTGACCTGGATCCGGGCCTGGAGCTACCCATTCCAAGCTGATCGACACCCAAAAAGACCCTCATCGAGGCACATGTCAGTGGTGCCCTGTTCCTGTCCTGCGCCCCAACGAGACCCAGCATCAAGGAAAGCCACCCGCCAATGCAACGCCCATGGGCAGACTTTTCTCCTTGATGCCTTCGGTTCTTCAACAACCATCAAGGCCGGTCCTCATGGATGCATCGACAGCTTGATACTCCACCACCCGTCATCGAACAGTAAATTCCGTAGCGCTACTGCATGCTCTGAGCGACAACCCATCACCCATCGGCAACTGTGCCGCGAAGTGGCATGCGACGACGTCCTGCCCTCGCCGAACCCCCTCACACGCCGCCATGTCGGAGAAGGATGCCTCCTCTGTCCTATTCACTTCGACGAGGCGCCCCAGCCGGGCATCGACGCCTGCCAGCCGCCGCGAGCGGACGAGCCACGAGACTGCCGAGTCGAGTGCCGCTGCTGGTGGTAGCAGCAGTAGCATGACCGCCCCCACCACCGAGACGACGCTGGCCATCGCTTCGCCCGACGAAGTCGCTGGCCACCCGATACCGAGACAGCACGCGGTCGAGAACGCAAACGGGAGTGCCACGAAGGAGGCCAAGGGCTACCGGACGCATAAGATTCGCTCCAGTGGCGGGTTTCTGCTGCAGGAAACACTACGAGATGCTGCCTCCCACGACGGGAGCCAGTCACATCAACGACGCCAGTCCCGCCTGACGCCGCAATCACGTCGAACGAGGGGATCTCCCAGACCGTCAGAAAAGTCGGGTTCCAGTGCCGGCTACGATGCCAACCTGCCGTACAATGCCGACAGTCCATCCACAGGGGCTGTTTTCCCGCCTCAGCACGATGCATCACAAAGCCTCACGGTCAGGAAGAGGCCCGTCCCAAATGGAAAGGCTGTCGAACCAGTGTCGCCGCCGCGGGCCCAAAGCCAGGGGTTCGAGATGGACTCGGCACAGATTGTGAACATGGCCCTCAACCTGAGTGAATCCAGAAGATTAGCTTCGAGGCGAAATGCATCAAACGCTGTGCCGCCTACCCTCGCGCCTCTACCCGACAGTGCGGCAGGAGGCAGCCTGCGACAGCACCTCAACCAGCAAAGACGAACCTCTCGCAACATCTCTCCGCGGCCAGGTCGGGCCGCATCGCCCCGCCTCCCATCAGGCTCGAGGATGAACACGCCTCTGCAAGCCTCTTTCGACCTTGGCCGTGAGGGCTCATACAGATACCAATTCTCTCCCTCGACGTTGGCTCGAGCACAGAAGGCCAAGGAGCACCTGGAGCTCATGGCACAGTACCGACGCATGTTGGAGCTCGTCCCACCTCTGAATGCAAACGCCCGGCGACCGACAACCGCCAGCCCACCATCATCCCCGGCCGAACTATCGAGGACCTCTACACTGGCAAGCGCGGATGGGAGCGCAAGGTTTGGACGGCCTTATAACCCACTGCAGTACATCCGCAACCGCAAAGTTCGAGCCCGTGAGCGCAAGGCCATCGACGGCGAAGCTCAAGGCTTCAGCGACGTCAAGAAGGTCACGGACTGGGTGGATAACGTGGCAAGGTGGGCGGCAACTGGACAGTCCATCTTGCCTGATGGTCCTTCGTTGCCGCCATTTGCCGATGCGGACATGCACGCACAAGCAACATCGCCTTCGGCCAACGTTGTCAAGCCCAAAAGACCCAAAGTGGACTGGCTCATTGAGCCGGCCGATATGATCGCCGATGCATACTGGCTCGAGCAGGACAACCACCTACAGTTGATCGAAGACCGCCAATGGCGACGAATTTTTCCTCCTTCATCAAACCTGTTCAGACCCTTGACAGGCCAAACAGATATGTCTAGGCCAGAGTCACTCATGACAACTCACACACGGGGCTCGCTCGAGATTCCTCTGAACCAGAGGACCGGAAACCCAAGACCAATCAAGACGGATAGCGAGCACTCCCACAGTAGTGCCCGAGAGCGAGCCCGCCAAAAGCTTCACGAGCTCAAGGGCTTGCACCATCGACACGGCTCGCATAGCCATACCGACATACGGAGATTAACCAAGGCACCCCACTCGGATCTCTCAGACAGCGAAGAGGAAGCCAAAGAGAGGAGGATGCCACAACGCACATTTACCAGCAACAGCAGGGACATTCTTGAGAAGCAGATGCTCGAGATGATAGCCAGAGAGGCCAGAGAGAACGGATCGGACACGCAATCGGTCGATGCTGCCATTGCCGCGCTGCTGACGCCCGAACGCGGCCCTCCCTCCTCATCACAGCCTGGCACTCGCGAGCAGAGCCGGAAGCAGTCTCTTGCTGAAGCAAGCGAGTCTGACGACACGCCTTGCAAGACGCAGGCGCAAGCTGCCACCCTTCGTCAGCGAGTTGGGAGGTCTAGCTTGGAGATCCCAATGCCTGCGCGCAGGACGTCTTTTGACCTGGACGCCTCGCTACCCAACTCGCCCGACAACCACCCTCATGGCTACAGTCCATTTATCCCGACAATTGGGTCCGACCTCTCAGCGCTGCCTAGTCGTGCTGGATCTCCCACGCGCAACCCTTTCCACAAGGTGAAGAGTATCTTCCGCGAGAGGAGCAAGGAACGTGGAAGCGATCCTTCCGAGACGCGAGATGGCGACCTCGGCCCTCCGATTGACCTCAAGGGCATTATGACCGAGTCTCCTCAACCGATGTCGGAAACTCCCGAGAGGCGAGGATCGAGAAGTCCTCCGAGAAACCTATTGCCACGACAGCCGACCGATACGTACAGGGCAGGCCCCAAGCGTAGAAGCGACGAGTCTGGCGCCAAGGGACTGTTCAAGGGGGCGCGCCTGGATACGTTGATCCGCGAAGGCGCATCCAAATTAGGTGACTTTATCTGGCGGAAGGATTCTGAGCAGGATGATGGCAACCAGTCTGACGGCGAGGCCACGGCGACTGACGAGTCGGATGCTGAGCCGGCTAGGGGCAGGCGCAGGGCGAATCTGTCTCTATCGCGGACAACATCGTTATCCATGCGAGACCGTCGAGAAGCGCAGCTCCAGAAAGGCAAGAACTATTTGGACGTAATGCCTACATTCCAGCATGCTTCACACGATAGGTTGGCCCCTAGCCAGTTGGAGCCCCCCAACCTTCAGTCATCCAGGCCTCCTAGTCGGTCGTCCCGGTTTGACTTGCTGAAACCGCCTCGCATCGACGTTCACCATGCATCACCGTCAACATCACCGCCAGCGACAGGGCAGCGTGGCGAGTTGGAAGACTCCGAATCTCAAACACAGCGAGGAAATACGTCCCACGAGGATGTACATAAAGCAGGCCGCCGTCTCAGCTCCGTGATCTCGATGCCGCACTCCTTCAACAGGGACCGCCTTGGCTCACTGGCTACTACTTTTGACGGTCGCCATTGGTCGATCTCCGACCGCAGCCCCTCCCCGCAGCGCGCCCCTCTGAGCCGTCACGAGGTAGCCCGTCTGCGCGCCCTAGTGCTAAGCTCTGGTATCAAAGCCATGGAGATCTCTCGCCGCGCCTACGAGCCCCGGCCCGCCTTCGCTGCTCCCCCGGCCGCTCACTCGGAGGACGTCGACCCGAAGCAGAAGTCCCCCTTCTGGCCCGCCATCGCCCAGTTCAGCCCGAACCCTGCGCAGCTCCGCGCCCGCTCCGTCGCTCAGGTCGAGCTCTATCAGCTCGCCGCCCGCACCCTCAGCAGCTCGATGCAGTGCGCCGGCCTCGAATGGCAGCACGCTGCCGACGCCTTCACAAGCGAGACGACGCCAACGCTGCAAGCGAACATTGAGGACATTCGCAGACACATTGCCGTCGACCTATCGGCTATGACGCGTGCCGCGGCGGACGAGGCGGACGAGACAAGCCGCGACCTTGCCTTTGGTCAGCGGCTCAAGATCAAGGCCGTCGTCGACGTCATCGACAAGATGCTGCGCCGGCGCCGTCGGCGTTTCCGCTGGGTGAGACGGGCGCTGTGGCTTGGTGTCGAGTGGGGTCTCGTGGGTATCATGTGGTACGTCTGGTTCGTCGTCATGATCCTCCGCGTCTTTGTCGGGTTCGGCAAGGGCGTCGTCGGCGGCGTGAGGTGGCTGCTGTGGCTGTAACAGTGTACGAAGAAAAGTGTCTGTTTGGTGTTTGCCATGCCACGAGGTCCAGTTACGATGTGAAGACAAGAGGGAAAGCAGAAGGGACGCTGATGGATGACATTGATATGGGCAGAAGAGGGAGCATAGCACGGATGGCGAGCATTTCTTGGGCTTTTTCTTTTCTCTCTCTTTTGTTTTCTTTTCCTCTCTCCGTTTCGCAGTCTTGGATTTGATACCCGAGCAGAGGAGGTGTGTCGACTACCGCGGCCAGAGCCATGAATCTCTTTCCGTGTTGGTGGTAGCCTGCTTCTTCTGACTCCTGTTGTGGTCTTTTTTTCATCCTCCCCCCCCGCCTCATTCTTATTCTCTTTGTTGCTGTTGCATCGTCTCGGCTTTTTGGCATCCCTCTTGCAGATGTATAGCTTCCTCTCGGATTGTTGGGCATATTACGTTTTCTTAATCCTACTGTAATTTTTCTTACTGTTCCTTTGCATCTTCATCTAGCCAGCCTCTGCTTCGTGCCTCGTGATAGTTGAAATTTCATGACATAGTCATTTATGAAACGACTTGACGTGACCAAAAAAAAAATGTATTACGCTCGCTATCTACTTTTGCGGCGATGAGAAGAAAGGCGGTGGCACATGGATGTATGCAACGTCATACTAGCAACAAAAGATCTAGGAAAGGAAAATGAACAAGGAGACCCCTCTACTCGATCCTCTTCTTGCCCTCCTCGGCATTGAGATACCGTGCCGTGCTGAGTCCGCGCTCGTGTTTCGCGACAAGGGTACCGATCATGGAGTCCTTGCGCGCCTTGTTCATGTGCTCGTTGTAGCCCTCGTTGGCCCAGGGCCTAGGGTTGAGCTTGGGCCAGTTGACCTGCACATGTTAGCACGAGGCCTCGATATTTCAAGTTCAGTGAGGTGACTTACGTAGAGCATGCCGTGGCTGACGATGAAGCTAGCGGCCCAGGCGGACACGACGAGCCAGAAGAGGATGAAGAAACGGATGGCGAGGGTGGACTCGGTGCGAGTAAAGAGGCCGACAAAGACGAGGAACACGCTGAAGGCGAGGAGGTAGGGGACCGACTGGATGAGGATGGGCCGGCGGTCGGCAAAGATGAGGCCAGAGCCGCCCAGGTCAGCCCCGGGGCTGTAGACGCCGAGGAACAGGTCAAACGAGTCCTGGCGGGGCCCGTCGAGGAAGTTGTTCTTGAAGTAACGGGTGACACCAATGCGGCCGTCCTGGAGCGCACCAACCTTGGTACGCTTGCCCGTACGGGTGACGTCCGTCTTCATGGCACCAGTGCCGGAGTAGGAGCATGAAACAACGTCTGCATTGTCGGCCCACATGTTGCGGAAGAGGTCCTCAAAGGCGGGATCCTCGTCACGGAAAGAAGAGCCGCGGGCCATGAGGCCAAGTTCCTCAAGAATACGGTCCAGAGTATGACGAGCAAACATAGACTGGACGACATTGGTGCGATCGAGACAGTCCATGCAGTTGGTGCGCATGACGGACGTCTGGAAAGAGCGGCCCTCAAGACCACCGTCGTTATTGCCCGGCATGTCGACAGCACGGAAATAGCCCTGGCTCGCGAGAGCCTCGCTAAGCCTCTCGATGAGCGCATAGGCTCGGTGCATCTTCATGCCCTTCGTCTCGTGGTGATAGTCGAAGTAAATATAGTGCAGGCGGTCAAACTCGGACCTTTGCTTCTCGGGCTGAATGGTGGTGAACTTTTCATCGGTGATCCGGTCACCCTCGGTCTTCTCCCTCGGCGAAGAGACGAGAAGCTCGACGACCTTCTCGTAAGCGCCCTTGATGTTGCGCTCACGACCAGTCTTGTTGACCAGGTTGATGAGGTAGTTGTCACCATAGATCTTGATCTGCTCGTCAAAGTGAAGCTGTGCGGCGCGCAAGGCTGTCTCGATGCCGCGAACCTGGATCTTTGGGGTGTACTTAAGGCTGTTGATCTCGGCCCAGTAAGCCGGTACACTACCACGGGTCTGGACGTAGGACATGATCTGCATCTCCTTGCCTTCGGCACCGAACTGGCCACTCTGCATGTCGGCACTGCCGGCAAAGCCGCCCATGCCGTTGTTCGTGTCGTTGACGATAACGACCTGTTCTGTTTCATTGTAGTTGGCAGCATGGCCTTGCTCGTCGAGACCTCTCGTGAAGTACCGAGTACCGCCGCGGTGTCTGGAGCGACGCGAAATAAGGACGATTGTCAGGGGAGAGTTCTTGAACTTGGTCGGGCGGATTTCCAGCACGCCGAAGATGACGGGGAGAATGAAGGGGTCTGCGCCATGTTGGGGACCAGGCTGGCCTCGCGCGCCTGTTGTTCGAAAATCGATGAGGGGCGACTGGAGGTGCTTGTTGAAGAAGAACCGGTCATCGGCGCGAAGCCATAGGGGAAGAGAAGTGTCGGCCAAGGACTGTCGTTGAAAGGAGTTGGTCAGGTCGATGGAGTACGAAAAGTACATGGGCCCGCTCTTGATAAAAGTCTCGAGAAGGCCAATGAAGACATCTTCGTCCGGATCGCGTATCTGGCGCTCGCGCATGGGCAGAATCTCGGTGGAGATAACCTTGTAGACCATGTGGCCTTTCAGGCGGCCCATGGGTTGGGCCTTCGTGATAATGATGACATACTTGTCTGGAGAGAGATGCAAGTTTAGCTCGCAGCCTTGCGAAAGCGGATACGAGTGCCCTGAGAAGGAGATGGAGCTTACCGAGTCTGAGCTGCACAATGCCCAGGATGCCGGCAATGCTGGAGACACGGGAGGCTCGCTTGGTGAGACCGCCGTCACCAAGGCGCAGGTCGCCAGTGGGGCGGTCGATGATCAGGGCCGGGGCATCGGGAGAAGAGGGCGAGGTGAAGATGTAGGAGTCGCTGGCGAACTTGACGTTGATGTCGCGGTAGGGGAGTGTAGGCGCCATGGCCGTGGGTGGGTAACTGAAAAGGGCCTGGGGGGGCAAAGCAGACGAAAGTAGTCAGAGTCCTTGGAAAGAAATCAAGGAACCAAAATCTGGAAAGTGACGAAGAGAAGTGTGCGAGGTGTGGCCGTGGCTGTCGCAACGCGGGGCTGTTGGAAAAAGCAGTGGACAGCTCAGATCGTGGCAGTGGTGGGTGGTGTTGAGGCCCCAATTGGCAAGCTGCTGTCGTCACTTCCCAAACGTGCCCTCGTCACTGTCACTGGCAGGAGCTCGGCGGGCTCGCCCCTTCTGCCTTCTGAGCTTCTGACGCGCACGAGCCAGTTGCTCTAGGGACGGGGGAGTGGGGTGGGGGCGCAAGGGGTGGTGCTGTGGGACTGAGACTTTTTACCTTACAGGGCCCTCAGTTCCATCCTCACATGCCTGACAAGCCTGGGAGGTACCGGTGGAAGAATGAAGTGGCAGCCTGGAGTGGGCAATCACGTGGATTACATAAGACACCAGGTAAGGCACGTACTGGCCCGGCGCTGCACAGAAGACACCTTGTGACGACGACCCTCGCCGCCACCTGCGCTCTCTGACGCTGCTGTAGTGTAGTAGTGGATGCTTTTGGTTCTAGGATTTACATTTACCACCACCCGTGGCGCCGTACTAATCTGGTTAGCGTTCTCGCCGCTCTTGCTCAGGCTTGGCTCAGACCAAGCTCAGCCATGCACTCGCCACGCCTCAGTCGAAGTCATTACAAGAGAGTTTATGCACGTTGTGCACAAAGGACGAAGATTGAATGTAGTTCCGTTTTGACGTGACTTACAGATGGACAACGATGCTTGATCAACTGTCGCACTGCCTTACTGATCGGTAGTTTAAAAACACATAGCCCGAGGGACCGGCTGGTTGCTCCAGCTTCATATGCCCAGAACGCAGAGCTACGTCCAAGCCCACATGCCCCTGCAGTCCGATCCGATGGCTGGATCCCACCTGTGCAGGCAAGGCAGGTTTGCGAGCGTGACTTGGTGCGCGAGCCTCTTGATACCGCCAGCCAAAGTAGAGCATTCACCTACCACCTCCTCCACCAGTCTCTTTGTACAGGTCCTTGGTCGTGAAGTTCATTCCAAGTATGGTATAGTAACTTCGGGTATCTGCCTTGGTTCCCTCCGCCAATGTTCAACAAGGTCGTCGCCTCGCCCGCCTCGATCTTGCTTCCATTCTTTTGCCATGCTATTGACAGCTTTCAGCGTGCGCTTCTCATTTCGCTCCCAGGCATTAGCTCGGAACTCATCTGGCCATCCATAGTCTTTCTTGAGAGTATGAGCAACGGGCGCGCCCCTTACGTCCTGATGCTTCAACCACGACTCGATTAGAGAAGGGCAATTAGAGGTAGGTGCTGCAAGCAGGGTACTGACATACCTAGTTGCGGTAATTCTCTCTTCGCCGCGTAGAGGTAGATACTCCAATCTCCATAGGTCCCAAATGTATCGTTTCAAGATAAAATGTGCATGAAAGGCTGGCCAGTTGCGATAATGGTACTGAACATCAGACCCCTCGTCTTGAAAGTCCTCGAAAATAGTCCGGGAGGAATATTCGCATATGTCCCAGAATGTGCGAATGGTATCTTTGGCAGACGATGTGTCAGGTCAATTTTTCTTCTGGTTCAATCCACAAGTTGCTGATGTATTTATAAGAGACTGACTTGTTGTAGCGTCGAGGATCCAGGTCAGCCCATCTGACTGCCAAGGGCACAGCAGGGCCACGTCTTCGGGGAGATGGGGTTTTCGATCAGTTTGATCCGAACTGTCATCTTCAAAGGAAGAATGCGCTTGGCGAGAGCTCACGAGGAGGTTGTCATCCACGTGCAAATAGTTAGCGATATCGGCTTCTGGAAAGAATATAACCCCCTCCCTTGTCCCAGCGCTAGCGGCTTGGTGTGGCAGTCGTTTGACGAGAGATATAACACGCCGGCTCATGTTCAGATCATCCCGTAGGCGTCTTGATCGATGCCGATATGTCTGCCGGTGTCCCTAAGGGGGAGCACGACGTCGGCCTCATTAAGGTAGCGAATTTTCAGAAAGAGGCAGTAGACCTGATGCCATAAAGAGACAATTTCGTCTTCATCACAAGCCAAGGGAGAGGTGACAGGTGGTGCGGAAGTGATGAGGGGAGTTCCTGTGGGATACTCTCTTCCTTCGGAGCAAAGCCAGAATCCGCGTGGCGCTGCGGGGTCATCAGGAATAACAACGTCCTGTGCCGAGGAAGCTGAGGAGTCCATGAACGAGGTGAGACCCTGCCTAAGCTTACCGTGGTCGCAGTAGCAAGTGATGTTGGGAGGAGGCAACCCAAAGCAGTTTCTTCTGTTGTCTGCGAGCTGTTCGTTTCATGGCCCATCGCGTTTCCAGCTGCAAGACATGGTCTAGTCCAGATCTGTCTGTCATAAAGTACACAGACGATGATCATCACGAGCGTCCTCACTGTCGGGGTTAGTCAGCCAATGTCGACCGACGTCCTGGAAAGTCGGGACCAAAAGCGGTGCACCGCCGTTGATGTTGTTATCTTTTTACGGTAGACTTTTGTGCACCTGTAGCTGAATTATGCTGGCTAAGCCACGATCGAGCTCAAGGGCCCACTCAGTCTCGGCTCAGGCTAAAAGCAGCGAGTCTGAGGTTCTGCTGGGCGTGGGCCTGACGTGTGCAAGGTCCATTTCAGCCAGTCACCGTCGAGGAACACCTCGCCATCTCCCAAGTTTCCCTCCATCCCAGAGAGCCCAGTCCCCAAAGTCCGAAGTCCCCCATAGGCAGTGTTTCCTGAAGCGGGCTCGTCCATCACCCGACCCTCCGATTCCATCACCACCAACACTACGACTACCACCTCTTGCGCTCCGTCAACGACTCCTCGCCCCAACCATCCCCCCCCGCGATACAAACGGATACTTCCACCTCCTATCTGCAACCTATCTTCCGTGCCCATCGCCGTCGACCTGATCAGCCGACACTTCCAACTCCCAACCCTCCGCCACTTTCTTTCCTCGACCCTATCCACCAGATACCATGGCTTCCCGTGGCGGTCCAGGCGCTCCCGCCGCGCGGGGCTCCAACACTCGCTTTGCGCAGTTCAAGCTTGTTCTTCTGGGTTAGTCACCGTTTGCTCATTTCGGGAATTCATACATCATCGCTGACACAGTTGGTAGGAGAATCCGCCGTTGGAAAGGTAGCCCGCCCCAGCCTCGGCGGAGATGCATTGTACATGTCGCTGACCTGCCACAGAGCTCCATCGTCTTGCGATTCGTCAAGGTGAGCACTCCCCCCAAGCGCTAGAGTGATGTACGACGACCAAGCCGCTGACTAGATGTCCAGGACCAATTCGACTCGTATCGGGAATCGACCATCGGCGCTGCTTTCCTGACGCAAACCATTTCGCTCGACGAGAACACAACAGTCAAGTTTGAGATCTGGGATACCGCCGGCCAGGAACGCTACAAGTCGCTCGCCCCCATGTACTACCGCAACGCCAACTGTGCCGTCGTCGTCTACGACATTACCCAATCCGTATGTTTCCCCCACCCACATGCCAACTGGCGCGGATGTGAAAAAGCCGGCTAACAGACGGTAGTCGTCCCTCGACAAGGCCAAGGCCTGGGTCAAGGAACTGCAGCGTCAAGCGAACGAGAACATCATCATCGCGCTGGCCGGCAACAAGCTGGATTTGGTCACCGAGCAGCCCGACAAGCGCGCCGTCTCCACGGCCGATGCCGAGGCCTACGCCAAGGAGGCCGGTCTGCTCTTCTTTGAGACATCGGCAAAGACGGCCGAGAATGTCCGCGAGCTCTTCACGGCCATCGCGAAGAAGCTGCCCCTGGATCAGGTCGGCCCTAGGCACGCGCGGCCAGGCCAGCGACAGGGCGTCAGCCTGACCCCCGAAAACCCGAACAACACCATGGGCGGAGGCTGCAGCTGCTAAGCAACGTGCTGTCCTTTTCGACTGGTGACAGGCGACTGCTGTTTGCAGAAGTTCTCCTTGACACGTGCGTGAGGGGAGGTCACGACAGAGAAAGGAGACGTTGGCTCTCTCTCTCTCTCTCTCTCTCTCTCTACCTACCTACACATCACAACGACAGCTTGCTTCTCTTGGCGGGCAAGCCAAGCGAAGACCTTTCGGACACCAAACAGGAACACAGCGCAGCCTCGGACGGGGTTGTGTGGAGGGTGGGGGGGACATGATGGCGTTTTTTTTTGCCCCGACATTTTAATACCGACACTGCATTTTGATCTGTGACTTACCTTACATTCGCGTCTTTCACGAGGGCCGCCATGGGTTGTCAGTAGTAAGCCGTAGCGGCCCGGGCTCGCTATAGGAACGGAGGAGCACACAGAGAGACACAACTCTTCCGGGGGCGAGCACACGCGGTGGGGCAATCGAGGGCCCCCTCGCGGGGAGAGTGAGAGAGGTGGAAGCGGCGCATCCTTAGCATTTTGGGGATGTACAGTATGCGATAGAGGAAGCTACTCTTAGGCGCAAGACACGGCAATCTTTGACATGGGTATGGTGTGCTGTGGTGTGCTGTATTGTTAATGCTGGCGATGGATGTCGGATCACAGCATGGGAAGACGGTACGAGAAAGATTGCGCTGGTCGATTGCGTGCTGGTGATTCCTGTCTGTTTCGACGTAGACAGCCTCGCCGGAGCAGAGCCAGACGCAGCAGTGAGGTCATCCCGGTTCCTACCGTCCGGCAGCAGCAGGAAGCGCTAGCCCTGGCCCGGTCACAGGCCACAGGCCACAGGCCACAGGCCAGTGGACAGCCGCCAGCGGACAGCCGGGCGGCGGGCCAGCAGCCAGGACCAAGCTTGATTAGCCGAACTTCATCCTGAGCTTTTTTGTGCCTGGGCCTGTCGTCAACCTCGCGCGGACCATCACATCACCTCTTTCTGACCACCCCCATCACCCATCATCCTCTACCCTCTACTCCGCCCTTACCGGCCACCACACGCCCCCATGTTGCGAACATCGATTCGGTCAGCAAGGGCGATTGGCCGCGCCCCTACTGCGTCCGCAGTCGGCCGCCAATGGCATGTCGCCGCCCTCCGTGCCAGCTCCAGGCACTTTGCCGACAGCAGGAAGCCCGATCCTGTCTCCCAGCCCGTCAAGCTGCCGACCATTGAGACCAACACAGCCAAGGAGAGCAAGCCTCCCAGACTCGTCGATCCCGAGCCTACCATTCCCGCCGACAACATTCCCCTGACGCCGCCTCCTCCTCCGCCTGCGACCAAGCCTCTTCCCGACACGGTGACGTCGACAACCTCAACGACGACGACGACGACGACGCCGCCTCCTCCCCCCCCTCGGGCCGCGCCTCCGAAGAAGGGCTTCTTCCGCCGTCTGAGGAACCTTGTGCTGACCCTCGCCGTCCTCGGTGCTCTCGGCTTTGGTGGTGGTGTCATGTACTCGAGGATCAATGACAACTTCCACGACTTCTTCACCGAATATGTCCCCTTTGGCGAGCAGGCCGTGCTCTACCTTGAGGAGATGGACTTCCGCAGGCGCTTCCCCAACATCTCCGACAGGATCAGCAGGACCCGCGACACCGGCGCCCAGGTGACCATTCCTGCCCAGAGCGGCGCCTCGTGGAGGGTCGCCGACAACGGCCAGCCCACTGGCCGCCAGTCGAGCGCTGTTGATAAGTCCTCGGACAAGGTCGCCGCCGTGAAGAAGCCAGCGCCTCCTGCGGCGCCCGCCCCGACCCCCGAGCCCAAGCCCGCCCCTGTCGCCGAGAAGCCTGTCGCTCCCGTCGAGGCCCCTGTCGAGGTCAAGGCCGCCCCCGTCGCTTCCAAGCCCGCCAAGGCCCAGTCGACCGAGGCGTTCCGCGCCCCCGAGGTCAACGAGCCCTCGAGGCTGCCGCCCATTGCGCCCATTGACCCCCTCAAGGTCAACGACGCCATGGAGCCCCTGGTCCAGGACCTCGTCCACATGCTGAACGACATCATCACCGTCGTCAACGCCGACAAGGCGCAGGGCCGCTACGGTGCCACTATTGACAAGGCCAAGACCGAGCTCAACAAGGTCGGCGGCAAGGTCAAGGACGTCCGCGGCGAGGTCGAGAAGAAGGCCGCCGAGGAGGTCCGCCAGCGGATCAACGATTTCGACGCCGCCGCCGACGCCCTCGTCAAGCGCGTCGAGGCCGCCATGGCCGCCCAGGAGGCCAACTGGCGAGGCGAGTTTGAGGAGGAGATGAAGCGCGTCAAGAACAGCTACGACGAGCGCGTCAAGGTCCTCCTCGAGCGCGAGAAGCAGCTCGGCCACCAGCGCCTCGAGAACAGCCTCCTCGAGCAGGCCCTGGCCCTGAAGAAGGAGTTCACGGGCGAGGTCCGCAAGCGCGTCGAGGACGAGCGCGACGGCCGCCTCGGCAAGCTCAACGACCTGTCGGCCGCCGTCGCCGACCTCGAGAAGCTGACGGTCGGATGGAACGACGTCGTCGACACGAACCAGCGCACGCAGCAGCTGCACGTCGCCGTTGAGGCCGTGCGCGCCAGCCTCGAGAGCGGCAGCGTCCACCCGCGCCCCTTTGTCCGCGAGCTCGTCGCCCTCAAGGAGATTGCCGCCGACGACGCCGTCGTCAACGCCGCCATCGCCTCCATCAACCCCTCGGCCTACCAGCGCGGCCTGTCGACGTCGGCGCAGCTCGTCGACCGCTTCCGCACCGTCGCCGGCGAGGGCCGCAAGGCCTCGCTGCTGCCCGACGACGCCGGCGTCGCCAGCCACGCCTCGAGCTGGGCCCTCAGCAAGGTCATGTTCAAGAAGCAGGGGCTCGCCACCGGCGACGACGTCGAGAGCATCCTCACCCGCACCCAGACCTACCTCGAGGAGGGCGACCTCGACGCCGCCGCCCGCGAGATGAACGGCCTGCAGGGCTGGGCCAAGACGCTGAGCAAGGACTGGCTCGGCGAGGTGCGCAAGGTGCTGGAGGTCCAGCAGGCGCTCGACGTGAGTTTTTTTTTTTTCTTTTTTCTTTCTTTTCTTCCCCTCTCTCTCGTCTACTTCCGCCATCATGCACGAATGGGAACAAATGCTGACAATCACAACAGGTCATCTCGACGGAGGCGCGGCTGCAGAGCCTGAGGGTCGAGTAAAAAAAGGGGAGCTGTGGAGACTAGGAGGAAAGCGCTCAAGTTTCTTATGTTTGGCTGTACATTCGATCCGGCGAGGGCTGGATGCGGCTTTCTAGATGGGCTCGAAGCGAAGGGCCTGTGTACGACATAGCAATAGACTCGATGAACACGGGTTGTTTGGACTGTTTGGTGACTGGTGTATTACTGGGAGTATGGTGAATATTGCAGGTTCCTGACAATGTTGTCTGCTGGGTAAGTTCACTCTCGTAAGCGATGGCGTGTTGATCTCGAGTAGGGCTGCAGCTGAACCTTAAAACTTGCCATCACCACCACGGTCGTCCTCACATTCGTACGGTGCATCTACCAGCGCTGTGCACTTGCTATGTGGCGTTGTAACCGAGATGTAATACGATGGTCGGCTGTGAAGACGTCTGACAACGCAGCATGGCCTCAATATCGGTCAAGAAGACGACCCAATCCCAATCCGTACACCTCGAATTGCCCAAGCACTTGCCTGCCGGTGCGCCTAAGGCATTGTGACCGGTCAGTTAAGGGTGCGCGGCCGGGACAGAGCCTTGTGTGATTCACCCACCTCGGGTATATACTATGTATTGCAAGCTGCGTTCCGATTTCTATTGTAACCTCTTCTTGACCCTTCCCCCTCAGAGGACTTCTAGAGGAATGTTTATTGTGGCCCACAGTGGCCTCGATCCCTTCAACTCGTCAACTTGCCGTCAACTTGGCATTCTTCAATAATTGTCCACCTAACATGCCTCTCTCTCGCATTCCCGTCCGGAGCTGGGAGAAGGATAAACCGGACTCGCATCGGTCTCTATCATCGCTAGAAGCGACTCCATCGACAACGGCCAGCATCTCGACTGTAGGGATGACCCTTCGTCCGCGGGAACCTCCTGGCGAGGAGCGCAGTCGGTCGCGCGTCCCAATACCGTCACTGAGGAACAGACTCGGACTCCGCAAGAACAAAGTGGCTTCTAGCCCACACACGCCAGAACTTCAAGAGCTTCTGACCTCTGCAGCTGTCGATACTACTCATTCCGGGGCTCGCGCCCAACCTGCTGAAAACCACGACGGGGATGTTGAAGCTTCGGTTGAGCCAGCTGAAATGATACCTGCAGACACCTCAGGAGGAGTGTCTACAGCCCGCGCACTGCCAACACTTATTCACGAGATGACCGAAGAGCCGCAGCCCGAAAAGTCTATTGCTCGTTCTCAACAATATACAACAACTGCGAATACCATACCCGAGAAGGTGAAACGGGGCCCACTGAACATCTGGGAGGAAGTCTACCATGGACTTGACCCTGACACTCGGCAGTGGCTCGGAGGCATCTCTCACGCAGACGACGAGAGCCAGGCATTGGAGATTGCAGATCTGGTGCGCCAAAAGGAAGACACATACAAAAACTCTTCACCAAGATTAAAAATCAATAACAGAGTATTCATATGGAGAGACTACGCCAACCGGGTGATCACCTGGGTCACAACTATTGGGAACATCTCGGTCAGTTTTGCCCCCGCTCCGGCAGGCCCGGTATGGTCTGCCCTCAAGGTGCTGCTCAATGCACACGTCTCTGGATGTGAAGAGATGACCATCCTTTTCGGTCTGGCTGCCGAATTCCTCGCCATCGTCCGGAGAGGGCATGTATATCGGGTGTGTTTTGGCCTCGACTGTCAGCTCGAACAGGACGAAGTCAAGATGGGTCTTCGAAAAACCATTATAGAGACTTACACAGAGGCCCTCAACTTACTCTTTGTCTCATCAAAGCGCTTGGGAGAAGGGGGGTGGAAGCAGCTGCTGCAAGCCCTCATAGATCCCCACGCAGTGGAGAACGCCCTCTCTGGATTGGAGAAGCTAAAAGTCAAGCTTGATAGGGAGGTTCAAGCCTGCAATGTCCAGTTGAGCTCCGCTACCAACCGACAGCAGCAGAGTCTACTCAACTCGCTGAAACAGCCCTTGCGACGCATTGATGAAGACGTGCATAAGTGCCTCAGAGAGATTGAAGCTTCTGCGAAGCAACATGTGCTCAATAGCATCAGCAACATACGAGTACATGAGCATCATGTAGCAAAAAAAGAAAACAGAACCAAAGACACATGCGAGTGGCTCGTAGTACACAGAACGTTTCTGGCGTGGGAGAATTCGAGCTGGTCATCAACGCTCTGGCTCAAAGGCGGGAGTAAGTTGCGCCCCAAATCACTTTCGAACTCAGTCTCACACCAACTGACACGTGACCGATACTTTTGTTTCCTTCAGTGGGCGTAGGCAAGTCATTCCTGACTTCGAAGGTCATCGATCGCTACCTCTCGGTACCCCCAATGGGCGTGGACTTCGGGTACGCATCCTCTCATAGCGATGAAGGCTTTGCCTTCTTCTACTGTGACCGATCGATCTCTGAACGCCAGAATTCAACCGACATCCTGCGAAGTCTGGTTGCACAACTAGCGCGCCCTTCGACAAACAAAATTTCTATCCATCCGCAGATAGACGAGCTTTGCGGGCACCCAGACGCAAGCCGCCCAGCACTAGGCATCGCCTCATGCAAAGAAATCCTGGTAGATCTGATCAACACGTATCCTCGATCCACTCTGGTTTTGGATGCCTGGGACGAATGCGAAAGGAAGTCGAGATCGGACTTGATCGAGGCATTTCGTCACCTCGTAGACTTTGCTGATAAACCAGTAAAGATCTTTGTCTCCAGTCGTCCAGAAAATGGGTTTCCGAGGCTTCTCGATTCAGGCGACCTCATGGTCATCAGCAAGAAAGACAACGAAAACGACATAGCCAGGTACATCGACGAGCAGATAGCGAAACGCCGGGCCAATGACGACTTTGAGTGGTCTGAGGATCTTTACAGGAAGGTCAGGGAAACACTCCTTGCTAAGAGCGGAGGAATGTACGTATCTCTACTTTCCTGTTGATTTGGTCTCGACGAGAACGATATTCATTAAGGCGAGTGACTCTTCAGCGTACCTATACTTATGAGCTCCGTGTCACACAGGTTCAAGTGGATTCAGCTGCAGTGGGAGCAACTGCTTTTGCCAAACGCTATGGCGGGAGTAGAAGAGCGACTTGACGCTTTGCCCAACGATCTGTCCACTGCATATAGCAAGATATATGCCGCGCTTAGCGATCACGATCAGAAGATCTTGCGTCGAGCTGTTGTTTGGATGACATGGCTCAATGATCCTCAGATGTTCGTGCCATTTCAGGAGATCCTATTCCATGCCGTGCGCCTACACCTCGTCACCACGAAGAGCCCCAGCGGGGAGGTGTTGCGGCTGGGGATAGACCCGGGTCCCGTTTCTGTCCAGAGTCTGGATGCAATATGTCGCCACTTCCTAGTTCGAACTGGGTTTGGCAGATTAAGTTACAGCTACGCCCATGTGTCAGTCCTCGAATTTTTGGAATGCCACCATGCCGACTGGTTCGACCGGATTGATGAACATATCGGGACACTCATGATGTTGGCCCTACAAGAGTGCTATACGCGTTGCCAGCTGCCAATCGACCAGCCAATGCATGTTTGGGTTCACAGCCGTCTTCCTGATGAACACGACATCATGGATCCTCGACACAAGTTTCAGTTCGTAGCACGGTCCAGTTGGCTTCATACTGCGATCCAGGTCCATAGGAAGGGTACCCCAACTTGGCAATTCACGGAGGTTTTGACTCGATTACTGGGAGGAGCATCTCCCAAGGCCGTCACTCCTCTGCACTTCGAGAATTTAAGGAAGCTGGAGCTATTCAGTTACGGTCCTCGACACAGCTTATCGCAAGCGACACCAACAGCTGTGGCTTGTGTTGCTGGATCTGTCGCTTTTTTGGATGAATGGGCTCGCCATGGCGGCACGGCTCGCAACGAACCAGGGCTACTCGCTAGAGGCGCCCAAGGCGGGTCGATTGCAATATGCTCTCGTCTCGTTGCTTTGGGCTTCGACCCCAATGGATGTCTGGAGGATGTCCCTCAGGACTGGGGTTCGACACCGCTTGCGACCGGTACTTTTTGGAAACATGTGGAAGTCGTCGAGTTTCTACTCAAACACCGCGCCAACCCGAACGCACCCACAGCGAACGATAAACTCCCACCCTTGGTAATTGCCGCGCGGCAATGCCGCGCGGCAATGCCCATACTTCTAAATGTAGGCGCAAGCACTGATTATCTTCTCAATGGGCGGCCGCATTCGGTATTGGCAGAGGCGGTGGATGCTTCACTGCGGTTTTCCACAACTGTATTGAGTTCGACAACAGTCTGGAGAAGCATGCTGGAGACGCTGCTTGCAGCCAGAGTGGACGTGAACACCGATCAAGAGCCATATGGAAGCATAGTAGCATACGCTGCCGGTAAGGGAAGCCTCACTATCTTGAAGCTCCTTGTCGAACGCGGTGCTGACGTGAACCGGCCTTTGCGAAGTGGTTGGTACGGCAGCGTGCTAGCTGCAGCTCTTCTGCGGCCCGTATTCGACGAAGAAACCATCAGATGGTTGATCGAAGAAGCGAAGGCAGATCCAAGCCTTCTCACATTGAGCCCGCCTCAGCAACCGGTCTGGGCATTTTGGTTCAAGTGTTGCCTGCCTAGGTATGAAGCCTCTCCCGTCGTTTCGGAGCCTTCTGCTGTGATACTTCGAACTAATGTTGATAGTTTCTCTGATGGACCCAAGTTGCGGTTGCAGGGAGCCGGCTCCTGGATCATCAAAAGTTTAGCCAGGGCACGACATGTTCCTCTTCAGATAATGCGGGATGTGGGATATCCAGCGGTACTGGTTGACGAGATGGAACGGCTCAGATTAACCCCCGGAGAACTATAACCAGACTCGGTACATCGAAGACCTTAGACCAGATACATGCAAAGATAAAGTTGAAATAAAAACTTACAGTTCGGCCACCAGATGCTTTGATGTTGATTTGGAATTCTACTGCACGCTGGCATAAAACAGGTTCGACATCGTGCTGAAGCTGCCATGCGGGTCCCGCATGGCTCGCGAGTTGCACAGGCCACACGGTGATTCCATATGAGGTGCCTCACATATTGGGGACTCACTGGACGTCTCCGCCAACTCCCAAGTCACCAAACACAAGAGCCACCCCAAGCCCATACTTCCATGACCAGAAAGGAACGCCTGGTGCTTGCCATCATATAGAATTCGCTTCCGAGGAATGAGGCCCCTCCAGGCAAAGGTCCACCCCCAGGTAGCTTTCACGATATCCCTCACACGCCCGTCACTCCACCTCGAGACTCGTCTTCGGGCAACCCGCACAGCTGGTTCTTCGCCCATTTCAACTTCCTCTCCCTCACCTTATCAATTGGGCTTCCAATCCAAGAACCCTTTTCACACCAGAAGCGCCCACCACAGAACCACCAGCACCATGGCGATCCCACGACCCCGCGACTACGCCTCGGCCCTCGCGCACCTCAACCTCCTCATCCCCAACCGCTCCATCACCGCCCGCCTCGCCGCCCAGGCCCCCTCTGGCCCGGACCCGAACCTCCTCGCCATCCCCGAGATGCTCGACTCCCTCGCCCGCACAGGCCTGACGCCCGCCTCCCTGCAGCCGCTCCGCGTCGTGCACGTCGCCGGCACAAAGGGCAAGGGCTCCGTCAGCGCCTTCCTGACAGCCGCCCTGACGGCCGACGCAGCACGCGGCGGCGGCGTCGCGGGCCGCATCGGCACCTACACGTCGCCGCACCTCGTCACGCCGCGCGAGCGCATCGCCGTCGGCGGCGCGCCCCTGTCCGAGGCCGCCTTTGCGCGCTACTTCTTCGACGTCTGGGACCGCTTCACGGCGAGCGCGCGGGCCCGCGGCGAGCCGGACGCCGACGGCCCGGCCTCGAAGCCCTTCTACTTTCGCTTCCTCACCGTCATGGCCTTTCACGTCTTCCTCGGCGAGGCGTGCCGCAGCGTCGTGCTCGAGGTCGGCATCGGCGGCGCCTACGACGCCACGAACGTCGTGCCCGCCGAGAGCGTCACGGCTGCCGTCGTGACGAGGCTCGGCGTCGATCACGTGGGCATGCTCGGCGGCACGAGGGAGGAGATTGCGTGGCACAAGGCGGGCATCATGAAGAAGGGGCGGCCGGCGTTCACGAGGCTCGTCGAGGAACGGCCCTCGGTCATGGCCGTCCTGCGGGAGAGGGCTGCGGCGCTGGAGTGCAGCGAGCTCGTCGAGGTGAAGGACGCCGACGTCGAGGCCTGGGGCGGCGTCGAGAGCGGGCTGCGGGGCGAGTTTCAGAGGTATAACCAGGCGCTGGCGGCGCTGGCGGCCGAGGAGCACCTCTGCGCGCTCGAGGGTCGCACGTCGGCGAGGAAGCTGTCAGACGTGAGGCCGAGCGTGCTGGAGGCTCTCAAGAGTGCCTCTCTGAGAGGCCGCCACGAGAAGATGAGCGATACGGAGCGGGGCATCAGCTGGCTTCTCGACGGTGCGCACACGACTGACAGCCTTGAGGAGACGGCCAAGTGGCTCGCCGCTGAGAGACAGAAGCAGCCCAAGGCGGGCATCGTGCTGCTATTCAATCAGCAGGAGCGTGAGGCAAGCGAGCTGCTGCTTCACTTCCTGGCGACTTTGCGCAAAGAGATTGGCGATGCCGACGACAAACTATTCAAGGCTGCCGTCTTTTCGCGAAACGACGCGAAGAGCGATGAGGGAGCTCCCGATGCTGACATTACTGTGCAAGAAAGCTGCCGCGAGGCCTTTGCGTCAGTATATCCAAGTGTACCAACACACATCACGCAGAACCTCACATCAGCCATTGAACACATTCGTGGGTTCAGCACACCAGGCGACAAGACGGAGCAACAGACGGTATTGGTGACGGGCAGCATGCACCTCGTCGGGGGCGTCATTGGGCTGCTGGAGCCGGAAGGTCTAAAATAAATCTACCACCTCGAAGAGAAGATTCACATCACATGAACCACAGGAGAAAATCACAGGGCCTCAGCACCCTCGAGAATACCGAGGGCGCCGCCCACAAGATGCAGACTCCCCGTGACCAACGCCTGCACAGGCTCCTCTTTCGAGTCTCGCCCGAGGTTCTCCACAAAGTTCAGGGCTTCCTCGATCGTGGGGATCACGGATATCTTTGCGGCTGGATCGAGGGCCTGCCACTTTTCGGCAAAGCTCCGCTGCACAGTCAACGCTTCGATGGCCTTGGGATCGTACTGGTTGTTGACAAAGTCTGGAGCGAGTTAGCAAATGGAGCCAGCGGAATGAGAAGATTGACATGACCAACCCTTCTTGTACCCCGTCGAGTAGGTGACATTGGTACAAAAGACGACATGGTCAAACGAGGTACCGTCGGCACGTTTGATGGTGTCGTGAATGCCATCCAAAAAGTCGATCGCCTCGGTGCGACCCTGCTGGTTGAAAACAAGTGCCCTCTTTCCTGGCTTCTCCTTCGTCTCGCCGGCGAACCACTGCGACGCCATCTTGAGACTGTCCGTCGTGTGCGCGCCGTCGAGGTGCCAAGTGACACCTTCGGCAGGCTTGACCTCACAGCGGCCCCGCCACTCGACCTGCTCGAGGCCGTCCACGAAAGCCTGCGGCAGGGAGTCCTCCTGTCGCTTGAACGACGGGTCGATCTTGGCGAGCGCCGCCTCGGCCAGCGCCACGGCCAGACTGGCGTTTCGCTTCTGGAACAGGGCATCCGGGCGGATCTTGACACGCTCCAGCCGCGGGTCGACGCCGACGACGGTCAGGTTCACCCCCTTTTCCACGGCCCGCTCCTGCAGCACCGCCGCGGCGCCCTCGACCTGCTCGACGGTGAAGGCCGGGGCGGCCGTCTTCATGATGCCGCCCTTGTGCCACGCAATCTTCTCCACCGTGTCGCCCAGCGCAAAGACGTGGTCGATGCCGAGCGTCGAGATGCCGGCGGCCACAGGCAGCTGAACGATATTGGTCGCGTCGTATTCGCCCCCGATGCCCGTCTCGAGCACGGCGCAGTCGACGCCCTCCTCCATGAAGGCATGCAGCGCCAGCAGCGTCATGTACCGCGCATACACGGGCTTCGTGCCCGCAGGCAGCTTGTCGATCTGCTCGCGCGAGCTCTCGAGCCTGTCCCAGACGTCGAAGAAGTAGCGCGCAAAGAGCGCCTCGGCAATGGGCTTTCCGTTGACGCGGATGCGCTCGCGCACGGCGACGAGGTGCGGCGAGATGAGGAGACCCGTCTTTCGGGGCAGACCGGTGGCGGCGCGGTGGCGTGCGAGGATCGAGTCGGCGAAGGCGCAGGTGGTGCCCTTGCCCTTGGTGCCGGCGACGTGGATGACGTTGAGGCGGTTCAGGGCGGAGGGGGTGTAGCCGAGGCGGGCTATGTAGGTGCGCATCTCGAGGATGGCAGCCTCATCGGGACGGATGCCGGCCTTGCGGCGGGCTTCGACGACCTCGAAGGGGGTCTGGAGGGAATTGAGGGCGTCGATGGCGTCCTGCTTGCTGTCAGCACGTAGAGCTCGAGGTTCGTGGACAGAGGAGCCATGTGAGGTGGTGGGTGGATGGCGGGGAGGCACACACATTGTAGGTTCTGGTGGTGGTAGCCATTGCGCGTATCAGGGCGTGCCTTGGTGTGAGGGTACGGGGGAGGATCCGCGGGACTCGAAGACACACATGATGCATCAAGGCAACGACGGCTGATGCAGGTGCAGGTGCGAGTCCAGAGGCAGGTGCCGGTGGAAATGCAGGCAAGTGGAGGAAAAGTCGTGGGGAAGTCGCTATGCGCGTCGCGCCCGAAGTCGGATGCAGCTTCCTTCCTACCCTTGGTGCCTTTCTTCAATAAGGTACCTACCTACCTTACCTCAAGACAATGCAGGGCAGGTATGGCGGGGTCCTGGTGACTGCCGGGCGGGTGCGACCGGCTGGCTCCTTCCAGTGCACCCCTCCTGCCCCTTTGGGCCACCATGCTGCACCACCTGCCCGCTCTCTTATCTCTCGACACCACAGGCCCGAGATGTGACCCCCTCCTCTTCGCCTGCTACAGGCGGCATAAGATTCTCACTGCAGCCTACATAGATGTTTCTTGGTACTGTCCTCTTTTTTTGAAGCCTGCGCACCATGACCGATACATACGAGCTGTGGGTGGGCGGCCGAGAACAGCCGGGCACTGGCGAGCTGTAAGCCTCCGTCTTGATAGGTCCTCGACCTTGCTATCGAGCCACTCACTCATGCTCTGTAGCATCCCCATCGAGGACCCTGCCACTGGAGACATATTTGCGCAGTAGGCGACTCCATTCCCATACACTTGTCCTGCAGACCACTCAACGTTGAAAAGCTCACTACTCATGCTCTCAGCTGCCACTCGGCCTCCGCCGCAGACGTCAATGACATCGTAACAGCCGCTCACGAGACCTTCAAGTCAGGCGTCTGGTCAAAGGCACCCCGACAGACACGCGCCGATGTCCTCGATGCCGCCGCCAACCTCTTAGCCACTGCCATTCCGCAGCTCATACCGCTCGAGGTCCGCCAGACTGGCCGTGCCATCCGCGAGCTTAACGCCCAGGTCCCCACCCTGACCAAGTGGTTCCGCTACTATGCTGCCCTTCTGCGCACTGAAGAGCGTTCGGTTCTCCCTACCTTTGGCAAGCTGCACAATTGGGTTGACCGTGTGCCCCTCGGTGTCGTCGTCCAAATCACCCCTTTCAACCACCCGCTCCTCATCGCCGTCAAGAAGCTTGCGCCGGCTCTGGCTGCCGGCAACAGCGTCATCATCAAGCCCAGCGAACTCACGCCGTTGACCACTCTACGGCTGGGGGCTATTTTGCGTGAGGCTGGTCTTCCCGACGGGGTGCTTACTGTTCTTCCCGGATACGGCGCCACAACCGGCAAGGCGCTCGTCGAACACCCCCTCGTGCGCAAAGTGGATGTGACGGGCGGAACAGCGGCTGGCCGAGCCATCGGAGCCATTGCTGGGAAGAACCTGGCCAAATTCACAGCCGAGCTTGGCGGCAAAGCACCGCTCGTCGTCTTTGACCAGGCCAACGTTGATGTCGCCGTCAACGGTATCGCCTTTGGCTCCTTCATTGCTAGTGGACAGACGTGTGTTGCCAGCACGAGGATCATTGTCCAAGAGAGCATCTACGACGAGGTATTGGCCAAGCTTCAGACCAAAGTCGAGTCCATCAAAAGACGTATGGGTGCACCGAGTAATTCTGAGTCTATGATGGGGCCACTGGTCTCCGCGAAGCAGCTGAAGAACGTCGAGGATTTGGTCAACGATGCGGTTGTGAACGGCACGGCTGCCATACTCGCGGGGGGCCGTCGCATGACAGGTACGGGCTCGGTTGACGGCACCGACTTTTCCAAGGGCTACTACTTTGAACCCACGATTCTAGGCGCAACCAGTGGATTGAAGGAGCTTTTGGCAAGTCGCATCTGGAAAGAAGAGGCCTTTGGCCCGGTCATTGTGGTGGCCAAGTTCAGCACGGAACAGGAAGCTGTCGACCTGGCCAACGACAGTGAGTTCGGTCTCGGTGCAGCTCTGTGGACCAAAGACCTGTCTCAAGCATTCCGCGTTTCGGGGCAAATCGACGCTGGCATCGTATGGGTGAACACGCACCACCGCAACGACCCGAGCAGTCCGTGGGGGGGAGCCAAGGGGTCCAGCGGCGTGGGCAGCGAGAACGGCCGGGATGCTTTCTACGCGTACACCAAGATGAAGAGTACGATTATCAACTACGCCTCGACGGAGGAAGCGCTCGCCGCCGACGATTGGTTCCGGGAAGGCACTGGAGATGTGAGGTATGGATAGTTGGAGACTTGAACCAACATTTTTCCGAGTCTCCTGAATCTATAAAGAAATACTCCTTGCTCGCCCCATGTACTTGCCTGCCTAGACTCGGATCTTGAGAGACGGACGATCCGACACGTGCTACCTTCCAGCAAACGATGTTGCGAAACAGCACGCATACAGCAGGCCGGAAAACACAATGAAACCCCGGTAACCCCTCCCCACTGTCGCACTGATCATCTCACCTCCTATGGGAATGCCTACCAGGCAGGCCACCGCAGCGACCGTGAACGCCGTGGCGTGATATCGCCCATACTTGCTCGTCTCACACAGCCTGCCAATGCACACTGGGCTTATGCTGATATTGTTGCCGCTGCCGAAGCCAAACACGACGCAGAACATGACGATCCCCCCCGGCATGGACGAACCTGCCGGCAGCCAAATATCAGGAGGACATGCCAATACTCTATTCAGGTTAATTGGTGTCATTGCCATCGTGGTGGTGAGTCCTACCAGTGCCAAGGCTTAGCAGCACCACGGCGGTGACGCCGCATACGCTACCGCCGAATACCAACCAGCGCGGCCCGTGCTTGTCAAAGAGAAGCCTGATGTAGATGCTGCCGCAGAAGAAGCACGGGAAGACAAAGGTCGAAAAGATCCAGCCGATCTAGCCCTCGGTATCGTCCTTCAGTTGGTTCGCGCTGACTTACTTTGTCTCGTCCAACGCCAGCCACCCTGCCTAGCGCGACGAAAGCTGATGGAGCAGACATGAAGCTCATGAGCCTAGAATAAGGGAAATCTACATATCTTGACCACAGCATAGCACCCTTCTCACGGTACACAGCCCCTTTGAAATGCTGAGCAAAAGTAAGCCACCTGAACCGAGGCCACAGGGACAAAAGTTGAATTGCGTGAACTGGGAATCGAACCCAGGGCTCCCCGATGGCAACGGAGAATTTTACCACTAAACCATTCACGCTTGATATCCTGAGCAAACTCTTGGATCGATGCAACCGTAACCGACGGGTGCCATGATAAATCGCGCGGGAGCCAAATATCTGGTCTGGAGTCGTGGGATCACGGTGGGTGGATCACGGTGGGTGGATGAGGGCAAGATGTGGGGCTCGAGTCATGGTCGCATGGGCCGGCCCTTTGTCTCGATCTCTCCACATGGAAACTTTTCTGCATCTTCGGGTCCGTCTGACGCGAGCGGTAGCAACTCCGACGGCATGATCCCAACCTCAAGACAACCCTTCATCAACTGGTCGGTTAGCTCAGTTGGTTAGAGCGTGGTACTAATAATGCCAAGGTCATGAGTTCGACCCTCATACTGACCAGCGATATCTTTTGCTCGCATCCATGATCCTTCGATTTCCTTTTTTGAGAGCCTATGTTAACCTCAAGGCTGTCTCTCTTTGCTCGTGCCTCTGCAAAGAGGCGTTGTGAACCGTCGGGCTCCAGTGCAGCTTTGTAGGCACACACTAGAAAAGCGGGACGGGTACGTAAGCAGATGGCGAGTCCTTCTACCTCGCTGAAGGCAGGCTCATGCGCTGCTGTGTCTACCTCTCAGCACACCGAGACTGGTTGGTGGTACCTTGCAAGAAGCCCGAGACCGACTGACTGTCGAGCTCTCAACCCCCTACACACCCTCCTCCATCGCATCACCGACCCTCCTTCGAGACAGGCCCAGCATGCCTCTTCCCGTCGCAGCGAAAGGTGAGCAGATATGATCATATGTCCGCGAGCGCATGCCCCTTGCAGAGATCAGCCGTCCCGAGCACCAAGTAGTCGCTACCCCGCTGTCATGTCGCTTCTCTCTGGTGCTTGTCTGTTAGGTCTGCTGCCTAAGGTGGCGGGACGGGGGGAGGGTGGCGAAGGCCATCGCTTGACCTGTCTTGGTCCGTCCGGGCAACGACTGGATTGAACAGAATCGTCCACGCAAGCACCTTCTGGTTCTGTATTCTTGTGTTTATCTGATCCTCGAGATTTGCTTCGTGTCTTCTCCCTCCTTTGCACTCTTTGACAGTTGGGCGCCCACTTGCACTCATTCCCCGCCGGTCTTCTTCCCATACATACTCTTTACATCCACCCACGTCACCATGCCGCCTGGTATTAACCATGGTGCTTTTGCTTCAGCCGGCGTCATCGCTGTGTCCGTAGCTGTCGCCGCAGCCATCGCCATTTACGAGTCCCCTGAGCTCCGACGCTATACCGATGACATCCGCAGACGCATCGCCATGGCCCTACATTCGCTGGGCGAGGGTGTTGAGCCTGGCGAGCGCCCTCCCATGTTCAACCGGCCTGAGGATGCCCAAGGCTTCCTCGAGTCACGCGGCGGCGTCGGCGGCCAACCCGGCGTCGATGCCGACGAAGAAACCCGCCGTCGTCAGCGAGAGGAGCTGATGTACTGGAACGCCATTCACCTGTCCAAGCTCGAGTTCCAGAAGAAGGCCGACGAACAGGCATCGCCCGCCGCCCAGCTGCCAGCCGCCACCGAGGGCTCCAGCTTTGACGACTTTCTTCGGCAAGACGCCAGTGGCGAGAGCAACTCATTCGTTTTCAAGACAGGCGCAAATATTAACGAGGGCGAGGCTCAGGTCCGACGCCGCAACGAGGGCGCCCGCGGCCTCGCTGCAGCGGCGGCGGTGGCGGCGCTCGCCAACCCTTTTGACGACGAGTACCGAATCGATCCTGTGGAGCTCTTTGACAACGCCAATAACGTCGCACCCCATCACGATGATTCCATGTCAGACATTTACAGCGCCACGACCCGCGATGCCGATGACGCCCCTCCCAATCTCTCTGTCGCCCTCTCCACCGCCACGCCGGACCTCGTGGATGTGACCACTGACAATGACACGGCGACAGAGCGCTCGACCACGCTCGACCGCGAGCTTGACCAGGACGAGTACATGACGGCAGGCCAGGACCAGGATGACCATAGTGCCTCCGAGGCGTACGCTTCCATTCAGGCCTGGGCCCAGGGTTCGAGCTCCAACTTTTACTCGCCCCTGCCCATGTCGCCCGCCGCTCCCATGTCCGAGCCCGAGATGGTCAGCGAGGGTGTTTTGACGCCGACCGACTCGGTTTCGCTCGCCGGCTCCGGCGAGGACATTGCCAACGACACGGTGTCTTCCAAGGGTGGCGACAATAGCCGTCCGTACGACGTTCTCAGCGAGAGTGAGGGTATGATGACACCAGCGAGCTGGTCCGAAGTCGGCAGCGTCGTCAGCGAGAACGACATGCAGCACAACGAGCCTTTGCGCGCATGAGTTCGCGACCAGGCTCGTCATACTCGTGCCTGCTTCTCTGAGGAGTACCAGGCCGCCTCATGAAAGGCGGAGAGTCGGGCGATCAGCAAAATGGGCATTTCAGGCGGAATACGGTGGAATTGGGCTAGGCGTTTGGGTTTTTATGGTTTAGGCCTCGGTATTGGTCCTCGGTAGCGGTGTATTCAGAGTTTCATTCGTCGGTGCAAACGCTACAAGACATTGTTTCCCCCTCTCGTCGTGATTCCCTCCAACGTGAGTAGGTGACTCTCAATCACGCACATAACATACACGCATATATAACGCTTGCTTTCTAAATAATGGGCAACTCTACTTGCTTACCTACCTTGCGTCTTGTCCATCTAGTGTGCCCTCGACCGCCGCGGCCCCGTCCCTCAGCCCCAACCTCACATCATCATCCGAAATGTCGTCCTTGTTGACAATGACCGTCTCATCGTCCCTCACCTTGTCGGCGTAGTCCCCCCACAGCTGGTCGACGGGCCGGCCGAGCAGCTCGGTCCAAAAGGCCTTTTCGTGGTACTGGGCGGTCCTCAGCTTCTCGTTGAGGCGGCGGACAGTGCCGTCGCCGAAGCGGCGCTCGAGGTAGTCGAGGAAGTAGGCCGTGTGCTGGTAGCCGCCGTCCCAGCGGCCGTCCGTCTCCCGCTTCCAGTGGGGCGGCGACAGGCGGCAGCGCAGGCGGACCCAGTCGGCGACGCCCTCGATGAGGCCGCCGGGACAGGTGCCGCGGGCGTTCCACTGGTAGCAGTGGACCAGCTCGTGGGTCAGGACGCCGGTGATCTCGGCGGTGCGGCGGTCGGCGGGGATGCCGGCGATGTAGGAGAGCGAGAAGTGGATCTCCTTGTGGTCGGCGTCGAGGTCGGAGCCCGTCGTGTAGGCCACGCCGGGCATGGCGCGCAGGATGACGGTCACGGAGCGGGTCGGGGGCGCCGTCGTGTCCGGGGTCGAAGGCGTGCTGTAGAGGAGGCGCAGGACGTTGGCGATGGCGTCTTGGAGGAGGGTCGAGGCTGTCGTCGTCGCGAGGAAGGCGGTTGCGCCGGCGTGGTTGAGATCGCGAATCTCGAGGCGTAGCTTGGGGGTGGGAAAGGGGTTTTTGGAGGCGGAGGCGGCGGCGGAGGCGGCCATGGCGGTGGATGAATGAGAGGGAGGCTCAGACGGAGACGGAGATGCAGACGAGGATGGAGTTGAAGACGAGTCGTCTGTGTCAGGACGCGGGACGGGGGTGCAGAGGGGCGCAAACGGGTTGGAGATGGCTGGTGACTGCGAAGCGAGCGACATGACGGGTTCGAGGATGGAGGTTGAGAGTCGCCGCGGATTGGGGGTCATCTGGGATCGAGGTTCCATCGGATGGCACGATGAGGCTTGGAGACCGAGGCTGGTGAGCTGAGATGGGGCCGATTTAGTGGTCGTCACTACAACTAGCGTTTCGAGGTGTGGCACAGCAAGCTACGAACAGATCCGCTGAACCCGCTAGAATCTCGTGCTGATGGGCGATGTGAGGAATGAGCGTGGAGACAACCGACATGTAAAGAAAAGCAGAAGTGCTTTGTGAAAGATGGAAGAACGAAAAAAGAGGAACACGCGCTTCCGTCTCGAATTCGCCCCCCCCTCATCTCCTGTCTGCCTCCCCTCTCTCGTCTCTCTCTTTCTCTCTCTCTGTCTCTCCCCCTCCTGCGGCATAAGACCCTGCTTGCTGCCCAGAGCTCCAGACTGCTCGTGTCCCTGACTACCTGTGGCCCGGCGATCGAGGTCCCTGAGTGGAGGTGGAGGGGCAAAAGTGGCTGATGCAGCGCCTCCAGCTGCGCGCTAGCCTCTGCTCCCCCGCACCTGCCACTGACCTGGCAAGCCTGGAACTTGCTGCTAGGTGCAGCTGCTGTGAGCGGGTAGCGGGTACAGGAGCAAGAGTAGGGAGGGAACAGGTAGCAAGGGGTAGGTACCTACCTAGGTGCAGAGGTACAGACGGCCAAAGCTCCACCTCAAAGCATCGATAAGATAGGATCGTGGCGCGGATGCAGCCAATGACCCGGTCGCGCCTGCCCCGATCACCATGGGCACGGAGCAACACACGAGGGAGGGGCGGCCGGGACCCCCTTTGTTTTCCATTCGACGACGTCGTTTGCTGTGGCCTGCTGCGTTGCGAGCAAACAACAGACCCCAGCGAGAGGTTAAACGTCACTTGCAGTCAACAACAGCGGCCCCGCCATCTCGCTACGTTCCCGAAGCACACACCGTCGCGTTCGTGATTGCCCTATCCAATTCTTCAGTATCCTCTCTTTTCGCATTGCATTGCATCAACCAACCCTCGCTCGGTCACTGGTGAGTCCATGCACAAGGTGGTGACCCCCATCGTCATATACCCATCCCAGACAACACATTCCTATGCCTGCAACGTATCCTCGATGCGCATGTGCCAACCCTGCCTAGGTCCTTCCACTGACATTGACCTCCCACCGCCGACAGGACCCCTCCATCGCATACACGCTGCAACCCCTTCCC